CCCCCCCCCTTCATCCCTCGCCCCCCTCCCTCGTCCCTTCCTTCCTTCCTCATCCTTCCCTCCCTGCGAGGAACCTGGGGAAAAATAGGGACAAGTGCCGTCGCCGCACAGCCTCGCCGGCCCCACGACCCTCGCGCCCCCCCCACTTCGACCGTCACCCATCTCCTCCCCATCGACGTTCCTCTTCTCCGTCGTCGTCGTCGTCGTCGCCGGGTCCTGGGTCCCTTTTTCGATTTTTTATATTCCACACCTCCTTTTCCTCCATCCACCTTTGGGTCCGATCCATCGCCCATCCTCGCCCGTCCCCCTTTTAAGACGCGCGCGCGCACCCCGTCTTTCGTCGCAAGACCCTTGTCGTCGTCGCCTTAATTGGTCGTCGTCGTCGTCGTCGTCGCGCTCATCTTTTCGACAGCACCGCAGGCCACCTGCCCGCTGATCTTTGCGTTTCCTCGGTCGTCGCCATCATCTCGCCGTCGTCGTCGTGATCCCCGTCGTCGCCATCGTCGGTCCCCTCCCTTGTAACATTAGCCCGCTAGTCAACCCGGCCTGACGCTTCGACGACACCATCCGACGTTCTACCTCGAGCGTCACCCCGGACAGAGAGGCCCAACGCACCCTTAGACCTCCCTCACCTCGGCATCTTACTCGACTTTTGGACCGCCGCGCTCCACATACCCCTTCACCACGTCGACACCTGCCGATCCGCACCATCCTCTTCGCCACCTACGACGCCGCGGCAGATCCGACCTCGCGCCACGCTCGCGATCCGATTTTTTTTTCTTCGCTGCACGTCGTCGCCATCATCAGCGCCACCGCCACCGCGCTATCCGCCATCGGACCCTCTCCGCAAGCCGGCCTTGAGCATTTTCGCAAAGGTGAGCGAAGCGAAAATTGTAGATGACCCCTCCCGCTTCACTCGACACAACACCGCTGACCACAGCACCCTCTCGCCGTTGCCGTCGCATGCTTCTACATCGTCAACTCCGCCTTCGTCACCGCCGTCGCTGTCGCCGCCGCCCACAACATCATCATCGACGCCTCCAGGTTGGATGGGTTCGACGGCACCGCAATCCCCTTTGACCACCCGGCATGGCCAGAAGCGCTGTCACGACGCCCGCCGCCGCCACCACGAGCAGAGTTAGGAACAAGAAGCTCTCGTACAAGCAGAAGCGTGAGTGCTGCTGCATTGCACGTGACTGAGCGCGCAGTCCGCTGACGACCTGAACTGTGCTTCTTTGTCCTCTTGCCCTCCTGCCAATTCCCATCAATGGCGCGCCCCCTCCCTTCTCCTGCGACCATTGATGCCTTGGCTCGCTCGCAACATCACTCATCATCGACGCCGTCCATCTCCCGACACCACGACCTCGACCCCGCAATGATGCGCTGCGCCGCGTCTCCTGGCCGACTTCTTCCGACGGCCCTCCGTGTCCTCTGCTACCACTTCTCTCGACGCTGCTGCCAACAGTATGCGTGCAGCGTGGCTCGCACCTTCTCAATGCTGCCAACTCTGTGGTGGCGGGGCCTGAGCCCGAGTTCGAAGGCCACGAGCACGCACAGGATTCGAACCTCGGCGTAGACTCGTCGGAGATCTCGGAGCACCACCTGCAGGCGGCGCTCTCGTCGAACCAGCTGGCCACCGCCGACGCCTCTTCCCAAGATGCGGCTCCCAAGGTCGTGTACAGCATCCCTACGCCCGAGGCGCGGGGTGTCCTGTCGGCCAAGGAGTTCTCTGAGCTCTACCCCTCGGGCGCCTACCAGGATCCCGTCACCTACATCCGATGGTCCGACACGGTCGAGGACGCCATCCGCGGTCCCACCTACTGCATGGACGAAGATGACCAGGACTGGCTCGACACGCGCAATTCCAAGGCGCGCGAGGAGCTGGCGCTGGCCATGAGGAACATCAAGCCCGGTGCGCAGGGCGCCGGCGGGGCCAAGGGCAAGGGCAAGGAGCGGGTTCGCGAGGACGTGGCCGCCAAGCTCACCCGGGACAACCAGGCAATGCTGCGGATCATGTCCGAGGACCAGTTCGAGATGATCGTTACCGTCTTCGAGCAGATCACGAGCGACCGCGTGCCGTTCCTGCACCTCGACATGGCCAAGATGCCCACGCTCGACGAGATGCTGCCTTCGTTCGAACCCGACTCGGCGCTGTCGAAGCTGGCCCAGCCCGAGCTGCCGCCGTTGCCCTGGGAGGAGTCGTCGACGACGGCGGCCTCGTCATCCGCCAGCGGCAGCTCTACCGCCACCAGCAGCAACGGCGCCACGACAAGCAGCCGCCGTCAGGCCTCGAATGCGGCAAGCAGCCCGCAGGCGGACCTGACAGAGTGGAAGCCGGAGAACCCCTACAAGAACCTTGCCGACCTCAAGGCGCTCGCGGGCGTCGTATACCCATACTGGAAGAGTAAGAGGGAGGATCGCGAGGGCAAGGCGGTCGTGGCGAGCCTCAACTTTGACGAGACCAACGACAGCGACCCCTACGTCTGCTTCCGCCGGCGAGAGGTCAAGCAGATGCGCAAGACTCGCAAGACGGATGCACTGCACATCGAGAAGCTGATCCGGCTGCGTACCGAGCTCGATCACGCGGCTTCGCTGGTGCAGCTGATCGCACAGCGCGAGAAGACCAAGCGCGCCTCGCTACGGCAGGGCTCGCAATGCTGGGAATCGGCCAGGGCGCTGGTCGACATCAAGCGGCAGTGGGGCATCGCCGGTCCGCATCAGGGGCTCGAGGACGACGAGCTGCTCTCCGGCGAGAGGAGGGACATCGGCGGGGCCAGCTCGGGCGCGCCAAAGAAGAAGCGCAAGACTGAGGAAGGCTCGACCACGATCAGGCTGCCGAACCGCAAGTCGCGCAACGGAGAAGGGGAATCGGGATCCGCAGGGCCATCCGGCTCCACCGCGGGTGCCGCTGCTGGCGTCCACGGTATGGGCTCGGCGATCCTCGAACGGGTCCACGCCGTCCAGGCCTACATCGACCGGGAATGCCTACGGAAGGCGGACGCCGATCTCGGCTGGGAAGAGGGCAGCGACCTGGCCTTCCAGCCCGTGCCCGCCCCTGCGGCGCTGCGTGCGTTTCGGCCCATCCACTCCGAGACTTCGGAGGACCGCAGCCCCTTCGCGCCGCTTCCGTCCCGCGTCGGTCGACCGCCCTCTTTTCGCAGACGTGTGGGAAGGGGCGGTCGCGTCTTTCTCGATCGCCGGCTGCCTACGCCGAGCCCTGTGCCAAGTCACCTCGCTGACTGGCCGCGCTATGGCGACCGTTCTGGGAACTGGGCCGCACGAGGATCGACCGGTGCAGGCTCGTCCCAGTCCGAACAGCCAGCCCAGTCCCGTCCATCCGCGCAGCCGGAGCCGTCGGCATCGGAAAACTTGCACCATCAAGCAACACTGAGGGGCCCCTTCGCCTTCACGCCCGACCTGCGTCCCAGCTTGTTGACGTCCTCGCAACGACCTCTGCCAGCAGCCGTCGACGTCGAGGCTGGTACCTCACCTGAGGGACCGTTCGGCGCCCCCGCCGCCACCACCGCCGCCAGCAGCAGCGGCAGTGGCACAAACGGCGCGACCACCGGACCCTTTGCCTTCGCTGCCGGCGTCGACGCTCAGTCACAAGCATCTGACGCATCGAGCACCTCGTCAGACTCGACGGACCGCTCCCACTCGAGTCTTAGCTCGATCGGGGCTGCCAGCACTCAGGCCACCGAGGTCGGCGACATCGACATGCTCGGCCTCGATGGCGTGCTAGACAAGCGCGAGGACGAGTCGGACTCCGAGTCGGATGGGGAGACCGACACCATCGCTGCGCCCGGCAACGCCCAAGGCTACATGGCCGACCAGTGGGCACGCTTCCAGGAGCGATGGAGGTACGACGATGAATCCGGTCGCTGGGCCGGCCTCGGCCTCACCGGTCTGGGAGGTATGGAGGACGATGAGGAGGCGGTGCTCGACGACTTCGACCAGAAGTTCATGCGCTACAGGATGACCTTGCTGGAGGAGACCGACCTCCTCAAGCTCTCGACCGACCTCACCAATCTGCAGCACGCTCAAGCCGCGGCCGAAGCGCCCAGCCCGAAGCCGGCTGGCTACGTGCAGCAATCCGCCTCGACCTCTGCCGGCAGCGCTGCCACTGCCTCACGCTCGACGGGCGGCGCCGGGTCCTCGACAAACCCTGCCAGTGCAGTGACCGTTGCCAACAACATCAGCGTTGCGATGCCCTCAGCAGCCCGGACGGCGGCGGTCACCGGCGGTGGCGGCTCCCAGAGCGCCATTCAGGCACAACAGCTACAAGCTCAACAGCAGCAGCTCCAGCTTGCGATGCAGCAACAGGCACAGCAGCAACAGGCCGCTCAGGCCGTGGCTGCGGCGCAGCAGTCGGCCGCTGCGCAGCAGGTCCAGCAAATGCCCTTTGCTCAGCAATCGGCGCTTCAGCAGGCACAGCTCGCGGCAATGGCGGCAGCCACGCAGCAGCAGCAGCAACAGCAGCAACAGCAGCAGGCTCAGCAGCGAGGCGGCGCTTCTTCGCCGGTCGCCAATGCGCAGCAGCGAAGGATGAGCGGCCTGCAGGTCCAGCATCAACAGCAGATGCCCTTCCAGACTCCGGTTCAGGGTCAAGGCCAGCAGCTACAGGGGCAGCAGGCGGCGCAGGTGGCGATGCAGATGCAGCTGCCGATCCAGATGCAGATGCAAATGCAGATGCAAATGGCGGCAGCGGCCGCTGCGTCGGGCATGCCCAACCAGCCCCACCCACTCTCGCAGTCGATGTCGTTCGACGCTTCCGGCATCCAGGCGCACCAGGTCCCCCGGTCGATGCCCGCGGCTGCCGCTGCTCACTCGTCGCCGCTCCAGGCGGCCGGATTTGTTGTGCCCAGCACGCAACCCTACGGCAACGGCTTGGGCAACGGAGTCAACGGCCTCGTCGGCAGCCCTGCAATGCACGCGGCGCGGATGAGCGCGCAGCCGCAGCAGCACGTGGCGCGGACGTCTTCTTCTCCCGTCTCTGCCGCGAACGGTTCGGGCCAGAACGGCGCTCGCCCGACGCCGTCTCCGGTGATGCATGCGAGCATGGCTGTTCCCCAGCAGATGCAGCGACAGAACACTGGCGGAGCGCCGAACTCGCACGCTGCGGGTCAAGGAGCCCAGGCCAACCAGATCAAGCACGCCAACGGCTTCCATGCTCTTCAAGCGCTGCAGCAAGCCCAGCAGGCCCAGCCGTTCGTCGGTCAGGGCGGAACCCCCTCTACGCCTCAGCAAGCCGCCCGGGAAGCTCAGCTGATGGCGATGAAGGCTGTACTAGCCCAGAACGCCAACCTTCAGCTTCGTCTGCCGCCCAACCGCGCCCTGCAGATCGCTCAACAGGCGGCCCAGGCTGCTCTCGGCCAGAGTCAGCAGCTTCAGCAGCAGCAGCAGCACCAGCAAGCGATCCCTGGAGGGCAGGCCATGGTCGGGCAGGGCAGCGCTTCGAACCAAGGTTCCCCGAACATGATGCGGGCATCGAGTGCGGGGTCGCCGCGTGCCAAGAACGTCACGACGGCCAACGGCGTGTCCAGCAACTCGTCGCCGTCGCCGCGAGCCGGACAGGCCAGCCGCGCCGGGATGATGGCCCAGCAGGCCATGAACGGCCAGATGCAGTTCGCGTCGGCGCCCGGCAGCAACCTTCAGCTCTCAGCGAGCCAACAGCAGGCGATGCAGCAGCAGCAGCAGCAGCAGCAGCAGCAGCAGATGAAGGCCGGCAACATGGGTATGGCCAACCAGCTCGGCATGGCAGGCTCGCCCAACACCGGCCACGCCAAGGCGCAGCATGCGGCGACGCCGAACCACGGCTAACCAGAAGGCGACGCCCGTTCGACCGCAAGCCTGGCTTTGTACATACGATTCTTCCGCCTCTCGGCGAGGCGCGGGCCACGACCATCCTCTCTCGGCCCCTTCCCCACTCTTCGATCCCTTTCCACCTCTTCACCCTCCGTACTTCTCTCTCTCTCTCGAGAGACCTCGAGGACCTCACCGTGTCCCACCATGTAATTTACAAGCAGCATCCGCCGACTATACAGCCAGCATCCCTCCAAAACAGGCCTCAATCTCGATCGCCCCCTCACCCTCCCTCCTTTTGTCCTCGTTGTGCGGCCGGCGCACGAGGCCGAGGGAGGAGGAGAGGGGGATTGTACCACCACCCTTATTTTTCGCGTCTTGGTGTGAAGGGGCGCTGTCGCGAGGGTGAGAGGCACCGAGGCGAGGGGTGAGGAGGACAGCTCCTGTCTGAGGCTTGGAAGTCGGAGCGGGGGTGAGGCTGGGGCTGGGGTGCCCTTGGCTGCACTCAAACTGCCTCCTGACCCCGGCGAGTTGGTCTGGGCTGGGCTGGCCTGGCCTGCTGAATTGCGTGATCCCCATGCAGGCCTGCCTCCCGGGTCGATGCAGGGCCCGGCTTCCTGGCACAGCGCCAGGCGAGCTGCGATGCAGGCCGGCAAGCAAGCGGCCCACCTGCCTTGGCCTGGCTCGAAGATCCCGCGTTGCCCATGACTCAACGCCAAGCAGAAGATTTCGAAGATCCGAGAGCTGCAAGTTGCGAGGAGCGACAGACCTCCTCCCATCACCACCACCACCAACACCGCTACACGAACCCCGAACCCGACTCACACCTCCAATTATGGCGACCAACATCACCTTCCACCCGGGCCACGTCTCGTACGAGGAGCGATCGAGCCTCCTCTCGCAGCGCGGCCTGACGCTGTGGCTGACTGGCCTTTCGGCGTCTGGCAAGTCGACGATTGCCACGGCCCTCGAGCAGCACCTGCTGCACCTCAAGAAGTCGGCCTACCGCCTCGACGGCGACAACATCCGCTTCGGCCTCAACAAGGACCTCGGCTTCTCGCCAAAGGACCGCGAGGAAAACATCCGCCGCATCGCCGAGGTCTCGACCCTCTTCGCCTCGTCCACCACCATCACCATCACCAGCTTCATCTCGCCCTACAAGGCCGACCGCCAGGTGGCACGCGACCTCCATGCCGCACACAGCCCCGCCCTCCCCTTTATCGAGGTGTTTGTCGACGCCAGCATCGAGGAGTGCGAAAAGAGGGATCCCAAGGGCCTCTACAAGAAGGCAAAGGCCGGCGAGATTAAGGGTGGGTGGCCGCCCGCGCTCCCCAAGACCAACGATGCCTCTGCACAGATCCTGACGCCGACTTTTTTCTCGCCTGTGACGCTCCACTCCTCCCATCCCCCTTTCCTACAACCACCACCAGAGTTCACCGGCATCTCGGCACCCTACGAGGCTCCCGAGAAGCCCGAAATTCACATCGACGCCGACAAGACCTCGGTCGAGGATGCCGTCCGCATCATTACCGAGTACCTCCTCGAGCACAAGTACATCTAGACGTCTTCCCTCCCACCTCTTTCGCTCCTCTACCACCAAAAAATAGGGACTCACCGAATGGCCCGAGGGGCTAGCGAGCAGTATCGCTGACCTGCATCGCTCCCTAACGCCGCTTGCGAGCAGCCGCGACCTGGAAACAAAGAACCCCATAGACGACTAGACCCGCACCTCGGTCTCGACCTGATCGCATCCTCTGCCCTGACTGAAGTCGGGGCGCAACGACTGAAGTGCGGTCCAACGAGGTACGATGCGATTACAGACTGCCGACAAAGTGGCACAACAGAGAGAAGCGTACAGATGGTATCGGGGAGACCCTAAGATAAAGGCCGATGCGGTGGTTGGTATCGATACGCTAGGGTGTAACCGCTGGAGACCGGGTGCATTGCGGGAAGAGGCGGTGACGGACCGCGATGGATCATGCCGATGAAGCGGCACCGGCGGCAGCGACCTCGACTGCTCCGCCTGCCGCCTCTGCATCGCCCAGTTGTGACGCCTCAACCTCAGCCGCCTCTGCTCCGGCCTCGGCCTCGGCCGTCGCCTGTGCCGCGGCTTCTGCCTCTTGCCGCTGGAACCTGGCCATGTTTTTGATGGTCGGCTCAAAGGGCAGCATGTCGCTCTCCCACTCCCACCACCGCGTCATCTCGCGCAGGTTGTCCGTCACGTTCTCGTTGGTGGCCGTCTCGATGACGAGCCGGTCGTCGTACAGCAGCCGCGGCGGCGCCTTGCGCGCAAAGATGGCCTGGTCGATCGGGTGGAGCGTCGCGTAGACCGAGCGCAGCTTGCGCTTGCGAGCCAGCAGGCTCGCCAGAGACGCTTCGTGAGCTGCCGTCGTCTGCGACAGCGATAGGTCCTGGATCGAGAGGTTGCTGGCGCCCGAGCGACGCCGGAACGTGTCGTCGTGCTTCCTCCGCCTCTTGCGCGTTTCGGTGTCGTGCGACGACGATGCGCCGCTCGACTTGTACGAGCTGGCCAGCGCGGCTGCCTCCTCCTCGGAAGTCGGGATGTCCATGACGGCGCACAGCGTCTCGACCACGCCAAACGGATGACCTTCGACGTGTGGAAGCCACAGCGACCATCGAAAGTGCCTCAGGTTGGGCAGCTGGCCGCCGAAGCTGCCAATCGCCCGAGCCTCGGTCGCGAAGAGCATGCAGCCGGAGATGTGCAGCGTCCTCAGCGTCGCAAAGAAGGGCGCGGGGATGAGGATGCCCGGGATTGGAAAGACGCTGGTGCTGCCACGTCCAGCAGCGTCGCCGCGCGACTCGCGTGCCATCCGATCGTGATGGCGCTGCACCAGCTCTCGCTTCGACTGGTAGATCGGGTGTCCGAAGAGGAGCGGCGACGACCAGTACGGCGGCGGCGGCCCGAGCGAGAGGCTCTTGAGCTTCACCATGCCCACCATCGGTCGACGGCCGCAGACTGCCCGCTCAAAGACTCCGTCGAGCGCCAGGTTGCGGAGCTTGGGCGCCAGCGTCAGGACCGTGCGCAAGCTCGACAGCACCGAGCCCAACGTCATCTCCGAAAGCAGCCGGTCCTCTTCGTTGCGCCTCCTTGTCCGCTCCCGCAGCTTCGTCGAGAAGCCGGTGCCGTCATCGAGACCTTCATCGGGCTCGTCAAGGTCGCCTCTTCGCAACGCCGAGCTGTAGCCAAACATGCCGCCCCTCGATCCGATGACGCTGTTGCCGGCGCCGGCGCGCTCGTTGCCGTTAGCGTAGTTGTTGCCGCCGCCCCACAGGTCGGCCTGATCCTCGCTCTTCTGCAGCTCCGACTCGCCAAAGAGGGGCAGGGAGCGTGAGCCTCGTCCCGTCCTTCGTGATCGCGTGGCCCGATTGGCGATGGGGCCCAGACGCTCCTCGCCCGCGTCCGACTCGACGTCGCTGTCGTCGGATTCGAACTCGAGCTCCGACTCGGATTCATCCGAGCTGGACAGGGCGTCGATGTCGGACTCGCGCTCGCCATTCCAGACATCGCCTCGATCCGAGGGTGGCGCGCCACCGACCAAGAGGTGACTGGCGCCGGACCTGGCGAAGAGCGTTGGGTGCGTGAAGTGGTTCTTCGTGTTGAGGCTCGCCGGTGGAAGCACCGCTTTCCAAGCGAGATGACCTCCGCCCTCGCGCTGCGCCGCCTGCCACACCCTGCGAGCCACGATCCTGCCCCTCGCCCGGCTTTTTGCAATGAGCCAGACCAGCCACCATTCCACCTTCTTGTCACCGACGGTGGCCATCTCTGACCAGCTCTGCGAGCTCCACGCCGGCTTCTTGACGCCCATCTCGGCGAAGCACCGATCCCGCTCGAGGTCGATCTCGTCGAGATCGAGCGACTCGGAATAGACTGGCTGATCGTCGTTGAGCGTGGCATCCGGCGGCCTCGGTGTCTCTGGCTCCGGCGGCGTGGAAGCGTTTGACCAGTCCAGGGGATCGCCCTCGGTACCCGGGCGTCGTTCGGCCGCTCCCTTTGGGCCGAAGGGAGCGGTCAGGTCGCCGTCTAGCATTGTCGTCACTGTCGACGCCCCGAGATTCGATGCCGATGATGGACTCGGCTGTCGCTGTGGGCTGCTTGACGATGACCTGGCCTGCCGCCGCTGCAATCTCTGAAGCTCGAGCCACCATGCCCGCAACGCCACCTCCCTGAGTTCGACGACGAGATCCCTGCCGTCCCAGAGCCTCAGCATCCACTCATCCACACCGATCCAGTGATAACCGCGCGAGTCGGGATCGCCCGAGCCGGGCGCATCAATGTGGATACCGCGAGGCGCTCGCAGAGGATCAATAGTCCTGGAGTTGCCGTGGACGTGGAAGGCTGCCCACTGCGCTATTCTCTTCTCGAAAGCGGGCGATAGGATGTTCGTCGGCGGGATCCCCTGGGCGAGGCACTTTCTGACATCGCCGATGGTGGCTATTGTGTCGTTGAGCGCGTAGGCGGCCTGGCAGCCTCCCAGACCAAAGTTGAGAGCATTGATGGGCAGCTTCTCGCCCACGTAGGCATGACCGACCCAGAGGTGCTTGACGAGGCGACCGAGGGCGGGTCGAGTGGCCAATGTCCTCGCAAAGAGGGAGAGGCTGATCGGGTCGCTGAGGCGGGGCCCCTTGTAGAGGATCGCAGCGATGAAAGGGTAGTGCTGCGGCGAGAGGCATAGGAGCTTGAGAGTGGTGGGGATGTCGAGGTTTGGCGCCGACGACTGGACACGAATCTTGTCAGCCTCGTCCTGTGGCGGTTCCCGATGGGTGTGGTCGTGCACGGGAGGCAGTGTGCAGGCAAGGCGAAGGATGTCGTCGATGATCTCGTCGGGTAGCGGGACCGCCATCTTGGTCATCGTGGCAGATGGGTGGCACCGGTTGCGCCGGCCGGGGGCTGTGCGTCGGCCGTGCACGCTGCTTCGCTAGAGATCCGACGACAGCCTTGTCCGGATGAGCAGGTGATGCTACGAGGTTTGGAGGAGGTGCGCGAGATTGAGGAAGTCGGTGAGCCACGCAGCCGTTGAGTGACGCTGTGCTTGGTGTGAGCAGGACGAGACCAGAGCAGCGTCGGGCGCACAATAGGGGTATCGATGGGTGGGAAGACGAGCAAACGACGACAGCCTGTGATACAGGCAGGATGGAGGGATGGGCCAAGGATCGTAAAGATGGTGAAGAGGATGAGGACGAGAGCGGGGAGAAACGTGGGCCAGATGTCAGGAATCGGGGGGCGCTCAAAAAGGTTGGCAGCGCGCGTGCAGGCGTGGTCGTGTGGGAAAGGCCTGACGTCGGCCAAATACCGAGGTCGAGGCCAGGCCAGGGGGTTCCAGAGGCAGGCCAGGGCCAGGGCCGCCAAAAACGCGGATCGGACCGTGGCCGCCCCTCCCTACCGCTACCTGTGGCTCCCCACCATCTGCCGGCACCCTCCGACAGAGGACGGATGAGGCGCACGCACGTACTCTCTAGCAGGTTTCTGTAGCAGCAGCGATGGGGCAGCAGGGTATCGGGGAGAAAGAGTGAGACGGGAGGCGTGCGCCGCAGATCTCGGCCACGTACTGCAAGCTGGCCCCAAGTCGGCGGTAGCGCCGACGACCAGCGGACGAGAGGCTCGCTAGGAGCGAGGCTGGAAAGGACGGGCGGCCAGGCCGGAGCAGGGACGATGGGACCTTGACGGAAGGGAGGCGGATGCGGGGGTCGCTCCTAGATGGGCGGCGATCAGATTCGCTCGAGATATACGGTGGCTGGCTGCGAGCAAGCCAACAACCAGGCCACGCGTAAAAGTGAGGCCGCGGGAGCGGGAGGGTCCTGCTGGGCTGCTTGCTGCCTGCCTGCGGCTGTCCGAGCAGGACGACGACGAGGCACCGGCTGTAGGCAGGCGGGCCAGCATACGCAGGGCAGCGCAGGGCAGACGAGAGCGGAGCGAGGTGATGCCGCGAGGGTCCTCTCACCTGCTTGCTTGCTGCTGTGCTTGCGTTGCTCCCTCGTGAGCGGAAGGCAGCGATCCGGTACTAGCCTCTGTGCCTTGCCCGACCTGCCTGTCGCCCCGTCTCGAGGCGCCCCCGTTTCGCCACCTCTCCTACGCTCGCCATTCCTACGCAACCGCCTGGATCATAGGCGGGCCCAACCAGGGGTTCGTAGCGCGCTTATGCCTTGGTTCTGCCGCGTCCGGCGCACCAGGCGGTACCGTAGCCTAAGCTGATGAGCCTCGAGATCCGGGCGATGCCACCTGGCGGAAAGGCCGGAAATGCAAGCCACGAATCGCTCTTCTCACAACCCGTGCCTGGGCCGGTCCGGGGCAGGTGAGCAGACCCTCTTTTTCGAGGTGGCGAGGCGGGTTTGAACCCAACCAGCCAAAAGCAGGCGGGCTTGCTTGCCCTCGGTGTGAGACAAAAAGCGCGGCCCCGCAACCTCGAGCAAGCAAGCAGCCGCGTAAGCTGGCCTCGACCTGCGCGACCCTGGAGGTCTCGGAAGCGCACTGCGGTGCGATCGATGTTGGGGAGCTTCGAGTGTGGCGGGGTCGTTTCTGGCTCGACACCCACACCACGTACAACGCACGAGCGAGAGCAGCGGGGCCGTACGATATCGCCGATGCTCTCTCAGATAGCAAAGAGCGAGGTTAGGAACGAGCAGACGGGGGCGGCCAATATAAGGTCGTTCTAGCGTCGTCGGCTCTTGCCCAGAGGAGCGCTACCGGTACCTGCCATTCTGACCCGGCCAGAGCTCAGGCTGCTCCCGCTCGTTACCGTCCTGCTCGCCTTGCTTGCTTGCTTCTGATTCGCGGAACAGAACTCCGACCCGGATACACCTTGTCCGCTGCGCTCGCCCGCCAGTTCCAGCTAGCTGTGTTGTGGATCCGACAGCGCGGCGAGCGTCGCTCTCGCCGCTCTTTCTACCGCAGATGCTCTTGGCCTGCCGTGTCGTGAGTCACGCCTCCGTCCAGAGAGCCAGATGAGCTCACCAGCCATCGTATCTCGCTTGCCGTCGGTCAACCCCCGACGGCTTAAGAGGGAGCGTCTCGGAAGCCCTGCCGACAGTCCCTCTCCAGTCCGGCGTCGGGCGGGCTCCCGAAACCTCAACCGTACCTGACCGTATGGATCGATGTAGTCCCCTGCGGACGCTCGAGGAGCCGTTCGCGCCACAGAAGCGCTAAGTTACTCTAGCTGCTCATCACGGGCGGGGAACGTCTTGTACGGCCGCTCCGTACGTCGCGCTTCGCATCATGCTGATGCATGAGACCAGACCTTCATCCTTGGTAGGTGCCTCCTCGACCAGGTTTGATGCGACCGCGCACAGAGCTCACCTCTGCCAGCCCGCCGGGTCTTGGCATCGATTATGTGCAGGTTCATCCCATCTCCGTTCCGTGGGTTGGCCGTCGCCATCTTCGGTCCGACACTCTCGATCCACGGAGGCCGGTCTGCAACGGCAAGCTTAGCGGCGGGTCGGCAGGCAATGGTAAGCGACCGGTGACATTCTTTCGGCTAGCCCATCCTCGCCGCAAGGCAGTGGATCGATCGCACGAAGAAGCGCCCTGCGCAGGGGGAACAAGCAACGGATGTCGTGGCGCCGATGGGATGAGCAGCGTGGTCGTGGATCCCAGCCAAGACGGGATCGGCCACGCCACGACCGTTCGCCCGGGCGGAGAAACATCCTCCGCTTATACCAAAGACTTCTCACTTCTCAGCGGCGTCGGCATCAAACGTGCTGTGCACTTGCGAGCCGCTCGCGCACATGTGGGCGGGGTGTGGCGGCTCGAGGCAGCAGGCTAGGAGCAAGGAGCGCCAAAGATTGCTGCGATTCAAGGGTCTAGACGGGCCCGTGCCTGATCTTTGAGGCGGCATGAGCCCAGAAGACAAGCGAACGAAAGGTGATAGGGGTGAAGGAGCCTACATCGAAGGATCTAGAGGCGGACGTGTGCTGCGAATCAAGGGGGGGCATAGGGAGTACGAGTCTTTGTATCGACGACGGAAGGGGGAGAGCCGATGGCGAGGCGGAGGAGACAAGGGGAACAGGCGTGGTTGCGGTAGCGTCGGTCGACGAGCTTCCGACAGACCCTGACGAGTTCGCTACGCGTCGAGCCGCTCGACAGCCGACCCTGCCGTACCTGGCCGGGCCCGCCAGCGAAAGAGGGACCGGTCGTCGGAGGGATCGACAAAACGCATCAGGAAGACAGGCTTGCGGCATGAGATCGCCGTTCAGCAGCAAAGAGGGATCGGAAAGACGAGGCTAAAAGCGGAGGCAGGCTGCACCAGAACGGGAGCCCCGCATTCGCAGAAGAGGAGGGAGGAGGCCCAGCAACGTGAAAGCAGGCATTGCGGAGCTGCGTCGAGGAGCGATTGCGCGACTGTCCGTACGCCGTGATGCTGACCGAGAGGCGACAAGGGATCATCACCAGCTGTCGCCGCCATAGTCGTCGTCGTCGCCGCTGCCGTCGTCGTCGCCGCTGCCGTCGTCGTCGCCGCTGCCGTCGTCGTCGCCGCTGTTGTCGTCGTCGTCACCACCAAAGCCAGGCCAGTCGTCGCCCCCGTTGTCTCCACCAGGGTCGCGTTCTTTGCCCGCATTGCCTCCCTGTTGCGGCTGCGGCTGTTGCTGCTGCTGCGGGCCGCTGTTCTTGTTGTTGCCGGCCTGACCGCCCTGCTGAGTACCGCCCTGACCGCCCTGCTGAGTACCGCCCTGACCGCCCTGCTGGGCACCGCCCTGGCCGCCCTTTTGACCACCGCCCGGGACGTAAAGGCTGTCGTAGGTGTAGCAGTTGATGCCCTCCCGGGGATGCATGACGTCGCGGACCGTGATCGGGGTGACGAGGCCCACAAAGTCGATCTTGTCGTCGAGCGAGACTCTGGGACCGTTCTTGCCTGGGCCCTCGCCGTTCCATGCCACTTGCAGCCTGGGTCCGGAATAGTCGTAGTAGTTGCCGCCGCAGTATTCCTGTAGGCTGCGCCAGACCCAGTCCATGGTTCCGTGCAGCACCCAAAAGAAGGCGTCGTTGGGCCTGGAAGAAGTCGCGCGCATGCCGGATCGAACGCCAGAGACGACGTGAAGGACAGCATCGTACCCCGGATGTCAGCTCGGGAGACATGGAGGTTGCACGCGAGCTCGACAGCCTCGTCGCCCTCACTACTCACGAACTTCCAAGGGACATGGTGCCGGCGATGCCCGCATGGACGCTGCCGTGCGGCAGCTGTTCGAGCAGGGGTCGGTAAGTCTCGTAGTCGCAGTGCTTGAAGATGTCGTCGAGAATCTCGGTGGTGACCATCGTCGCACCAGGCGTGCCATCGCTGTGCGGCAGCCAGTCCTTCTGGAAGTTCCTAGTGATATCCACGGGGAAGTAGATGGGCTTGTTGATGTCTTGAGAAGATGCGGAAATGTTGCCCCGCACTTTCAGGCGCAAAACGAGGCGGTTCGGAGAGGAGGGGAAATTCATTCGTGAAGCGTCAGCATCCGGGGACGAGGGCGATACAAGGACGGCGTGCCCAGAGAAGCTGACAGTGCTCTGATCGAACTTACTTTTGGCGAAGATGCCGTCGGGGATCTGCGAGACGAAGCATTCGGCGTCGGGTTGGCAATGGATGACAAGTACATCTCCGTTAGCAGCTTGGCGTGGAACTTGAGAGACGCTGTTCGCTGGGCAAGGCAACTCACGCTACCGCCCTTCCCGTCTCCGCCAAAGTTCTGCGCACCAAAGGCGTCCGAAGCCGGCAGGTATTTTCCGTCGATCAAGCTGAAGACATCGATGTACTGAGACTCGAAGCGGCCAGGTGCGACGGACCGCGGACAAAACGCTGCATCAGAATCAACCTGCGCCGTCCTTCTTAAACTCATTGGAAGCGCGTCTTACTCACGACCTCCGGTCCTTTGTAGCCGGTGAGCCTCATGTACTTGTTAAATATGTTCAGGAGGGCACAGTGCCAAGGCAAGAAGCCACCGTTGAAGTGTACTGGCAAGCAAATTGGGGAAAGGAGATTGGACAGGAGCGCGGAGCGTGTGAGCGCGACAGAACAACGGCGCAAGTGACGGAGGCGTTGAACGAGCTCATGCTTCAACACGCGGCTTCGCTCACATTTTTGGTTGAGATAGATGTGCTTTGGTCGGCGAATGCAGCGTTGGATGGCAGAGTCGAAATGAAGGGTACAGGTGTCAGGCAGAGAGGCGCGGAGACGTCAACATGCGTTCGTCGAAAGGTGTTGCAGCTGGGCCAGGGCCATCCGACTCACCCCCGCGACAAAGTCATCGATGACCGAGCCTCCCTGCAGCAAGACGCTGTTTCCCGGCATGGTCAACCGCTTGAAAGATTGCAGCCAGTCCTGCCTCTCTTGTTCGGTGAGGGAGAACCACTCCTTCCTGACGCTCGGTTCCTGGCAGAGGGGCGAGACCTTCTTGTTCTGTCGCCTGGCGAGCTCGAGGGGGGACAGGTTGGCGCTTCGTCCCTGGAGCTTCGAGTGCTTGCCGATGTCCCTGACAGTCCTGCGCTCAAAGCCGCTCACGGCCACCGAAGGCTGCGTCGCGGCGAGGAGCATCAGGGCGATGACGCAGAAGGTCAAGAGTCCAGGCAGGCCTCGGCGTTTGGGAGCGGTGTCCGCCACTCCTGTCGAGTGGCGGCGGGAAGCAGCCGTTACAATTAGCATGTCAACGGTGTCTTTGTGGTGGTCTCGGTAGTGCTCGGATGCCGTCGAGGCGGTAGCTTTGTGTCGGTGGCAAGGAAGTGATGTTCGGAGAGTCGGGGTGGATGTGGAACGCGTTGGAATCGAGGATAGGTGGAATGAGCGTGTGATGTAGACTGAGTAGTGGTGTCTGGAAGGGAGAAGTGGCGGGCCAGCAATCCAGAGGGAGGTCGAGGGGGTGCCAAGTAGGCAAGTGTTTCGAAGAGAGGCAGGGGATGAGGAGAAAGAGTGGTTGGCGTGGATGAAAGGCCAGGGGATAGAGGGGGTGAGTGGGCAGAGGAATAAGGGGGCTCAAAAGCTGACGCTCGGCCCAACAACCCACCTTTTATAGACCGTCACCTCGAGCGCCGGAGCCAGTGCACAGCCCCGAGCGGAGGCTCGAGCTCGAGGCCGAGTAAGTAGTGATCGGCCCGAAGTGAGGTGGGGCGCAGACCGTGCCGTCCTGTCCGGCCTCTTGCATATCGGCGTACTGCTGCGGCTCAGAGTCAAGGTGGGCGCTCTTCGGCCCCTTGTGGCGGCAGTGTGCCAGGAACGCCACCGCAGTGCAACCGCCCCACGACCTCGGCCAAAGGGGGAGAGCTTTTGCCACATCACCGGTCGAGGGAGCGAGACACGCGCCCTGATACGGGCTGGCTGCGTTGGAAGGAGGGCAAGACTGCTCGGTGCAACAACGGGTAGCCGGCATCGCCACAGATTGTCGTTGTGCCCGAAGCCGAGTCTGCGCAGGTCATGCCGTTTTTGGACGAGTCACGGTGAGGTCTGACGCTCTGCAACGAGACCGGGTCGACGTTCGGCTTGTCCCTGTGTCACCTGGTGCATGGCACGGCCAGATCGTCCGACAATGCGGCGAAAGGCAACCTGTATCGTGTCTGTTGTGCCATCGGTTGCCCAACTCAGACTCGCTATCTCGTCGATGTCGTGGGCAACGCAACATCCGGTGGGTGGCAAGCGCCGGGGTCCCCCTTGCGGATTGGACAGAAGAACCGGTGGGCGATGCGTTGTCGACCGGCGTGGGGAGCGGTGCTACGAATGAATGTCTGTGGTGGTACAGGGCCCCTTCGAACGGTGCAGCTTGCAACGACGAAGCGGGGTGGGGTGGAATGACACGGTACAAGTACAATAGTCTCGGCACGGGATCGGGCTGGCCTGGGCTGCCGCCTCCAGCTCAGGACGACGTGGCAGAGGGCACTGCCGCGCCTTCAGCTGAGGATGTAGAGGGGAGCGAGTTGAGGCGATTTCTGGCCTCCTTGAGCGCCCTCTCGGCCTTGATCAGCCGCTCACGTCCCCGCTCCAGCTCCTTGACCGCGCTGATCCGGGCCATGTCCAGTCGGTCGCTCTCGGCCTGCTGCGCCTCTTGCGACAACGCGTCGAATAGGTAGCCAGTGGGGGCGTGCAGCGGGTGGGGAGGCAACAGAGGCTGCTTGGAGGAGACAGCAACCTTGGATGCCGAGTCATCGAGGGCGGACTGATACGACCGGTAGGCCGACGGGTCCGAGAACGCCTGAGCAGAGGTCACTGGCAGCCTGTTCAATGGCAAAGGACAAAAGATGACGCAGGTCAGGTCGGTCAGTCGTCGCCCCAATCTCGCACCAAGGCCCGCATGCCGACGCCAAAGCCACTCACGGCGTAGGGGGGTTGGCGATCAAGACCTCATAGAACGCTTCCGTGGGCTCTGGAAAGACGATCTCGTCATACTGCCAAGAGTGCACCACAGGCGGCAAGGCAGGTGGAGCGGCCGTGGGGACGTTGGTGGCTGACGGGGCAGATGCGGCGATGGCAGTCGCAGCCGGCTGAGAGCCGTGACCTGAGGATGACGGAGCTCCTTCACCTGCATTCGAGGGCCCGTTCGCATCGACCATCCCCACATCGGCGGATGCGGCGGCATCTACTTGCCCGTTGCCAGTGTCAGGCGCGGAGGTAGTGCCGGCGTTGGCTGCAGTTGCGGCGGCACCGCTGCCCGATTGTACCGCCTGGCCAGCGCTGCCTGCGACACCGTCGGATTGAGTCGAAGGCGCCAGCATGTTGAGCCAAGGGTGCAGCTTGAGATGGTGAAAGACGGTGACCGGCTTCTCGTTGGCGTCGGGGACGAAGAAGATCTTGACCTGGATCTCGAACTCTCCCCACCCGGTCTCTGTCACACTGAAGGGCGGCTTGTCGATGTCTGAGGAGGCACGGCGTGCGGCGAGATCGGCGCAATGTCAGCACATCATCGTCTCTGCGAGAGCGGCGACGACAGGACCTTTGGAAAGACTGGCGCGCGATCGCCACGGCGAAGCCATCCGGACTCACTCCGCGTAGGCTGAGTGTAAGTGTCGTGGAGCTTGAACTGCACCCGACGAACGAAGTGCGAGATGTCGTCCTTGCCTCCGACGAGGCGATGGTAGTCGACTTCGAGCTCTTTGCCTCGTGTTGCTATCCCGGCAGTCAAGGATGCAGGTGCAGGCGTAGTGCCCGCGCCTGGCGAGGCTTGGGACGAGCCGAGTACGGTTCCCGCTGCCGCCGCTGCCGCTGCAGCAGCAGCATTCATCGTGGAGACCTCATCCCCTTGTTTGAGCCCAGACGAAGCGTTGAGACCGGAGATGGTGGAGAGCGAGGGTAGAGGATGGGAGGCGGCGCTGCGGACAGCGACGGTCCACTTGTGGGTGTGGTCTGGCGGGGCGGTGAGCTTCTCGGCAGGGGTGAGCGGGGTCGAGGTGGAGCCAATTAGAATGGGCCGGTGGATGGCGATGCCGCGGATGCGTTTGTTGGACATGACCGGCCGTTCGATATCGGCTGACGAGCTCGCTGTTCCTTCCGCGCTGGATCTGAGGGTGTCGGGACAAAAGAGAAAGAAGATGCAAAGAGGGCGAGGATGGTCGCTCGACAAGCAGGCTCGCAGCTGTCGAGGAAAGCGGGAACTTTTGGACCCCAAAGCCAGGCCACGTCAAGCCAACCCGTTGGCCCGTTTTCCGAGAAAAGCCAGCAGCCGGCTCCGCCCAACCGAGGTCGCAGTCGAGGTCGGGGTCGCGGTCGAGGCAAGCCAGGCCTCTCTCTGGGTGCTTTGCTCAGCCAAGTGGAGATCGAGGCAAAAAAATCGGCGGGCCGCTGTCGGGAAGAAACCAACTCTGGGTCGGCGGGTGGCCCATCACCGTCAGCACATCGTGTGGCACCCTTGCCAACCTCCTCGTCGACCCTTTCCGTCGCCACGGCCACCCCCATCGTCCTCATCATCACCAACACTAGCCCCAATCCCCTCGGCCTGACACCGCTCCTCATTTTGCCACCGCACTCTCCCTTGCCCGCCTGCCACTTGCTTTCGCGGTCATTCGCTCCAATCCCCTGCTCTTCATTCTGGCGGCTGCCAGCTGACTCTTTGCGTTGTCGGCATTGCTTCCGATATCCTCTCGCCACCGCGAAAGAGGAAAAGCCGAAATCCTCTCCCCGACTCTGGAGGCACACAGGCGCGCGCTCTTTTCTCTCCTCCCCGCCAAACCGCCGCCTCGTCAGGATCGCGATACCGCCCCATCCACCTTGCCCTTTCACGTCGTCATCTTCTGAGACACCCCGGCTGGAGCGACTCTTCTGCCTTCCAACCTGGCCGAACAAACTTTTCGCCGCTCGCTTGGTGCATGTCTGCCCAACGGTAGCCGTTCTGTCTCGTTCCGGGTCCGTCAGTGGGTATATAGCATGCCTCTGCCGCAATGGCTTCCGCGCCGTCCTCGCGTGCCAGGCGGGCGAGATAGCTGACGTATGGACATCCCGCCCGACTGTGCGTTCAACGACAGGTGTCGCCCATTCCTCGCCCGGGCGTCGCAAGGTCGGGGCTTTGCCGCCGGGAGCGTCTTGGCCATGCGACCGCCTCTTGTCGCTGGCCAGAGCTCCCACGATGGTCTTCGATACCTTGTCTGGGCGGCTGCTGCCCAGCTCTCGCGAACGCTCCTTGCCACCGAGAAGGCCCTGGCTCCCGGTCCTCACGCTGTTTCCAGCTCCGGGCCTGGCCGCTCTCACCGCCAGCAACGCTCGCTTATCCGTAGAGCCGTGAAACAGGCGGCTTCGGAAAGCGACCCGCTTTTCGAGATGCTCTGCCCGCTGCCAATAGCCAATCCGGCATCGTCCTCGTGCCAAGGCACACGGTCACAGGCATGGACCGAACTGTCCGCTCCGTGCTCCTGCTCTAAACAAGTTGCGATCAAGCGGCCGTGCCGCCACCAATTGCACCCCCTGTCGCCTCGCTCTGTCGGAAGCGCAGCGGCCGCCCCGAGACAGCTCCAGCAGCGCAGGCTTGCTTCGACTTCGGCTACGGGCCAATCACCATCCTCTTCTGCCGAGGGGCTGGCTGAAGGCCTGTACGAAGGTGATGGTCGGGACCAGCCGATCGAGGCCGAAGGACGACAGCAACTCGGGGCTGCGGCCGTCGCGGCGGAAGCGGCGGCTTCCGCCTCGCCTGAACCGGGGCCATCGACCGAGGGACCGCATGACCACCTGGACGACGCGCGCTGGGAGGCCGAGACGGAACCACTCGACTTTGACCCCCAAGCCGCCAAGCGCCTGGAACACTGGATCGCCCCGCTACAGCCCAGCTCATCTGGTGTCGACCCGCAGGTCAACGCTCGGAGATACGATGCGCTGAATCGCGCCCTCGACGAGCTTCCCACTTTGCCCAAAAAGCACCACCACGATCTCCGCGAGAGGCTCTCTGATGCCCTCAGCAAGGTCTGGTCCGCCTATCGATCCATCTGCCACATGGAGCGCATGCCGCTTTCTTTGCGAGTGAGGACGGCCAGGGCCATTGTGCGCACGACGAGGCTGATCAAGTCGCATCGCCAGTCCTTTCCCAAGATCCTCACCGTCAGCAACAAGCAAGGTCGCCGTCTCACCGCCATCGTGCGGGACTGCCACTTCTTCACCCGCTATGCCCAGCGTACGCAACCGTCCGACCGGTACCAGTTTGCCATCGACAACTTCGAGGTGCAGGCAAAGGCGCTTCTGGGAGAAGAAATCATGGCCCGCAAGCAGCTCGTAACTGTCATGGAGCCGTACAAGGACAGCCTGCTCGCTGTGCTCAAGGACTATGTCCCCATCGGCGTGCATCTGCCCGAGGAGGTTGCCACCGATCTCGTTGAGTCAATGTGCGCCATCCTCGACGCCATGATTGCGCGGGACCAGAATGCACGCTTCCGTGCTGCCAAGTTGCAGGAGCATCCCGTCGAGGAGCTCAAGCCCTCGGTCGGCCTGGTCCCATCTGAGCCGGTCAATGCCGGCGAGCGCGCAAAGCCCGCGCCGTCGCGGCAGGCCAGCATGCTCGTCTGGCTTCTCAAGAACCCACACGCCTTTGCCTTGGTCAACTCGAGGTCTGTGAAACACGCCGGAGCCCGCTTTGGCGAGTTCATGTCGGCGGTCGACGATCCAGTCGAGATGCTAGAAAAGGCGATCGGAGACGCCGACTGGGCAAGCCTTGGCCCTTCAACGGCCGCGACGCAGTTGATGCTTGCCTTTTTCCACTCCTCCGTCAACCTCACTGCCATCGACGTCTACCGCAACGCCACTCGCCGCGGTGCCAGGATCGACGAGGCCGCCGCCCGGTACGCGCTCCGGCTCTCGGTCTTCCAAGAGGACACTGTCACGACCGAGGCTCTCATCCGGCTCATCACGCAGAACATGGCGCGGGCCGCCAAGCTTGGGTGGAGGGAAAACCGGCACCTCAGCCCGTCGACGATAGCCACGATTGCCATGTTCCGGGCTCGCCATGCTCAGATCGAGAAGATGGAACAGTCTCTGGCCGAGTTGGAGCGACAAGCACCGGATCCCGACTACGCGCGCAACGTCGCACGCCAGGCGCGGCTGGAGTCCATTATCGCTCGGGGCGACTTGCAGGGCTGCCGCGCGGAGATGGCAAAGGTCTACGATGTCGACGGCCTCGGTGCCGAGTCCGACGCCCCGTCCGCCAAGGCTCGCCCCGACCGGGCCTACTTCTTCTCGCTGCTGCGCTGCTGCAACAACGCCGACGACGTTGAGAGCGCCGTCAAGTGCTGGGAGGAGATGCTCGAGGCCGACGTGGTCCCGGACGTGCTGATGCTCAACTCGTTGCTGGAGCTCTACGCGCGCGGCTCCGACGTCGACTCGGCCCTGCAGCTCTTCGAGAGCATGAGGGAGTGGGGCGTGCGGCCAGACGCCTACACGTACACCATCCTCGTCCATCTCTTCGCGCTGCGGCGGGATACCGAGGGCGCCATCCACGCTGTCAAGGCCATGGTCGCCGATCGCGTTGAACCCAATGTGGTGACTTGGACCGCCTTGCTCAACGCCTATGTCGAATCCTCGTCGTGGGACGCCACCATCGGGCTCTTCCGCTGGATGCAGAACAATCCCAAGCGCTCGCTGCGGCCGAGCGTGGCGACCTACAACACGCTGCTCAAGGCCTATGTCAAGCGGGCGATACCGATCCAGACGGTCATGTCGACGGCGACCGACATGCGCAGACTCGGCATAGAGTGGAACGAGTACACGTTTGCGCTGGTCCTCCAGAGCGCGTGCGACGCCGGCCTCATGATCATTGCCGAGGAGATCTTCACGCAGGCCGAGGCGAGGCTGCCGCCTCCTCCCGGCCTGCGGGCGGGACAGGGCGCCAACCTCTACCACTTCACCATCATGATCAACGGATATCTGCGATGGGGCAACAACGAGGAGGCCAAGGAGTACTTCAACGAGCTTCAAGACCGCGGCATCGAGCCGAGCGCCATCACCTGGTCTGCCATCGTTTCGAGCTACGCAAACAGCGACAATGAGGACAACTTCCACCTCGCCCGCACGCTGGTCACCCAGCTGGTCAGCGACGAGGTGGTCAGAGGCCTGCAGAGGCCCAAGTGGAAGAGCCCCGCTGTCCGCCAGGGCCCGCCCTACGAGAACATGTTCATGCCGCTCCTGGTCGCTCACGGCCGGCGCGGAGAGATTGACGAGGCCGAGGAGACTGCCGACAGCCTGATGTCGACGGGCTCCGGCCTGTCGCTCTACACGCTCACGGCGCTGCTCGACGCCTACCGAAGGGCGGGCGAGGTGGACAAGGCGATGCAGCTCTACGATACCATGTACGAGCAGGTTCTGCGCGACACCAACATCGACCTCTCGCGCATGTTCACCGACGCCGAGGACCTGCGGGAGCAGATGCAGACGCAGAGGGACGGGTCCAGGCGGCCGGGCTTCAGCCTCGAGACGTCACACAATGTGGATCCCGCTCGCCGCAGCATGCTCTGCATGCCCATCTCGATCATGATCCAGCTGCTGTCGGCCGCCGGCCGCCACGACGAGATTGCACAGATCTGGTCGCGGGCCAAGCGCGACGGCTTCGCCTTCGACCCACACAACTGGAACAACCTTGCCACCGCCATGGCCCGCGCCGGCCAGCTCGAAGAGGCGATGATGGTCATCGAACGCGTCCTCCACCATCCGGTACCAGACTACCGCGGCCGGAAGAGCAGAGACGACCGATTCCGTACGATCGCTCCCGAAGAGTTTGACGACGACGAAGACATCGAGCAGGGCTCGGAGCACCGCAGCGAGCATTCCATCCGCTTTTCGCAGGAGGACGATCCGCTGTCGATGAAGGATCTGTACCCCTCGTACCTCTACAACGGCGAGGACCGGACCGCTTCGCCTGCCAACCCTCCGAACCGGCGGCACGAGTATCGATTCCGCGACGACCCTCACACCCCGCTGCCCTTTGACCCCAACGAGGACGTCAAGCTCGAGGATGGCGGAGCGACGGATGGACAGGCCAGCAACGCGGCCTCGCCTTCGTCTGCCAAGAGCCGCCGGGAGCGCGAGCGCGAGACTCAGCGTCGCGCCGCTGCGGTCCGCAACATGACCCAGCACCTTTACGACCACAATGCGTTTGAGATGACGCTCAACCCGTGGTTTGCGCACTTCGAGACGCTCCAGGTGGTCACGGACGAGCTCGACCGGCTGCGCTTCGGCGAAGGGCAGGTGGGATGGCGGACGGCCAACACGCTGCTGACCAAGCACAAGGTCGCAGCGCACATCCTGGCTCAGCACCGCAAGAAGGTCGAAGCAATCGAGGAGGCCAAGCGGCTAAAGGCCCAGAGGAGCGCGGGACGAGATCTCTCCCGGTCGGCATGAGGAGGGAAAGCGAGCCCATGGCGTGGCGCATTCTAGGGGCGGCAAGCATGCGCGTGTCTGTCGTAGGGCTCATGAAGTAGACGTTTCATAGCGGAAACAATGCATACGAAAAGGGGCCATGCCTCTCTATCAGGACAAGGATGCAGCTCGAGGAGATGGCTGGGCACGTTTGCACGCACTGGACGGCGGTGGCGGCCGAGACCGGCTTCGCCGAGGGAAGCGTTCGCCGTCGGGCCGGACTGCTGCGCGGGAGATGCTTGCTCTATGCGTGCCGTGGCGAGACCTGACACCCGACAAAGGAAAAGGGAATGATTTCCGGTCCCTCCTCGCCTTCAAAGGTGAGTTGGTCCTGAAGGAAGTCGGGAAAGACCTGGAGGTCGAGAAGCAGTAGTGGCCAACAGTCGGTTCAGTGGACGAGCGGAGAAGGGCTGGCAAGAGGGCCAGAAGGGGATGGCTAGAGGTGCGAGTGGGGGAACACTCACGGTGGGAACCATTTCCAGGCCTTCGACGGCGCAACTGACGGTATAACCCGAGATGAAGCCGCCAACGCTGGTGGCCCCGCTGCCGCCTACGCACCCGCTGCTCCACTTGCCCCTATCCTCTTCCCTGCCGCCCTCGTCGCCCCTCCTCCTGTCGGGCGACTCGAGGAGCCGTGCTGCCGTCTGGGCGCAGTAGTGGTGGAAGGCCGGGCAGAGACCCGTGCTGGGACCGGGTGGGCCGACGGAAAAAGTGCACGCCGTCGAGGCGACGGTGCGTGGATCGTCGGTGGTCGGGAAGAGGAAGGGGAGGTGTAGGACCGTGAGGAGGCTGGTGAGTAGGCTCGAGGTGGGTGGGATCGAGGGCAGAGGGAGGTACATCGTTGACTCGGGCGGCAGCGATGGCTTGTGCTATCGAAGCGGCGACGGCGATGGGGGTCGAAGAGTCGTGAGCTTCTTTATACGCGGTCTGCCTTGGTCTACCTGGCGGGCGCACGGAAGGTCGTCGACTGGTTTTGGCACCGATCCTTCAGCCCCTGTGCTGGCGGAACCTCACGTACGTACGGTCCTCCTCCCGTTCAATGGCCAGCCACATGGCAAAGCAGCTACTGTAGGAGGACCAGAGTCGGAGGTGCGATCCCGAAGGGGCCAGCAAGCGCGCCGCCTGCTGACCATCCCTCCACTGTCGCAAACCTCTCAAGGCTCTCCACTCTATCTACCGCCCCCACCTCCGCCTTCAGCCCAGCCAGGATAATAGGTGAGGTAGGGGGAGCCAAGGGCGGTGTTCCAAAATGGTCTCTGCCTGGCGCAGAGCAGCCGGCCTGTACGTACTTGAGCAACCGGATCATGACCAAGCGCTCGCCAGTGGGACGGCGGAGTTTGACAAGGTCCGGGGAGACCCTGCCTGACCTCCCGACCCTGCTTGGCCGCGCGAACCCCGGCGCCGAAGTAGGCCGTTCACACCGCTTCCGCACCATCGTTTCGGGTGCCTGACGTCGGTAGGCAGGTCAATCTGCCAAGAGAGCAGCAGGTTGATGCAGGGTCTGGAATGTCATGGTCGTTGGCAGAAGCAGATCGATCTATCATTCTAAGATTGCGAGGACGGAAATGGGACCGCAGCGTGTTGAGGAGAGTCTATCTGTGCGAGAGCGCATGCCAGCTATTAGACGGTGCAGAGTTGGTGGTACAGGAAAGAAAAGGGGGCTGGCTCGGTCGTCCGAGCTGAGTTTCGGGGGCGAGAAAACGAGATAGCAGAGACCGAAGTGGGAACCTCGCGCCCGGCCTATGTCGACCGCGCGCCCTTCGAGGCCGTCAGTATGTCTTGCCACAGACCATCAGCAAGAGCGCCCTGGGCGAGAATCCGTCCATGATGGCCTTGGTCATGAGGCCTTTGGAGAGCACCGAGTCGACAAAGTACCTCCCCGGCGCAAAGAGGACGACGAAGAGCCAGACCCGGCGTGCCATGCGGATGAAGCGCGGGTGTCGCTTTGCGAATTCGGTCGACTTGATCAGATCGAGGGCCTGCCGTTCGACCAGGATGCCGCCTGCCTGGCACAGGAAGAAGATATACATCCCTCGATCGTACATGCTGTGTGCCACGCTTGTCGGCCCGATGGCCAACGGTGTGTTGCGGAGGCGGCAGAAGATGAAGGCGCTGTGGCATGTCGTTGGCATGGGCAGGGCGGCAGTTGCGATGAGGTCAATAAACGTCGTTCGGACAGGATTCTGATCCGTGCATCTGGCTGCCGACTTACTGGAACGCAGCGCTGCAGAGGAAGCTCCCGAACAGCTTGCCCGGTCGGGTGTGACCAAAAGGTAGAAGGCGCGAGATGAGGACAAAATCGCGCGAGTGGAAGAGGTGCCAGCCTCGCGCCCAGAGCCTCGAGATGCTGGCCGAACTCAGGGCGCGGTCAAAGGCGGGGAGGTAGGCCGTCGAAGGCGAAGGCCGCCACAGCTTCAGGAGCAACGCCTCGGGCAGCCCCGTGCTGAAGCAGACTCCCGCGCCAAAGATGGCCACGGTGAGTAGCTGGGACACCAGAGGTATCTCGAAGAAGCTCGGCAGGTCGACGGGCGAGCTGCACCGCTGGAAGAGCCACGGTGCGATCCTGAGCAGCGTCGACGACGCTCGCTTCGAGACCGGGACCACGAGGCCGGACGCGCACAGCGTCTTGCTTGCCGGGCTTGCCAGCAGGTAGATCCAGCTCATCCCGAGACCGAGGAAGGCGAACTGCGCAGCGGCCGTGAGGATCGACGTCTCTGCCTGTCCGAAGCGGTGAACATGGGCGTGCGGCGGGACCTGTTCGGGACGCTTGTGCTCTGTTCGAAGGTAGTCTGCCCAGGCGTTGAGGTCGTCCTGCGACCACTGCAGCGCCCTTCTCTGGTTGGGCAGCAGCAACGAGGTCCCCGGTCGTCGCAGGCACATGACGTCGACCGCATAGACGATCCTGCCCCAAGATAGCCAGCTTGGAAAGGGCACCGGTCGCCATTCGAGGGCCGATTCATCCTCACCAGAGGCCAGTTCTTGCACGGGACCGCCGCTGTTGACCTTGGCGTCCTTCTCCTCCGCCCGAGTAGGGATGCGGAAAGGCTTGATCCAGCATGGGCCGCCGGCTTTTGCTGGGTCGTACAGCGAGTTGAGCGTGAGAGCGAGGCAGACTTCGATGGCCTTGACGAGGAGCGCCCATGTCACAGTGGGGATGGAGGCGTCGCGGAGCGGGTTGCCGAGCGTGTACGAGAGGTCGAACGAGATGCGCAGCGCGTTGTAGGCGATAAAGGGGAAGCTTGCAAGGCGGAGCAGCTTGAGCGTCGTCGAGGCTGATGGGAGCGTCAGGCAGAGCAGGAAGAGCCAGAAGAATTGGCCGAGGAGCAGAGGCAGCGCTGGGGAGAAGCTAGGCTGCCACTGCGAAGGCAGCTCGGGCGTCATCCAGGACGGCGCGAGGTACATGTTGCCAGTCGGTCCGAGGCGGTCGGCGGAAACGAGGTGTTAAGGCATCTTTATGAGGCAGGAGGCTGTGGCGAGATGGGGTCGAGGCGGAGCGAGGGAGGGTGGTGGTGGCGACGCTGCTGCCAGCAGACGAGGGCCAGACTCAAGCTCTTGACCAACCCACCCACTCCTCCGAGGCGGCCGCCGTCATCGGCGAGGAGCCGTGGCACGCACGCAGCCAAGCTGGGGTACGGGCGAGATGGCGCCGTTTCAGTCGGCCCGACGCTCGTCGAGGAACCTCCACACGACCCGCTGCTTACCCCACCAGCCGCCGCCCTTTGAGGTTCGTATCCTTTGGCCTAGGCCAGGAGATCTCGGCCTCGTCCAATCACTGTCTGGGAGATGCTCCGAGTAGTCGTCGTGATTGCTTGAAGGAGCGCCTTGGTGTCGGTCCACGGGATGACCGCAGGCAAAGGATATCGAAGTCGGGGCCGGACCCCCAAAAGAAAATTAGAGCTTTCCTTCGGCTACGGACTGCTCGAGCGCGCCAGCCATGGTACGCAGCGGCACATCGAGAAATGATGAGCAAGCGGCCCGACACACGCAGCCACCGATAGGCTCACTTTGCTGCTGCCACCCCTGATGAGGGGCGGGTCTAATTCGACGTGTATGGTACAAGTACAAGGGATGGAAGATGAATGCCGGTTTGGGGCCGAAAGGGAGGACGAGACAGGCCATGCCGACAGGACGCGCGGGCCGGCGCAGCCAAGAGGGTGGTCGTGTGCGCATCGTCAAGGGGTGTGGCTGCTCGACCGAGACTACTCCTTGGCCCGCACCACGGAGGACCGCTTCCGTGACGGAAAGGCTTCCGAAACGACTGTCGGCGCGACCCCGATCGGAAGGCCCTGCGCCTACCCCTTCATGAGCCGGGATCGCATCGCTGCTGGCGTCGGCAGGGCTTTCGGGGTGAAGTCGCAGGCAATGATCCCTCCGATCCAGGCTCAGATGACCTTGGGCGCCAGGCTGGCAATCTTGCCCCAGCCCGTGTAGCGCAGCTCGCTGGCCACGACGCCGTTGACGCGGGTACCCAGCGGCTCCTTCTTGTTGTTGAGCAAGACGCACGCATTGTCGTCGAACCGGATCACCCGTCCGTCGGGCCGCGTCATCTCCTTCTTGGTCCGCACCACGACGGCGTGTCGCACGTCGCCCCTCCGCACCTTGTTGGCGTTCGACACCGAGGGCTGGCCGGGGGCGTTGGAGATCGGTCTTGCCTTTTGGATGACAACCACGATCTCGTCACCTGAAATTTGGCAGAGACAGCGAGTGCAGGCGTTCTGTTTGTCAGTATCGCCGCAGTATGTACACAGCATGTCGTGAGAACGACCCGTTCGGTCGAGGCTGGAGCGACGAGAGGCGCCGCCAAAGAATGACCAGAAGCTCCAGGCTCTCTCGACCGGCACCTGAGAGATGGGTCGTCCACTACCACTCACCGACACGAGCGAGGCCATGGTTGCTCTTGTTCCTCAGCACGTTGACGCATTCGGCCACCAGTCCGCCCGAGTTGTCGATGATGGCCATCGTCGCCTTGAGTCCCAACATCCTGTCTGCCTTGTTGCTCGCGAGATGATCTGGAGGAAGTTTGACGAATTCCGAGCGAGCGAGGAATGAGCCGCGATAGGACCGATGCTGAACAGGAAAGTGGTCAGGCTAGGGCAGGATGCTCGATGGCGAGGGGATGCGGGTGCGGGGGCGGTGTTGCTTGGATGCTGCGGGCTGGAGAGCGCGGGAAGAACCTCGATTTTTCCGAGCGCCGCCCACGGACAGGGTCGGGTCGCTCGACGCTGCTCGGAGCCGAAAAAAGGTAAGAGGAGGAGGTGAAAGCGCGGAACACGGAAAACGACGGCGGGCCAAAATTTGAAATTCCTGCTTCGACGACCAGGTCGACTGTTCCGAGCGCCTGCCTGCTGACGCCTCGACGCTTCTTTGCAGAAGCAACGACCCGCGAGCAGCCAGCCATCACCAGAGAGTGCGGGGACGCGAGGTCCTCGGCCCGAGCTGTCCCTTGCCACCTGCCCCCCGCGCCTGCACCAGCCGTGATGGGTGGCATGCTCGGGGTGCGTATGTAGGCACCAGGTAGGTAGTCTGATCGAATTCGTGCCATATCGCTGGCTCAGACGGCGGCGCCAAAGCTGCGGACTGCAAGAGGCGAGGTCAATCTCGGAACGGAGACCGCGGGAACTGCGAGCAGACACGCAAGCAGGGCCGGCCAGCAGACGGGCTTTCGATCGCTCGCCTCTGGGGCCTGCCAGCTATCGCCTTCCTGCCTGTAACCCGCCGCAAGGGGCTGCCTTTCGCGGCTGCCACCAAGGCAGCGCATCCCAAAAGAACAGGCAGGCGCCCAAGCCCTGCACTTCAACGTCTATGGAGCGACTCTGTCCCTGAGACGTCGCCTTGGCCCGGTTGCCTGACCTTCGGCTTGGCTCTTGCCGGATAGACCCGTGCCGGATTCTTTCTACGGCACGGTACTGCACAGGCCAGGCAGCGAAACGAGGATGGATGCGCGATGAGGACGCAAGGTCTCGATGGCCTTGCATCGCCGCAGACAAAGCTGGCTCGGGCCATGAAGGCCAGTCAAACAAAGACATGGTCAAGGGATCAGGCCGCGACCTACCGTAGCTACCGATATGTGCCGGTGTAGTTGGCCAACGGAAGTCGCTCGGCCGTCGAGGGCGTGGCCAATCCTCGATGAGACAGGCTGGCGTTGACGCACCTCGGCGGGCGTTAGAGGTGCGCCGGGATTCCCTTCCTCGCCCCGTCCGCGATGGAACCAACGCCCTCTACCGACCGATCCTCTACCGAGGCAGGGGCTCCGTAGAAGCACATAATCACCGGTCCGGTACGAAGAAGAAGATACGTCGCTCGGCGGATGTCATCGGAGGATTCCAAACCAAGCTAGAGCAAAGATACACGGTTCGTACATAGAGTACTTAGAAGTGAAGGGCGGGCGGGCAGCAACGGGGTGCGGTACCGGTACATGCATCGAAGCGCAAGTCGCCGTGAGACTGAGCAAGGCGTGGCTGCCAAATGGCGGAGCGATGATTCGGCGCAAGCTGCATTCGACGTCGAGATGCCCGAGTCGCAACCGCCGCGATCTTCCGAGGGCGAGAAGCTGCTACAGTACCTGTATGGGTAGCGTCGTCTTCAGCCTTCTCCCGCCACCCTGTTGCTCTACGGCAGCGGGCCAGGACGCCAAAATGGCGCACGCTAGGGTCGTCGAAAGTGGAACATCGACCCCTGACTAGGACGCCTTAGCCTACGGCATTCTCACGTCGACAATGCCGCAAGGATCAATTTGGCCCCACGTCGATCCTCATCCTCATCCTCCTCGCTCGGTGTTCTCCAGTGGCCGCGGGGGTGGCGGCGGCGGCGGCGGAGGAAGAAAAGGAGGGAAAGCACGGTGATCAAGGCCCCGATGATGAGGAGAACTGGCCATCGAGCGAGCGAGCACAAGAGAAGGGAAAGGCCGTCGCCGCTTGTTGGAAGCCTGCGGCGTTGGCAGCATCTACAGCATCAGCCGAGCACCTCGCCTCGCCGCGTCGGACGCGCGGATAAATGGATGATCCAGCATGACCGTGCTACCAAACGACGGCCCAAGACTGCGTGTGTGCCCGTCATGTGCAAGCCTCGACTGGACTTGACTGCAGATACAGGTACATCGTGTGAGTAGTGAGACGGGTGCTCTGATACCAAGCAAGGTGCTGGGTGTCACGCAACGAGGGCCGTTGCAGAGAAATATTTTGCCTGACCATGCCATGGCCGGCCATCGATGCTTGCGAAAAGGCTGCAGCGTCGGCGATGTTTTGGCCGTTCGACCCGATTGAAACGACGGACGATGGCGATGACGGGTGCGGGTGATGCCCGCCCCTGGGCTGGCGAGAGGTCCATGCATGGTGGCCGGCACTGGGCCGTGGAAAAGCCTGCCCGTCATACGTGTGCCTGCCTGCGTTGGACCGACCTGGCCCTGCTTATTGTTTTCGAGAGCCGGGCTACACCTCCCGTAAAGTGGTCGGCGAGTTCGCCCCGAGGTGGTTGCGTGCAGAAAGCGACAACCTACGGCGGGCAGAGTAGTAGTCAGAGCATGTTGAAGCCCTTTGGTCGACGAGATCATCGATCCTGCTCCTGTCTCTCGGGATTCCATCGCCGAGTAGTGGGCTGCTCCATCTCCTCCGGCGAGTCGACGGCACCGTATGTACAGCATTTCGTCGCCTGACTAGACTCGACCAAGTAGGTAGGGCGCAACGACGCTGCGAAACGGCACGGTGCAAAAGAAATGCGTCGGGAAAAAGCAAGGCTAGGCTAGGGGTATGAGGTCTCAGGCTAGTCCACCTTGATCTGTATGTCTGGCCTACGACGTCCCCCAAAGTGGAAGGTCGAGGCATGAAACGAAGGTGCGGGCGCAAGGCACACGAAGGCAGGGCAAAGCCGCCCGCCCGCACGGTGTCAGCGCGAAACCGCGGCCAGACCCCCTCTCGCCAGGCCAGGCCAGGCCAGCAGGCCTAGCCTTTGCCTGCCGCCACCCAAAGGAGACGCTGCGCCTGAGCCGGCTGCTGCCGCCGCCGCCGCCAGCCCTGCATCGGCCTACCCTGGCCACAGCTGGCCCGTCATGGTCTGGCTGACGGGTCAGCCTTGCCTGCCTGCCTGCCTCTTGACCTCGGTCGGGGTCCCGCTCTGCGTGGGTCGGGCGCTGCAGCGGCGCGCTCTTCTTGCCAGCCATAGCAGCTACTACTCACTCTCTCTGTGTACCCATCGTACCGTGGTCAGCATCAGAAGTCTGCCGTGCTTCGATGGTGGTGCGAACAAGTCTACTCGCAAACAGGAGGGGGCAAAGGCCCGACAGGGAGGAGGCCAGGTTCAGCGGGCGTGCGTGGTTTTTCGTCGGGCGGCAGCAGCGGCACCAGCACAGCCTAGCAGCAGCGAGCGTCCATTGAGCCGGCGAGTCTAAACTCTCTCGCGGCGTAGCGCCGGGCCTGGCGGTGCGGTGAGCCTTCGCCGCGATTCCATCATCCCGTCGTGCCTACAGAGTACCGTATGTACTTGCACCCTACTGCACCTGTCCGCCTGCTGGCCGTCCCTGCCTGTGGCTCGCTTGGCCGGCACCTGGCTTGCTTCCTCCAACCCCACCTCATCTCACACTACACTACTTTCTACACACACTAGCCCAACCGTGACGCCGGTCCACCTGCTTGCGCCAGCACCGCCCCGTCCTACCACGGCGACGTCCGACCCTCGTCCAAAGGCTGCCACCACCGACATCGTCGTTGCTGCACCGCGCCGCCTAAGCTCTGGTCCTGGGCTCACATCCGCAACCCCACCTCGTATCTACCTACCTACTTGCTGCACTTGATCAGCGCAAAGGACGCCACCTCTTCGCTGCTCCTTGGTACAGCACCTTGCTTGCTCCCAAAACGGAGCTGCATAGGATCTAGAGGCAGGGGCACAATACGCCGCGCTAGTTCGTACACGGTGCAGGAGCTGTAGAAGCTGCAGCAAAGAGGGCCACCATCACCGTACCGCCGCCGTCATCTTCTCCTCGCCCTCTACATACATCCTTCGCCTCAATCCTCTCCTGCTCGGCTTGCAGCTGATCCCAGCTGCTTCCCTCGGAGTATTTCCGCCTCGCGTTGGCCGCCGCCCACCTTCGGGACCTCCGCCGACCGACAACCACGAAGCCACCTAGTAACTACACGTCTGTCCGGCGGGTTGCTGCACAGTCCGTCAATCTCAGCCTCCAAAGAGGCACCGTCGACATCTTCCAACATCGATCCCCCCTCTCATCGCACCTCCTCCTGCCTCGAAGCGTTCCGCCACAAGCAGCCATGGCCGCCTAGACTCAGTCCTCTTGATCTCAGCGTACATCATTCGTCCCTCGGGCTCTCTATCTCGCCTCCTTTCGCCATCACCATATCAGCAGGCTTTGATTCAGTCCACTTCCGTCGCGCCGCTTCGCCCAGGTCTCCCGCCTGCTTCGCCCTCGTGTCCTCCCTCCGCGACCCTCTCGACCCCAGCGAGTTTTGCTTCGACAGCGGCGCCAGCATTAGTCAGCGCTCTTCCACCTCTTCACATTGACCAATTAGCAGGGACCCCTCCAAGGCCCGCCCCACGCCACGCCTCTGCAGTAGCTTCTGGCAGCCTTGACAGCGAACGCCCAACGGCAGCAGCGACACGCCTTTAGAACGAGATCATCAAGAGTCTCGAACTCCCCTCTTCGGCTTCGTTTTCCACCGCCACCGCCAAGCGGACCAGCCTAGTCTTGGGCCGACGAGACGCCATGACGAAGCGATACCGGGGAGATGCCGACGGCACCGCTTCGGAACAGGCCCGGAAAGCCAGATGCACTGGCAGCATGGTCGACTCAGCTGATGGCGCTGGCCACGCCTCATCCTCAGACTCTGCCGCCCCCCATCGTCAGCTTCCTGCCGTCGCCGACTCTCCTGCACTGCACCAGTCGCAGGACGACGTCGACTTCCCCGGCTTCGACGCCGCCATCGCCCTCGGCCTCGACGTTGACGATCCCTTCATTTGCGACCCGGTCGCCTCGGGCTCGCGGCCAGCGGCGCTCCCACGCACCATGGACGAACGCTTTGTCCCCGGTCTCCAGACCTTTGTCGGAGGTCTGGAAATGTCGCGCCCTCTGCACGAGCGAACGGCCGCAGCGATGCCCGGCCCGTCTTCGGCCCACTTCGACGGCGTCTCAATCGAACCCCCTCCCTTGCACATGAGCCGCCGATCAGTCTCCAGCCAGCGTTCGTCCTCACCTCCGCGGCCCTCGCTCGACGGTACCGTACGCATCGTGCCCAACGAAGGGCTGGCAGCACCTCCAACTGCACCTCTGGTGCCCGGCGTATCGCCCGGCTGGCACGTCGAATCCCATGGCCGGCAGGCCATGGAGCTCCACGAAGGCGTTCGCTACCGGGACGACGAAGGCTGGACACCACTCGACGCCTTTCCCGCCCGCACTCAGCAGGGTCGCTCGGCCGCCAACGGTGCCCGGCTGCAACGTCGCAAAGTGCGTGCGCCAGACGCACAACTGCTCGAGTCGCCCTACAGGCCGGCGACGGATACGATGAGCATCTCCACTACGTCGCAACTGTCGCCACCGCGGAAGCCCAGCTCCAATGAGATCTTCTCAGAAGCCTCCGGCTCGCGGCCTCGGCCGTCGCTTCGAGGCTCCTTTCAGAAGAGCTCGGTGTCTTTACCGCCCATCTCGACCATCCGCCTTGCGCCCATGGAAGGCGACGATCTGAGGGAGCTCAGCCCCATCGACAATCTCTCCACACTCCAACCTCCTTCGTCCAAGGCGCACGAATTTCGCCCGCGACCTGTGCAGCTCGGCGCCAATGAGGGGCCCACGCAAGCTGCACCTGCGCCGCATGTCCGGTTTCAAAACGGCGTGCCGACGACATCCGCGCGGTCACCTCTCGTATCCGAGCCCGTTGCTCATGGGCGGAAAGCGCTGCGGCAGCCTGCTGCGGACAGCCTCACGGCCAACGCCACAACGGCATACAGATTGCAGGACTTTGAGGTTCTCGAGACCCTCGGCACAGGTACCTTTGGCCGCGTGCTGCTGGTGCGGCTCAAGAGCAAGGAGACGACGGACCCTTCGGCCTACTTTGCGCTCAAGGTGCTCTCCAAGTCCGAGGTGGTCCGGCTCAAGCAGGTCGAGCACACCAACTCGGAGCGCGCCATCCTCCACAAGGTCCGGCACCCTTTCCTCGTCAACCTGATCACCACGTTCCAAGACTCGAAAAACTGCTACATGCTGATGGACTACGTGATCGGCGGCGAGGTCTTCTCGTACCTGCGGCGGGCCGGCCGCTTCTCGGTCGACGTCACGCGCTTCTACATCTCGACAATCGTGCTGGCCATCGAGTACCTGCACGACCGCAATATCATCTACCGCGACCTCAAGCCCGAGAACTTGTTGCTCGACGACCAGGGCTACACCAAGATCACTGATTTCGGGTTCGCAAAGGAGGTCGAGGACCGCACGTGGACGCTTTGCGGAACGCCAGAGTACCTCGCCCCAGAGATCATCCAGTCCAAGGGACACGGCAAAGCGGTCGATTGGTGGGCCCTGGGCATCCTGCTCTTCGAGATGCTGGCGGGCTACCCGCCATTCTACGACAACCAGCCGTTTGGCGTCTACGAAAAGATCCTGCAGGGCAACATCGTCTTCCCGGCGCACATCGACGAGGTGTCGCGCGACCTGATCCGGTCCCTACTCACGGCCGACCGGACGCGGAGGCTGGGAAACCTGCGCGGCGGCGCTCAGGATGTCAAGAACCACTTTTGGTTCCACGGCGTCGACTGGGACCAGCTCGCCGCGCGCAACATCCGCCCGCCCATTGTGCCCTTCAACACCCAGGCCGGCGACACGTCCAATTTTTCAAAGTACGAGCGCGTCAGGCTCAGCAGCCTCCCCGGTTTCGCCGTCGACGCGGCAGCATCGTCGTCGTCATCGTCCTTGGATGGGCCGGCGCGGCAGGAAGAGGTGGATCCGCATGCCCATCTCTTCACCGCATTCTGACCGTCGATGCCGCCCGGCATCCTCGCGTCTGCTCCGTTCCGCATAAGATACCCGTCCTAGTCCCATCGTCCCTCTCGATGGCCCTGCACGGATGATGGTCGACCCGCTTCGTTTTACTCTCGCCGTAGCGGTACGATCAGCGCTACGATCCACATGTTCCTTCTTCTCCATCGCGTCGGCATCTGCTAGGACCGGCGTCGGCCATGTCCTCCTGGACCGCACCGCACGGCGCTCGACGGTAGATCCGACCGCCTTTAGCATCCTCCCCATCCCCCCCCCTTTCGCAGATCCAAATTCACTAGTACCTCTCGCCGTCTTATTCTTAATTACTCTCGTCTCGACGTCTTCTGTCTTTATGCTCTCCAATCGAGAATGTTGCAGCATCCTCCTGCCTCTCTCTATCGGTCCGCCCATGTCCCTCTGTAATTCCTTGCTCCGGCTCGCCTTTGCTGCCTCTGCTGCCTCTGCTGCCGCTACACTGCTGTCGCCGTTCCGCCCTGCTTGGCTCAACAACGTCTTGGCAGTCTCGTGTAATCGAACTCTTTCTCGCACATGCGCAATCGTCAGAGGCTGGTGTCATTATCGTCATCGTCGGTGGTCATTACCAAGGCAGGTCGGGGAAGGGGGATGGGAGGGGGGTAAACCGCAAAAGGCTTGAGTGTGCGCGGGCGGGCGTGTATGCGCGTGTGTTGTACATGGTTTCGTATCTCGTTTGTTGGTACATGCTCTGTATCTCGTCCTTCTGCCGCTCGCTGCTCAAGCTCGCCCGGGTGGGGGTACGAGAGGTTGTGCGTCCCGTCGGTCCGGATGGCGGGATGGATCATGGCCAGCTGGTGGGTCGGTGGAGTCAGAGATAGGCTCGGAACTCGTACTTGCTTCGGCCGATTGGGTATACCGCTTGATTTAGCCCTGTCCGTGCCGGCGATATAGCAGGCCCCGGAGGATCGTGGCCATGGAGTCTAGATCTGTCTTCGTCTGTCTTTTGGCTCTTGTCGCTGCATCACCGGCACGACGGTGACGGACGATGTTCGGTGCGTCTAGGTGTATCGGGCAGATTGGTAGCTTCGTTGGAGCCTCTGACCACCCATGCTCGACGGCGGCAGATGCACTCCGCGGCGCAGCGGGCTGCCGTGGTCCGAAGAGTTGCGCGTCGAGTAGTACGTGGAGTCGGAGTCTTGCGACGTCAACGACGACGACGACGACGACGACCGATGCGAGTCGTACGACGAAGCGGCGGAGTTGCAGGACGTCGATGAGGCCGACGACGATGTTGCCATGGTGCTGGCTGGGACAGAGCGACTCCTCGGCTGGCTGACCCAACGCCAGATGCTCGGACTGAGCGAGGGCAGAGCGAGGGAAGTGGGAGCCTTGCTCGACTCTTGCTGCTTGACCCTCGTGCAGTCGTCGGGCTCGTGCCAGCGTCCCGCTGGCGGTGAGCCTGCATCCTCTCCGCTGGTCAGGGACCTGCCGCGACGCCAGGACTTTGTGCTAGATTCAGCGCTGTACGCGGAGCCCTGGCTGGAAAAGACGCAAGAGGCGGGATCATCTTCAAGAGGGTTGATCACGGAGAGGACCTTCGAGTGCATCGAAGGGCCGAGGCTGTTGATCTGCACCTTCTGCGCCGTCTGGTGTCCATCCGAGGTCGTCAGGCGGCTATATCCGCTGGCCAGCGAGGAAGCATTGGCCGTGACGTCGTCAGCCTGGCAGACGAGCTGCCCGCTGAGGATGCGCGCGGGGCCATAGACCCTTTCGTACTCGATCTCCTCTTCGATGCTCTCGAGCTCGTCAACGAGGATGCGCTCGCTCCTCTCTAGCTCGAGTCGCTTCAGCAGGCAGGCAGAGTGTCGCGGGATCTCGACGAGTCGCTGTGCCGCTGCCTTTGGGACTCGCGAAGAGGGCAGGTGACCTTCATCAGGCCCTGCATCGTCGATCGAGGAGCTCGAGGCCGTGACAACATTGGTGCTGCATCGAGCCCAGAACGGCGTCGTGAGCGCGTGAAGCCTCTTGCGGATCGCCGATGCCCTCTCGAAACGCTGTGCGGCTCGGATGCGGCAGAGGGACTCTAGATGCTCGACGTCGGTGGTGTACCAGCCGAGCAAGCCGTTGGAGAGCGATATCGTGGCAGAGGCTCCGCTGCGGCCGCTTTCGCTGCGGGAAGAGGGGTTGGTTGTGCTGGCTGCGCTCTGGCAACGGGGCATCGCGTCGATCCGTGACGACAGCGCCGAGACGGAAAGGGGCCGGCGAGGAGCTCGGCACAGCCAACGGCGGTGTTTGTTTGGTCTGCGGGCTGTTGCCTGTGATGGAGATGAGCCAAGGTCGTCGGGGCAAGAAACGGGCAGACAGGCAGGCTGTCTCGGGGAGCAGATGAAGGTGCAGGTGACTTGTGGGGAAAGGGCAGGTGTGATGTGGGTAGGGGAGGCTTGCTTTTGTATGGAATTGAGCAAGGAAGAAAGGAGAAAGGTGACGGGCGGCAAGAAGAAGCCAGGCCGGGAAGAACGCACCGACACGCAGGTCCAGCACGCATCACCCCACATCGGATCACCCGCCGCGCCTCTGCCCTCTGGCCGACTAGGTCCAGGCAGAGCCGTAGCCAGGCTAGGCCGGCCAATCAGCGAGAAGATCGACAGGTCGATCGGCTGTTCGTCTAGGCAGGAAGCAAGCAAGCAAGCTAAGGCTCTCACTACGCCAGGCCAGGGAGGCCGAGGCGCGGTCGTGTCAGCCCCGACAGTGCATGCATGGCCAGCACAGCTTGCCGCGCCGAACTTTCCGGCCGTCAAGAGCAAGCAAGCATCGCTGCAGCGTTCCGTGGCCAGCTGGCGGTCGAAATGAGCTAGTCGGCGCCCACGCACGGATGCCTGGAGGCGTCATGGAGCGAAAGGCCGCCGACGGGAAGGGAAGAGCTCGGTCTAGCTCGGGCCGTGGCCGCGGCACGGGGCGCAGTGGACGGCCGGCCATTTGCGCACCAGGGCCGCAGAAGCTCGGACACACGGGAAGGTCCGCGCGCCGACGGTCAACGACTACGCAGCGGCCGGACGACCAGATCGAACGCGACCCCCAAAGATCGACCGGTCTACCCCGATCGCTTCAGGTATTCGGCCGTGCCGGATCACTGCTGAGCTCTCTCGGCCCGGGTGGAAGCTGCGCGCGGTGCAAAGGCACGTCCAAAATCAAGCAGAGGAGCGCAGCGTGGACAAGCGACGCGCAACGATGCGCTACCTGCGGATCTGGCGTGCCCGGCTCGGCGCGTACCTAAATCCAGTTGTCCGCGAGCTGCAGCATCGGCCTTCATCGGACCGTGGGCCAGGCACGTTATCGGGTAAAGGGGCTGTGACTGGCATGCATACGTGTAGCATGCCGTTCATGAAGGCTGCGGGTTGTTGTGTAGGAGTAGTATGGTGATGGACAGGTGAAGTTGGCGAAAGAGCGTGGTCCATTATTCGCGGGGTCACGAATGTGTATGAGGGGAGCCCTTTGAGCCAGAGGGAGAGCGAAGAGAGCGCTCCCTCGTTCCTCCACAAGAAAGGCGGGGCCTTTTGAATTTTTGCCAGCCTTTCTGACCGACTTTTTCCCGAGGCCAAAGGATGCTGCATCCTTCCTGTCTCGCCGACACCATCACCCTCGACCCCCGACCTTGACCCAGGCGCTGCCTTTCCGACCTTCACGCCCACTTCGCTCTCATCTACGCCGCTGCGGATCGCTTGGAGGGGTTTCCTTGGGACGGGCTCACGCGCCTGCCCAGTCCATCGCGCCGGATCCCGTCCCGCCACTACCACTGTCGGTGCCGCCTACGACCCGAGCAATCAGGCCGCCATGCGCAACCTCGCCCTGCTGGCCCATCGGGTCTATCCGCTCGTGGACCAGCCGACCGGGAGCAATGCCGCGATACAGGCGACCGCACTGAGCACGGAGGACGACTCCCTCTTCGCCGTCGCAGTCTCGCGATCCTCGCCCACTTCTCCTAACGTCAAACTCACCTTCCTCCGCCGCAGCCCAGGCGCTAGCGGTCTCGCCCCGTTTTCCAGCATCATCGTTCCGGCAGCGCCGACACCGCTCCAGGGCTCGGCGTCCGGCGTATGCACGCCTCAGCAGACGGGCAGGCCGACCAATGAGGTCGTCTCGCTCCAATTCCTTGCAGACGGCGGATCGGCCGCCCGGCACAACCCCGCACTCTGCACCATCACCGCCGGGGGCGACATCATCCTCCTCCCCCTTGAGGACCAACCCGAGCTCGATGATGCGCCTGCTGCGGATCCAGACATCGTTGGGTCGGTCGAACAGGGGCTGCTCGCTGCTTCGTGGAGTCCAGATGACGAGCTGCTCGTCCTCATCACCGCTGAGACACCGCAAGACATGTCGGAGCGCGGAACGAGGGAGCCAGAGAAGCTGCTGCTCATGTCCCGCGAGTTCGAGGTTCTATCAGAGACGCAGCTCAGGACCGACGACTTCGGCGAAGAGAGACCCGTCGACGTCGGCTGGGGCTCTAAAGCGACCCAGTTCCACGGCTCAGAGGGCAAGGCAGCAGCAGCTGCGGCTGCGGCGGCCGCAGCGGCTGCAGCAAAGCCCACCGTCGACACCCGCGGACCCCAGTTGCCCGACGACGACGGTAAACCACGCATCTCGTGGCGTGGAGACGGCGCCTTTTTCGCCGTATCGTCCCTAGAGCCGTTCCGCTCTGCTGTGTCCGAGGTCGACGCAGCGCCGACCTGGCACCGCCTCATTCGCACCTACGCCAGGCTTGGTGCGCTCTCGGCCACCTCGGACGCATCGGTTCGCGGCCTTTCTCAGGCCCTCGCCTTCAGGCCGATTGGCAACCTCATCGCCAGCACGCAACGTTTTGGCCCTTCCCCATCTGGCGAGCCATGGCAGGCAGGACGGACGGGAAGGCACGATGTCGTCTTCTTCGAGCGCAACGGGCTGCGGCACGGCGAGTTCAGCCTGCGCGAAGAGGCTCCTTCGCAGCCGCAGGGCACCCAGATTGGCTGGCAGCGCGACCAGCTGGGTCAGCAATGGATTCGCAGCCACTTCATCCGCGAACTCTGCTGGAACTCGGACGGCAGTGCCTTGGCCGTGTGGCTCACCCGCACACCTAACGCTGACCATGCCAGCGATGCGCCCGTCGACGTCGTGCAGATCTTCACCACTGGCAACTACCACTGGTACCTGAAGCAGGAGATTGTGGCATCGGCCAGCATCCAACAGGTCAGGTGGCATCCCGAGGACCCGCACGATCTGGTCATCGCACGGTCCGGCGTCGTGGAGCGTCGGGTCTTCGGCTTTGAGACGTCCTGCTCCGGCGGTCGTCCTCCGTTCGACGCTGCCTGCGTCGCTGTCGCGGATGGCACTGCCACGCTGCTGACGCCCTTCCGGATGCAGAATGTGCCACCACCCATGTGCACGACGGCGCTGCTGCCGCCACCCGGAGCTGGGCAGCTTCCCTCATCCCACGACGTACGCTCGATACCAGTGCACTACGCCTGGACGCAGCTCGTGTCACCAAACACTCAAACAGCCACCGGTCTCCTGGCTTTGCTGTACCAGTCGGGTCAGGTGCAGCTTTGGTCATTTGAGTGGGGCACGATGGGTGGCCGCTCAAAGGTCGGCGGTCTTCCTGTCCCTGAACCCAAGCTACTCGGCGTCGTCGAAGCACAGGGCCAAGACGGTCGACGGGGTGCGTCGATGCCTATCCAGGTCGCCACTGCGGGGCGGCTCTCGGACGTTGCAGAGAGTGCGGGCTCCTGGAAGCTCTCGCTCGCCGTGCTCCTCTCCGATGGAGAGCATGACTCGGTCCGCAAACTCGAAGTCGTCTCGTCGTCCGGGTCTGAGTCAAAGGTCAGCTCAACGGAAGAAATCGATCTGCCAGCGAGCAGCAGCGGCAAGCGCAGGATTGCTGCCGACCCCTTCGTGCCCAGACCCGGCTTCGAGCCTGGCTTCTATGTACACGACGAGGACGGACAGGTCTGGCGCCTCTCACAGGGAGGAGCGAGGCCGTTTTCGAGGCTCGGCGCCTTCTGCCCTACGATGCAGGTTCTCGCCCGACCCGGCGGCCAAGCATCGCGCATCATCGGGCTAGCTGCCAGCGGCCGCCTCTTCGCCAACAGCCACCTTGTTGCCAAGGATGCCACCTCCTTCACTTTGGCCGGCAGCTTTTTGGTGTGGACCAACAGCGCGCACGAGGCACGCTTCGTCCCGATCGCGAGCCTCCCCTTTGACGACGATGCGAGGGAAGGGAGCGCCAAGGCAAAGGAAGACGCCGTCGATCTTGGCCGCCGCGTCGAGCGTGGCAGCCGGATCATCACTGCCGTGCCCAGCCTGATGGCACTCGTGCTCCAGATGCCTCGAGGCAACCTCGAGATCATCTGCCCACGGCCTCTGGTGCTCGAGGTGGTACGACGCGACCTCGACCACCAACGCTACGGTCCCGCCTTCCGTACCTGCCGCACGCATCGCATGGACGTCAACGTCCTGTACGACCACGACCCAGAGTCGTTCATGTCTCATCTGGACAAGTTTGTCGCGCAGGTCGCCGATGTGGATCACATCAATCTCTTCCTCTCGGGCCTGCGCAACGAGGACGTGACCACGACCCTCTACAAGCCGCTGACGCGGTCCGACAAGCCGAGCTCGTCGACCTCGGACAAGGTCAACCGGATCTGCGATGCGGTGCGCGCCGAGCTGGAGCGAGTCGACAAGCGCAAGTACATCAACTCGATCCTGACGACGCACGTACGCAAGGTGCCGGCCGACTACGAGTCGGGCCTGCGTCTGCTGCTGGAGCTCAAGGACGAGGACCAGGCGCTGGCCGAGGAGGCGGTCAAGTACATCATCTTCCTCGCCGATGCCGACAAGCTGTTTGACCTGGCGCTGGGCATGTACGACTTCACCCTGACGCTCATGGTGGCGCAGCACGCGCAGCGCAAGGATCCGCGCGAGTACCTTCCGTTCCTGCGTGAGCTGCGGTCGCTCGAGCCGGTCGAGTACCAGCGATTCCGGATCGATGATCATCTCAAGCGGCACAGCAAGGCGCTCGGCTGGCTCTCGAAGGCCGGCAAGCAGCACCACGCTGCCGCTCTGCAGTACATGGAGCAGCACAAGCTCTACGAGGACGCGCTGCAGTACTTTGCCGAGGACGCGGCGCGGCTGCGTGATGCCCACGACCTCTTCGGCGACTACCTCTTGACGCGACGCAAGTACAGCGACGCGGCGTCGTGTTTTGTGCTGGCGTCGAAGCCGCGCAAGGCGATGCAGGCGTACCTCGATGCGCTCCAGTGGGCCGAGGCCTTCACGCTGGCGTTTGCCGAGAAGCTGCCGCCCGCCGAGATTGTCAAGATGGGCCGCGAGGTGGCCGAGCAGCTCGAGGACAAGCTGCGCTGGGGCGAGGCGGCGCGCGTGGTGCTCGAGTACGGGCGGGATCTCGAGCAAGCGGTGCACTACTATTGCAAGGCCAACGACTACGCCCAGGCGCGCCGGCTCGCCGCCACCTACGGCCGGCCGGACCTGGTGCAGACGCACATTGCGCCCGCCGCGCTCGAGACGCACGGCGTGCTGCTCGACGACATCGACGAGATGACGTCGCAGCTCTCCAAGCAGCTGGCGCGCCTCGCCGAGCTGCGCAACAAAAAGGCCGAGGACCCGGCCATGTTCTACGGCACCGACGATCCGGCCCTCGAAAACGTCGACGTCATGAGCGACACGTCGACCCAGATGACGGCCTTTACGCGCTACACGGCCGCGGCGCCCACGGCGAGCGGCGCGAGCACCATGTCGACCTTCAGCCAGATGTCCAAGTCGAGCAGCAGGAAGCACGCGGCCAAGCTCAAGAAGAAGGAGGAGCGCAAAAAGGCGGCCGGCAAAAAGGGCAGCGTGTACGAGGAAGACTACCTCTACGAGAGCCTGCAGAAGCTCGTCAAGGATCGGCTCGGTGGCGTGCAGGGTGAGTCGAGGCGGCAGGCCGCTTGGCAGGCTGATGTTGCGAGACGACTGACCGCCATCCGCTTCTCCCTCTATCCTTTGCTGTCCCCATGCATCCCGGTCCTTGACGTCGCAGACGAGACGGCCAAGCTGCTGCCACACCTGCTGACCCTCTCCTCGTCCCACCGCACCGCAGGGCGGGAGCTGCAGGCTTCCTTGTCGCGCTTCGAAAAGGCGGCGAGCGAGGCCGTCGAGAAGCTGTGGGGCTACAGCCAGGACGACGAGCAGGCCAAACTGGACCACCTCGCCGCACTCGAGGGCGACATCCTCAACGGCAGCCTCGCCGCCGCCGGACCCAACATGCTCGCCATGGCCGTGCGCAGCATCGACCGACGCCCGCCACGCCCCAAACTGGTCATGGCAGAGGGCAAGTGGAAGGTGGTCCTGTTTGAGGGTTAAGCTGCGTTTGGCCTCGACTTGACGGGGTCGTATAGTGGCCGTCCGAGGCCGGTCAGGACAGAGCGCGATGAGCGTCGCATCCCTCGCCCGGGCCAATCTAGTCCATCGATAGCGTCACGACGCTCTCGACGAGGGCATTCTCGTCGAGCCAATCCATCCACTGCTTGAGGTACCCTCCCTGTCCCGCCACCGTCTCCGAGTCGCCGACGACGACAAGCTGGCGCTTGGCGCGCGTCATTGCGACATTGAGCCTGCGCTTCTCGTCGAGGAAGCCGACCTGGCCGTTTTCGTTGCTGCGCACCAGCGAGATGATGACGACGTCCTTTTCGCGACCCTGCATGCCGTCGATGGTGCCCACCTCGATTGCCTCGCCGTTGACCGCCGCCGCCGTCACCGCCGATCCGCCTCCGTCGGTGGGAAGAGGAGGAGGAGGGGGAAAGGTGGCGGTGCGGAGGAGTGAGGAGATGAGCGAGACCTGGGCAGAGTAGGGAGAGAGGACGGTGATCTGCTCGGCGCGGATGCCGCGTGCGACGAGGAGTGAAATGTGCCGGAGTACGAGGTCGGCCTCGTTGTAGTTGCTCTTGCTCCCCTCTCCTACCGCCGTCGAGGGGCCCCTGTCGCCCGACTGGTCGCTCGACGACGTCTCGTACATCTCGCACCCGGCCGTATCGTAAAAGACGACTTTGGCCGTCTCGACCTCCTCTTCGTCGTCCCCTTGACCGTCCTCGCCGTCCTGCCGGGATCGAGATGGCGGTGCTACGAAGTTGTCGAGATCCCGCACCGAGATTGATCGACAGGAGTCGTGCGCCTCGAGCCTCGATTCGTACAGGGCGAGGTTGGGGAAGGCCATGATGTCGGAGTTCATGCGGTACTGGATCGAGAGGAGCGTCTTGAGCCCCGGCCCGTACATGCCGAGCAGCCGCGAAAAGAGTGTCGTCTCGAGTGTCCGCGGCGGCCGCAGCTGCGTCGTGCGTTGCGGAGCGGTTGTCTTGTCGCCGTCGCCGGAATGAGGTGCCACTTCAAAGGTGGTGATGACATCTTCCTCGTCGTCGTCGCCAGAAGACTGCTGGGCTTCGTCGTCTTTTGCCTTTGCGTCGCTCTCGCCTCCAGTAGCGCTACCGTCCTTTGTCTTGTCCTTGGATTCGGTCTGCTTGTCCTGCTTCTTTGCCCCCTTTCCCTTTTCCTTCCTGGCCGATCGATGTCCGTCGCCCTTCTTGAGACTTTTGACGGTCGGCGGCAACTGCAGGTGGTCACCAGCGAGGATGACCTTGCCACCCTCCCTGACCTTGAGGATGGGGACCCAGCACACCGCCTCGAGCGCCTGACACGCTTCGTCGATGATGACGACATCAAACTCGCGGCCCGCCAGCTGCTTGCCGCCGGCACCGTGGCAGGTGGCGACCACGATCTGGGCTCGGTCCAGGATAGCCCTCGTCACGCCTCGTTCCCGCTGCCGGTACTCCTTGCGCAGCTGTCGCACCTCCTCCCACCGCTGTCGCCTCTCGTTGCCTTTGAGACGCGGTTGGGATCGGACCGACTTGTTGCCCGCCGTATTCGCTGCGGAAGGTGGCCGAAGAGCGGCAAGTGCAGACGAGAGTTCGGTCGCCACGTCCGAGACGAGCTGGCCTTCGGATGAGGTCGAGGACTGAGCATCGAGCGTCGAGGCGTGCAACGAGGCCAGCACCCGGGCGGGGTGGCCAAGACGGGTGAGGCCGCCCGCCCCTCGCTTCTTGAGTGCTTCGCGGTGCTCCGGTCTGCCGACGATACGTTCCAGCAGATTGTCTACTGCGAGGTTGCTAGCGCCGCAGACGAGGATACGTACTCCTCTGGTGTCGCGAGCACCGGCCCCGTCGTTGGCGGCGGGGACGCCTAGGTTGCCCGCGACCAGCTGCATGATCAGCTCGACGATGGCTGTCGTTTTGCCAGTCCCCGGCGGACCGTGAATGAGCGCGACCTGCTTGGCAGAGAGGGCGAATCTGATGGCCTGGAGCTGCGATGCGTTGAGCCGATCATTGAAGGGCGGAAGTGGTAGATCGACAGGCGGCTCGGCAAAGGCTGGGCGCTCGAGGCCAAGAAGCGTGCGGATCAGCGCTGTCGCGCCGGATGCAGTTCTTGGAGCAGAGACGGTGTTGCCGTCGGCGGCAGGCTCGTCATCGTCGTCGTCGTCATCGCTGCTGTCGTTGTCGCCGCTTCCGCTGGCCTTGACGTTGACGCCGAGCGCCTTGGCGAGCCTGGTCAGCGTCCGCTCCATGCGATCGTAGGTGGCCTCATTGGCCACCTTGACGAGCCGCACCCGCTCCGGAATCTCGAGCTCGTCGCCGCTGACCTTGGTCGAATCACCGGAGCGGGCATCGCGCTTGTCGGACTTGGCGTCTCCGTTCGCACCTGAAGCTGCCGCTGCCGACTGGGAAACTGCCTTTGCTTTCCCGCTGCCCCTTTTGCGGTTGCCGACGGCCAGCACGATGCGAGAGTCAGAAACCCTGTATACGACGCCCTGGATTGGCTGTGTCTTGGACTTGGCGGCAGACTTGGTGGATGACTTGGAGGACGGCTCGGCGACGGTGGAAACGCTGTGGTCCTGGATCTCGGCCAGATCTCCTGGTCGAAACGAGTGGGCGGGGAAGGCAGTCGAGGTGTGGTAGGCGCTCGGACGTTCCAGCTCGATCAGCCTATAGGGGAGCCCGGAGAGAGAAGAGAAAGAGAGGGTCAGATGGCGCTGGCTTGTCCTCATGTCGCCGAGCCCGAGACGGGAGCAGGGAGGACGTTGAGCCCTATCACCACGGAGCACACCCACATCTTCGCGCCCAACCCGATGCGTATCCCGGCCACACCAAGGCCAAGGAGAGCCAGGCCATTGTGTTCGAGTACCTTTGGGGGCGTCTTTGAGAGGAGCAGCTTGGACTGCCGCTGTTCCTCATCGCGTTCGGTCTGGAGGAGGTCGAGGTGACGCTGCAGCCACTGACGGAGGAGGTCCTGGGATGGCGGTGCCACGCCGTGCAGTTGGTGTGCTGATGAGGTTGGCATCGCGTATCGCTCGACTTCAAAGTCGCGATAGTGGCCGGGCTGCAGCGATGTGGGCGGAGACGAGAGCGATGGTGAGTGGGGGTGGAAATGGTCGGGAGGAAGGCAGAGAAGACCAAGTCGAGAGGCCCCTGCCCTGCTTTCCTCTGTCGCCAGCCAGCGGCGAGCGATGAATGTGGAGGCAGGCAAGGCCACGCCAGGCCAGCTCAGCTCGCTCGACGTGGAAAGGCCGGCTGGGCCCCCCTTTTTGAAAATGAGCGCTTCCGCTCGATTTCTGCAAGCCGCTGTTTTTCGGAAAGCATCCCCAAAACCCGAACACGAATAAAATTTCCGACACCAGCACAAATCAGACTTTTCGGCAGCAGGTCGCTGATCGCCAGGCCATCAGGCAAAGATCAGGGACCCATCAGTGCATCCAGAGTCGCTGATCCCAGAAATCGCAACTCAACAATTTTTCGAGAGCAACGACTCAACACGCCAACTCGAAAGGGAACAAGAGATTTTCGAAGAAAACTTCAAATCTGCTCGCCACCGTAAAATGGAAACGAGCAGGCGACCATCGTCAAGTCGGACAGGTCCTCGCCCGACGCCGCCAACAACTGTCCACAGAGCAGCTCACACGACAGTCTTCGAAATGGGTGGGATGGCGGTGACAGATTAACGGAATGGCCTAGAGATGCGTGAGAGGTATTAGCGGAGACGGTGTACAGGGGGCTAGGTAGGACGGAAATGCTATGTGGATGCTGGGCGTGGCGGTCATGGGCCAACACGAGCGGCAGAGGATGCTCGTGCGCATGCGTGTGGCAGAGTCAGCACTGTCAATGATGGGAGTCGATCGGGGCTGAGAGGGAAGATGAGAAGATGGGGAGAGGAGGAGTGGAGCGGACGGAATGGTGTAAAGGAGAGCATGCCTAGGCTCAGGTGGCCCGTGTTGCTGCGTGGACCATGGTCGCGACGACGGGCATAGAGGCTTGATCGTTCCCAGGAGCAGCGCTGCGATCGCTATTCGTGCGAACGTACCGGGCACTCGATGCCATCAGCGACCCGCCGCCGGCATCTGGAGGATGGGGTCCGGATCGAAGGGCTGCGTCCTCTCGCCTCCAGAGACGAGGTCCGACCAGTAGATGACGTCTCCCCTGCGAAGCACTCGGGCCTCTTTGCCGCTGCCCGTGGGGCGCAGATTCGATCGGGTCGACCGAGGTTCACGGAGCTGCCTGGGGTCAACGTCGTGGAGCTGGTGCTGCTGGTACGCCTGCGCGGTGAAATCGGTCTTCTCGGGGTCGACGTCGTCGTCCTCGTCCACGTCGTAAAAGTCCGGGTAGCCTGCTCGCTCCGAAGCGTAGTCGCGGATCCGGGGCGTCTGGCGTCGAAGCGCGGCATGAGGGGTGGACGGTGCCACGGCAGCCTCGCACTGGTAGGGGGCCGCGCGCACGCCCGGCTCGCCGGGCACGTAACGGCGCTCGCGCACCGAGATCTCGGAGCAGTGGAGCACGGTGCGGTGGCCGTTGGAGCTGCGCTGGTGCTTCTGGACGCTGCTGTTGCACTGGTCACAGGGCGAGAGGATACTGTAGCCGACCTGGTTGCCGCAGCCATGGCAGCCGAGGCTTTGCGTGAGGCAGTTGCACGTTCGCTCGATCGGCGGCTCGAGCGGGTCGACGCCACCGTGGAATGTCGAGGGGCTGTAGTAGGGGCCGCAGTTGCTGGGCACCGCGTCGGTGCTGTAGAGGGTGATGTTGGGCTTGAGCAGGAGCACCGCCCTCATGCCACGGTCGCTCAGGAAGTTGCCGCAGTGTCGGCAGTTGAGCAGGTACACCTTGTGTTGCGGATCGCGAGGTTCCTGGGAGCTCGAGGACGGCGTGTTGGTGTGCGTCTGCGACCAGGCGGTCTGATCGGCGAGCGGCGGCGGCGTAGCATGGCGATGGCGGTCGCTTCTCGACCTGCCACTCGACCACTGCTGCTGTCGGACGTCCTGCTGCGGCTCGTGTTGACGCGGCTGCTGCATCTGCGTGACCCTGCGCGCCTCTTCGCTGAGGCGAATGTAGTATTGGTCGCGCTCCCAGTCCTGCTGACGCTGGCGCTCGACCTGTTCGATGGCCAGGTTGCGGGCCACCTGCCTCTGGTGCACCAGGTCGGCCAGCTCCAACTCTTGCATGTCAATGACCTGGGCCGCCAGCTCTTCGGCCGACCTCCGAGGGGTTGCCGGGCTCGATGCCGATGCCGAAGTCTCCGAGGCGGATGAGCCCGAAACCTCGGCCTCAATGGGGCCGATGGCGTAGTTGCGCTGCGGCAGCTCTGGCCACAGCGGGTTGAGACGAAAGGGCGGCGCCGTCGCAGGCGGCTGGCTCCGATGTGCGGATGCTCGCAGGTTGTCGCGCGACGCTCGGCGGGAGGATCGCCTAGCTGAACGAACAGCAGAGGCGGGCATTGTCGAGTCCGGGGCCTGCCTAAGCATATGCGCGGCGGGCGTCAGGCCGGGGTCAGGAAGCAGGGGCAGAAGAAGAGCTCCCGATACAAGGCTGATCTCCGAGTGCTGCCAACGGCTCGAGTGGTTGACGCCGACCTGTTGGCTCGACGGTAGACGAAGGGATCAAGGAAAGCTGCGCCTAGCGGGACGCGCGAGCTCGGAGCCGCGTTGGTATCTTCTGCGGATGAGAACCAAGAGACGATGATGAGGGGGCAGAGAGAAGTCAGGGAAGGGGCGGGTCAGCTGGGCCGCTCATCTTATATCTAGCGTGCGCCGCGGCAGGTAGGCTGAGACAACTACGCCGCCGTGAAGAGGCCCGCGACAGGTAGAGAGCGGGCTCAGAGCAGTCAGGCCTGTTGCGGAAGCAAGAGCGCAGGCAAGCGGGCCCGAGCTGCTGGGAGCGGCGGGAAGAAGCGGTCCATTCCGCCAGGCGACCAGCGCAAGTCCTGCTTGCTCCTTGACCCAGCAGAGGAACCTTGAGCATGCCGAGACGGCACACGGAGGGCGCGGCCGTGAACTCTATCCCTTCCGCCAGGCAGCATGGCGTGCACCGAGAGGCTCCGTCCGATGCACCTTCCAGTCCGGGCCTTGCCGCACCGGCACAGGATCCACTGAGCTGCCAAGATGCTTGCAGTGCTCGCACCGACTGGCGCTGAACCGGCGCAGATCAACGGCCCCTGTCCCGCCCGACCAGGCCGGTGGCCACCGCTCTGGAGCCCGACGCGCGCTTTTGGCACGATCTCCGTCCCTTGTCGAATACTTTTGTCGAACGCGGCTGGACATCGAGCATCGTCCCGGCCTTTGCTAGACTGGTAGGGTGATGCGGTGGCTGCCAGCTTTGTCGCGTCGAGGCAAGCCCCCCAGATATGCACCGGGCCAGGGACGTCCCCTGCAACAAGCGCAGCCACCCGTGAACCTTGAGCGTCTTCCACCTTGCTGCCTACACCACCAATTCACCGCCAACACACGAGCGACGAGCAGCGCAGCAGGTTCTTGACTCACTCAGATGAGGCAGAGGCGCAGGTACCTGGCGTCGAGGTGGTGTGCTGATAGAGTGCGACGGGGACGCTGGAACAGGAAAGTGCCTAGCTGTTCGAAGAAGAGGAGGGGTGTTGGAGAGCGTCGCTGTTGCTTCGAGGGGCTGGTCAGGAAGGCAGACGGGGAACCAGGACGAGGTTCTGGGCCGAGCAAATGTGAGTCCGAGGAAGCCAGCCGAGCCGGTGGCCGGGGATTGGAGCGATAGCAGGTCTAGACACCACCCGTGGTCGTCTGATAGGTCGAGCCGGGTCCACAAGCAAGGCGACGATGTCGGGCAGGAAGTTTAGCCGTCGATGCTGGATGTTGATAGGATGGCGGCGATCGAAGGGCCTGTACGAAGGGGCTTAGGGAGCGCTAGGCGAGGAGAAAGGGGTGTGGTTGCCGGCGACGCTGTGGATGGTGGCGATGGCAGCGGTGACGATGGAGGTGACGGCGATGATGGTGGTAGAGAAGGCAGGTGGCAAGGTCGGGGAACGAGACCGGGTTGAAGGTTGTCGAAACGGAGCAGAGGCTGGGACGGACTGCAGGGCGAGGGTTGATGAGGACAAGGATCGGTAGTGAGAGGGCGGACGTACTAATCAGGACCGGAAGAGGATCCAACAGCGGCGAACCAAGCGCCCGAGCTACTACTCTGCTCGAGGCCACTCTGGCGTGTGGGGTGCTGAGGACTGTGCTGAGGGTCCTGGAAGCACCTGCTGTCTGGGCGTGTCGAGGGCGTCTGGACTGACCCTGGAGCGCCGAGCGGCACTGCGATTCGGCAAGGGCTGAGCGATAGCCTGTGCGTGTACCCAGGATGCCGCAGGCAGTTTGCCACCGAGGGACGGGCTGTCAATCAACTGATGGGCGTCGGACCGCGAGCGAGGTTGGATGGGAAAGGGCAGGGAAATGGCCGCTGGGGACGGCGAGTCGACGCCGAGACTGGAGCGGGAGCAGGTGTCGGAGGAGAGGGGTACGGTGGGAAGGCAAGAGCGAGAGGGCTCCAGAGTAGGGTGACGGAGAGGCTGCTCTTCGAGTGAGGGAGAGGGGGGGGCGAGAGCCTGGTCGTTGCAGATCCGGATTCGAGCGCGCTGTACATACAGTTCGTAGGGTCGACGAGGGCGTGCGAGGATGCAGCGTTGAGACAACACCATCATTCCTTGAGACACGGATGGCATACGTAGCAGACACCATCGCCGTACATAAGCAGCAGCCCCTTCCGGCGCCGACAGCAACAGCGTGCAGGAAAGTACCAGAAGTACCAGGCTAGGCGGCGTCGCCGGGCCTCATGAACCTGTCTGGCCGGTCCGCTTTCTGAATGCCGCATTGGCCCTCATCTTGCCAGAGTCACGCAGGCTAGAGGGGAAGCAAGAGCAGCGTTGATACATATGTATGTAGTGCCGAGGTCGATGCAAACAAAAGAAGGGCAGCAATCTTGGCCCGACGTCCGCGGGCGGGGCGATAGCCACAATCGGACGGGGCGAGGCCATTGCGAGTCTGGCGGGAGGTCAGGTCAGGCTACAGTCTAGGCCACCCTGTAGCCTAGGCTAGGGTCATGGGCGGCGCTACCGGGACTCTAAGTACTCGTTCTAGCTGCAACCCCTGACGACGAGGAGCCGTTCCGCGGGTGTCACACTGCGAGCACACACCCGCCCTCGCGCTGTCGAGATGCACGCTGGCTTGCTGGTCGGTCGGGCTGGCGGTCACCATGGAGCTGGCTGGTAGGTGTATGGCTGCACTCGCCGCCAAAAAGTACGTACGTACGAATCGTAAACCTGTATGGCCGCCCGCTGCATCGGAGTTGGTCAGCCCCACGCCCGCCGCCTTCGGTAGCACTTTGCGCTGCTGCTAGGTACAGGGTAGCGCTACATGCCTAGCTCTTCGCGGCCTGTCCGCGGGCTGAGCCGTCCTGGGTGCAGCGGGCTCACCGCCTTTCTCCTCTCTCGCTCCTCTCTTTCTCGTGCGCAGTCATTGCTGGGCAGGACAAACAAGCGGCGAGATTTGCTCGACATACGAGGCAACGCATTGTCGTGCCATGAAATTCCGAGAGGAGGTCTGGCGATCTTTGCGCAAGCAAGCAGAGGGGCTGGCGGCAGGAAGGGACCGCCCCATGCGGCACGGTTGCTTGCTCTTGACCCCTGCGGCCATTATCCGGATCGAAGAGCAAGCAAGCGACTGGCTCCTCTGGCATGTATCTTCCGCGGGCTGTGCGGAACGGGCCCTTCGCCCCTTGTATCCTGTATGATGCCGGGGGACGCGTCAACGGCGTGGTTCCGACGTGGCCCGCCTCAGCTCATGGAGAGGCATGCCGTGCTTGTACTCACCGACTCGATTGATCAAGAATGCTCCTCTCTCTCTTTCATTCTATTTCACCTGGCGGCTGATCGTCGGAAGGTATTCTGGGTGGCTTTTCCTCGGAGGCCGGCCATGGCTTGTTGCGAGAAAGACTCGTGCAGGGACGGAACCCCCCAAGAGGTAGCACGCCGGCGATGGGCGTCGAGCATCAACGTCGCTATCGACTTGTTGGTCGACACCTCCCCAGGCCTAGCCTGCCCGGCGCTGGGTCAACTGCTAGACGCAGAGGTTGATGCCAGCCGAGTACGCCGAAGGACAGGGCCCTGCAGCTGTTCGCTTGTGCAGCCGCAGCTGACTAGCCGCGCCTCCTAGGCTGCGAAGCCCGGCGTCGGCCACCCGTTCAGCAGCACCAGTCTACCTGCAATCGAGATCCCTACGGTCCCCACAGCAAGTACTGTACTGCAGGTATGGTGCGGCCATTCTGTGCTGTTGATGACGCCGAACAGGCATCGAGGTTCGCTACGGCATGTGGCCTTGCGTCAGTTCGACAAGCTGGAGATGCTGGCCGGCAGGGTCAAAGGGCTGGCTCCGTCACGGAGTCCGGACTCTGAGCGGCAATCTCGGAGCGTGCTGAAACCACCAACGGGCGTAGGCTGAACCACGGTGGGAGGAGACAGAACGAGCGAGCCGTTACAGTACGTTGCCTGGGGAAGCTGCACCCGTCCCGCTGGTCGGCTCGTCAGAGGACTCAATTCGGGTTTCGAGGGCACCCTTCCGAAGGCCGCTGGAGCTGGTGGCCAAGCAAGGGCAAGCCAGGGCAAGCAAGCAGAGCGTCTGCAAAGGCCACCACAGGGGCCAGCCCGAAGCCGATGCCGATCGGATGGTCGCCGCCCGCCGACCGGCCGCCGAGGGTCTCGGATGGAGTGTCGCTGTGGCGGCGACTTCCCGATTTGGGCCTAGGACCTGATGTGGGCTGGCCGGCCAGAGCGGCGCAAGGGTCGATTCGGCACAGCCTAAACCAACACCACGTCCTCCCTCCCGCCATTTCCATCGGTACGAAGGCTCTATCTCAAGCCAGATATCCGCCTGCCTTAGCTTGGCACGTCAAGACAGGCCGGTCTCAGCTGCTGCAGGCAATGGTCGCAATCTTGCAGCTTTCCTGCGGCGGCAGCTGCGGCTCCCATGCGACGACGGTCCGAACCCTGCCTGCATGCTGGCCGGCCGCGCGTATGTATGGAGGACGCCGCCTCCTGGCCCCCTCTGACCGGAGAATGCTCCCGCTTCACGGTAACTAGGCACCGTGTCTAGCATACACGCCACGGCGACAAGACGATCAAGCCGGCCAACGGCAAGCCAAGACAGGCTAGGCGTCTTTCGACATCGGCGCCGCACGAGCATGCTGGACCTGCGGTACGTAGGTACAGAAGCGTCTCTGTCGCCCTTGGCCAGCAAGCCTTGGACATTGGTTTTCGCACTCTGACACCTCGGCCACTTGCGAACCCTGTCACCAGCCGCCTGTTCGACAGCACCGCCTCGCCTCGCAAACCCATTTCCGTGTGAGACAGGCCTTCCAAGCCGCCGCCGAACCTCATACCACACGACCCTACTCCTCGTCCAGACCTGGCCCCGCCTTCGTCTGTATCGCCATCGGCACAGACACAAACGTGCCGTCCATACCGTAGCATCGAGCAACATGCTTGGCATGGCCACACTCGACTCCTCGGGCGCGACAAGGCAGGACTGTCGAGGATGAGCCTTTTGTCTCACCTCGCGACCCCTGTCGCTCGTCTGATGTTGCTCGCCAAAGATCTGCCACCTCGTCGCCCGACGTCGACCTACCCGTACCGGTAACCTGTCCGATTGACCTGTCGCGCGGGCGGTCGGGCGGGCTGAGTACCGGTATGCCAACCATCGGGTTCGGGAACCCTTGCTTGCGCTCACTCCCCGTACCGATACTGTATCCGCGGCCGCAGGCGGCAACTTCCTTCGCCGCACTCCCGTCCCAGGCTACGGCTGTATATACCTATCTTCTGGCTGCTATAAGTGCCTCGGCATGCGAGCTACTTTGCGGGGACTAAGCTCCCCCACCGCATGACGCTTACGGCGGTATGGGTCCTCGATGCCCGGAGCATGGTATTCGGCCCTCTGCTCTCAGCGTACCGTATCAAACTCTCATCAAGTTGCCGCCGCCTCTGTGAGCTCAAAGCACACTCCCGCGCGACGCTTTGCACGCTGGCACCCGCCTTGATCATCGACACAAACTGGGTATCCCCTGCTCGGTGCCTGCTGCTTGCTTACTCGCTGCTTGCTTGTTTGTGTCGTCGTGGGATTTGCGGGCGGAGTCGGGCTGGGCTCAAACTCTGTGAGCACGCGCCCAATTCTGGTCGCCCAACAGGGAGCCACACCATTACTGCTTTGTTGGTCTGGCAGAAAGCGGCGGTCAGTCTCCTGCCCAGCCTGTCCGAACCATCTTGTGGCCTTGCAGCGATCCTGCCTTTGCGATGTTGAGCTCTTGCGGCATGGCGGGCGGCAGGCGCACCTTGCTGCTACCTACGGGTACCAACTTCCATCTCGATACGGAACACAGGCTAAGAGACGGGCCATCCGACGAGGCGGTGCAGGCGAGTTCTGGGCCCGTGTGCCGTGTCTCAACCTTCTTCGGACTCAGCCAGGCAGCCAGGCAGCAGGCAGGCCTTGGCCAGCCGGGCCGCGAGAGCTTAACCTTTTTGGCTGTCGAGACGGGTCCAACGCCAACGATGCATGAGGTCCGTCGGAGGGGGGGTGCGATGCCGACCCACGATGCATCGGCAGTCGACACACCCGACCCATCTGCCGATGCCCTGTGGTCGTCCTTTCCCGACCCCGCCAGCCACCTCGTCGACCCTTGGGCCAACTCACCTACGTCCGCTTTCGAGCTCACATCGATCGTCATACCGTGCCTGCCCGGCCACCCTCCATCTACTTGTTCTTCACTCCGCCTCCGCTCTCCACGGCTACTTTTTAGCTTCAGCCTCTCGGTCGTCGCGAGTGCAAATCGTGGCTGGCTGAGTTGCGACCGCCGTAGCCCGATTCTGTCATGTCACGGTGGCGCCCCCGTCCTGACCTCCACCAACGCACGCTCAGCTTCTCCGGCCCGACGAGGGACATACAGGCAACCTCCCCGCTTTTCGGAGCTCCGTCGCGCCATCATCGGTCTCGGGATGGGAGCGGAGATGTAGCCGTAGTCCGCTGCCGGTCTTCGGTCGCACATACGTATGTCGGGCGGCGCAGCGGTCTCTTGGCGGCCATCACTTTTATCCAGCCCCGCCGGCGCAGCAGTAGCAGCATCCCGCTCCCGGTCGTTCTTGCGCAGCAACTGCTGGCTCTTCGACTTACATCATCTTCACAGCCTCGAAATCTTCGAGTTGCTCTCGTTCGGTCGTCTTGGCTAGGTGAACCCTTGCTGTAGGTCGATCCTCGAGGATAAGTAAATGGCATCCTGGACCTCGAGGTCGGTCAATTCAGCCATGCATCTTTACCGCTCGCCTCTCGCCGTAGCAGCCAAGCGGAGCGCCCAACTTTTCCCGACTCAGCCATACGGGTATTGAACGAGTGCCAGCCGAGGTCGCGAGTAGACCCTAGCCTGCCCCGGCCCGTCGCCACCGGGCTAGCCGCCCGGCCCTGTTGGTGTGGAGGAACGAGGAGCCTCGCTTCCAGGCTCGGTGGCGCCCAAAGTGCTCTGGACCCCAGCACGCGATGCCCATTTGGAGAGCGCGGGCGTGGTAGTGTGAGTACCGGTAGCACCGATGTAGTCGTGTGTCGGGCCGCCCAGCAGATGAACGATGCGGTTCCCGCCTCTCTCCCACGATGGACGGCTTTGTTCGTGAAAGCCTTCCGTGGTCATCTTCGTCGGCCTCGACGGCGCTCCTCGCCGCGCCACGAAACAGAAAGTGACCGGTTCGTGCTGTACGAGCATAACTGAACCATCTCCGTATGTACAGGGCCTGGCCAGGTCGAGCTTCGAGAGCCACTCTTTCTGTCTCGGCCGTTGAACGCCTTCATGCCCTAGGTCGAGCCCCACGACCAGGCGCTGACCGACGCCCCCTGCCCGACTCGATTCAACGCGCCCCGCAGAGGTTCCTGGCAGAGGCACGACGAAGACGCCGACTGAGCTGCTCAACGCGGGTGGCGAGACGCATACCAAGCAAACCAAGTCCTACCGGGTCTCGCTCATGCCCCCGGGGCTGCCTCGACGGTGGCGGTCCGACGTGCCGTGCGGTGACCTGCTGGCGTGTTTCAAATCTTGAGCGGTCGGTGGAATGGCTGGCCGCGCATGCCTGCGTGCCCAATCGGGAAATCGGATGATCATTCGTTGGAGACTCCCGATGCTCAACCCTGGAATGAGATCGGGCTCGACCGCTACTCGGTGCTGAGCGGAGCACAAGTTCTTCTGGCTCACGCTCCATCGACTCGGCGACGGCGAAGTCCGCATCACCGTCGTCTAAGGTCCACTCACAGACCCACCCTTCAAGCCCAGGCGATTCAATGAGAGCATGGACGCCTAGGCAAAGGACGCAGCTAACTGACTCTCGAATTCGGGCAGGAAGCGAACACTTTAGAGGACACCTGAGACGACGAAGAAAGTGGCGAGGTCGAGGGATCAGGATGTGGTTCAGCTGGTCAGCAACGTCGCGGGAGCAGGATAAGCGCGAACCGGCAGCCGGTACCCACCTTTGGTGCTCGGGACATCATCGAGGCCTGTCCGCGTGATGGCCTCCTTGATGGCCAGCGCGAGGGCCTTGAACGCCGACTCGGACCTGTTAGTTACGAGGTCGCAGGGAAGGTCAGGTGAGGCCGACGGTGTCAGAGAAAATCTTTCATACGGTCTCGCGGGGGTTGCGGAGCGCGAGAGGGGGAGACGCACCTGTGGTGGTCGTTGTCGCCGCGGAGGCAGTCGACGTGGAGCGTGACGCCGGCCTCGATGGCGAAGCTGTGGAAGACGTGCGGAATCATCTCGCAGCTGAGGTCTCCGATCTTTTCGCGCTTCAGGCCGAGCTCGGCGACGCAGTAGGGGCGGCTCGAGATGTCGATTACGGCGCGCGACAGCGCCTCGTCGAGCGGGGCGTGGCCCGTGCCGTACCGCTTGATGCCCTTGACGGGTCCCAGCGCCTTTTTGAAGGCAGAACCCAGCGCCAGCGCGCAGTCCTCGGCGGTATGGTGGTCGTCGATCCACAGGTCGCCCTTGCAGTTGAGCGTCAGCGACATGCCGCCGTGCTTGGCCAGCGCGTGTAGCATCTGCGGGCGGGCACGAAGAAGGTGCACGATACGATATGGTCAGTACACCCTGCCTTCCAAACGAGAGGGAAGCTGCACGGCGTTACTTACGTGGTCAAGGAAGCCAATGCCAGTATTGACCTTGATGACCTGCGGCGCGAGGGTGGGGTGCACGTCGAGGCCGAGGGTGCACTCGATCTGCGTCTCGTTCGTCACGCGCGACACGGTCGCGGTCCGGACCTGGAAGTCGCCGGAGGATGCCGTCGTAGCTGCTGCCATGTTGTCGTTTGCCTCTCGGGGTCGAACGTGTGCTGGTAGGAAGGTGATGGTGGTGGTCGCGTTGAGGGATGGAGGGTAGAGCAAGCCGAGGACCTGACTCGGATCGTTTTTTCTTCTCGCCGGCATTGGCCAAAGGGTGGCGTGAGCGTCGAGGCGGGGCGAGGCGAGGCGAGGCGCAACCTCGGATGTCGGGAAACGGTGGCCGACGGCCAACATGCAGGGTCTTGGCTGGCAGGTCAGGCCAGGCAGCAACATGTCGACCGGACCAACCACGTCCACGACGCAAAGAGACGGGCACCGCGCTGGGATCAATCAAGGACACGAGCCACAGCGAACTGTTGGCGAACAGGAGCAAAGCAGTTGCACATCCATTCCGCAGACAGGGTATCTTGCACGGCCTCAGGAAGATCAGACATGCGCCATCCAGCCACCAGTTCAGGCGCTACAGCATACCTCCGACCAGCCAGGCGGCGAACCTGACCCTCCAGCGCACCTTCCGGTCGGGTCGGTTGAAGAGGTCCTCGTTGACACGCTCCTTGGCGTCCGCCCTGAGCCCCTCGACCTCCGCCTTGACCCGATGCGAGAGTGGCGAGGACGAGTTCATCGAGATGAGGAACGTGCATTCCAGATCCAGGTCCGACGATCTCGAGCCGTAGTTGGACGAGCCGACGTGAAAGAGCGTCGGTGTTGCTGAGTGGGGCGGCGTGTACCATATCCCTGGTTCAAGTGCGGCAGCCAGGAGAGTGCACAAGGGTGCTGCGCTGGTCAGCGGGAACGTCGGCGCGAGAAGAGGCCGCAGCTGCGAGTTGGCGGCGAGCGCTCACCTTTGGCGTGGTACGTCCAGCCTTGCTTCTTCCACTCGCTCATCTCGACACCACCCTTGGCGTCGTCGCCGTTCCACAGCCTTCCGCTTCGCTTCAGCGCGTCCCAGAACTTCTTCTCAAACCACGTGTAGCCATCCGGGATCCAGCCGCTGACGCCCTTGCTCTTGAAGAAGCCGTTGCTCTCTGGCGCCGCGCAGATGATCCTGGTACGCTCCTGCACGTCACCCTTGCACGGCGCCGAGAGAAGCGCCTTGTACGGTCGATAGAGCGAGAAGTAGCCGGACGTCAGGTCGACGGTGGCCGGCTTGCCTTCCAGGTTCGAGGCGGATGCGGCGAGGTGGAAGATCTGCGGGATGGCAGCCGTCTCCTGGCGGATACGCAGCGGTCCCATCTGCAAGAGCGGGACCAGGTAGACATCTGCATCCTCCCCAGACGACAGAGAGAGGGTCTCGAGCGTGTGCTGGTGCCATCGCCGCGTGAAATCCTCGACAGCCGCCTGCGCTGTAGATGACCAGCCTTGCTCTGGCAGCCGGTTCGATGAGGATGGGCCAAGGGTGCCGCCTTCCGATATCGTGCCATCTGCATCCTCGCCCAACAGAAGCCGGTCCCCTCCGTCCCACTCGAGCCTGAATCCGGCGTAGGCGGTCGCCTTCTCAGAACTGGCGGGTGACTCGGTCGATGCGAGGTGATAGCTGAAGCGAGCGGCGAGGAGGACGAGCGAGTGGAGGTAGTTTGCGATCTGCTGCTGTTGGACAAAGACGACGTAGCGGTCCTTCCGGTTGGTGAAGTAGTCTCGAGAGAGGTTGGCGCCGCTAACGATGACGTCGTCGTCGAACCCGTAGATCTTCATGTGCTGCAGGCCCCACCCCTCGTTGAAGCGCTTCCCGACAAGGCGCTTCGTGAGGCCCTTGAGGCTGGGCGTGTGGTAGAGCCTGACGTCTACCTGGTTGGGGAAGTCGCGGGCGAGGGAAGCGAGCAGCGAGGCGGAGGAGGGGTTCGGTGAGGACTCGCGGGTGGATCTGAGCGCATCGGCGAGGACTGTGAGGCGTAGGGCGCGCCTGGACTGGAGCGCTGCTCGGATGTGTTCGATGAGCTCGATCTCCTCCTTGCCGACGTAGAGGGATGCGAGAAAGATGCGCTGCTGCGCGGACGAGATTTTCTGCTTGAGAGTCTGGTAGAACTGAGCCGGGCTGTCGAGCACCTGTACCTGCTCGTTGCGTGCGGTGAAGATGGGCAGCTGCATCTGGGTGGCTGTTCGCGTCGTCAGGTGGTGGGGTTGTCGGAGCGTGGCGCGTACGTCTTGCTGAGTGAGAGGGGCGAGGCTGGCGCTGGCGCTGGCGCTGCCGATGCTGCTAGCATGGCGGTGGTGGCAGGGCGGTAGGTTTCGGAGCAAGCTCGAGGTGCTCGGGCGACCTGCACCGCCTGCTGCTGGCAGCGAGGCCGTACATGCGGTTGCTATTAGCCTGTGCGTGAGGATCCGCCTCATGATGTGTCCGGGCGTGAGGATGGCGAGAATGGCGTCGGCGAAGGAGGAAGAAAAGAGCGAGAGGAGAGCCACCGAGGCTCCGCCTTGCCCGGCTGCCTGTCTGCCTGCCTGCTTGCCTGCGTGGGCCTGGCTGGCCCGCTTCTTCCTTTATCAAAAGCTCGGGAAACGGGCGTGGGCCAGCCTGATGTGGAGGAGTTTTCGGGGGGCGAGGTGCGGATCCGCGGCCAGGGAACGGCGTGCGTGATCGGCAGAGGGCCAACGCGGCCGGGCGGGCGGGCGGGGTGGAGGCGAGGTCAAGGCGCCGCGGGGCCACCTCGACCCTAGTCACCAACACCATCTTCTTGCCGCGGCTACAGACACAATCACTTGCCTCCCACGCTATCTCTTCGACCGACATCCTCGACTCAAGCCCTTGATCAAGCCTCAAGCGTACCCCCGTAGAGCGATCATTCGTCGGTCCCGTCTGCTCCATCGCCAGACCCGAGCCTTCTTCCAGCCCGCATAGTCGTCCACCATGCCGGCCACAACCCAGGAGGTGAGCATCTCATTTCCCTTGAAGGATGTGAGGATGGTACCTGTCAGCCTGCGCATCGATTGCTGAAACTTTGCGCTCCGACCTGACCCTCCTCTGGCCGCCAGACGATCAACCTCTCCTCGACCAATGTCATCGTCCACCCGCTAGTCCTTCTTTCGGTCACAGATCACGCCTCGCGGTCGGCATCGGGCTCCCGCAAGCGCGTCGTCGGAGTGCTGCTGGGCCAGGAGCTCAATGGCGGCAAGACGATCAATGTCGCCAACAGCTTCGCCGTGCCCTTTGAGGAAGACGAGCGCGACCCAAAGACGTGGTTCCTGGACCACGACTACATCACGGGCATGATGGAGATGTTCAAGAAGGTCAACGCGCGGGAGAAGATGGTCGGATGGTATCACACGGGCCCAAGGCTGCGCGCTTCGGACCTCGAGATCAACGAGCTGATGAAGCGCTTCATCCCGAGACCGGTCATGGTCATCGTCGACCCGAGGCAGCGGGACGTTGGCATCCCCACGGACGCATATCTCGCCGTCGAGGAGATCAAGGACGTGAGTACACGCTGCGCGCACCAGAGAGTATAGCATCAATAGAGAGAGCATGACTGTGGTGCACCGAGGTAGCTTGAGCCAACGGCCCAGATCCGGATCTTCTCTGACCCTCTCCAACCCTTTCTGGCTGCTCCGCGTTCGCTCGGCTCTACAGGACGGCACGGCGACGCAGAAGACGTTTATGCACGTACCATCAACCATCGAGGCTGAAGAGGCCGAGGAGATTGGCGTCGAGCACCTCTTGCGCGACATCCGCGACACGACGGCGGTGGGGACGCTCTCCACGCGGGTTTCATCGCAGCTCTCGTCGCTGAGGGGTCTCCAGTCGCGACTGCTCGAGATCCGTGATTACCTCTCTGCCGTTGTCCAGGGGCAGCTTCCCGTCAACCACCAGATCATCTACAACCTGCAGGACATCTTCAACCTGCTTCCTGACCTGGACAAGAACAGCGAGGCGGCCAAGAGCTTCGCCGTGGACAACAACGACCGGCTACTGGTCGTCTACCTGAGCAGCCTTATCCGCGCCGTCATCGCGCTGCACGGCCTGGTGGACAACCGGAGGGAAAACGAAAAGGGAGAAGAGGAGAGCTCCAACGCGGCTGTAGGCCTTGCAAACGGCGACAAGGACGCCAAGGAAGGCGGCGAGGACAAGGACAAGGAGGCGTCGGCGGCCAAGGACGACGCCAAGAAGTCGACAAAGTAGCAGAATGGCAACGCCGTTTTCTGTCGTGGCCGCCTTCTCAGTCTGGATCGATGCGAAAGCAGGACGATCTCTACCCATCTCCCGAGAGAACGTCTGGCAAAAGTGGTCTGTGTTATGTGGCTGGTGGGGCGGTCCTCACTGCCCGACCTGGGAAGACAGAGAAAGGTCGTGGTAGCGATGGTGTCGGCGTGGAAAGCCCATCTGAAAGTGATCTTTCATCGGTCCCCACCCGCTGGCAGCATAGATGGTGGCAGTCTAGCTTCGATTGGCCTGCCTGCGTGTCGGCGTCGTGTCGAAGCGGACCAAGCAGGGAGGGACGGCTGCGGGGAGCTGGCGTGCCAAACAAAAAGTGGAGGGGTCGGTGCGGATCAGGGTCCGCCATGGCCGCTGAGGCTGTACGCGTGTGTGTGTGCGTGCGGTGACAGGCAGGGGGGCATGCGGCGGGCAAGTTGGGCGGCGTGCCAGTCCCGTCCAGTCCAGGCCAGGCAAGGGTCCGCTCCCTCGCTGCGCCTTGCCAAGCGGCGTTGGTTGCGAGCCAACGCACGTCCCCTTTGTTGCCTTGAGACTGGCTGCGGATCGGCCCGGCGCCGCTTGCAAACGGGCTCGACTGGCCACCACCATCACCACCACCTGTCTCCGCCTTCGCTACGAGGTCTCGCTCTGCTGGCATCCCGCCGGTTGGCCATCACTCGCCCGTCCGCCGTCCCCACCGCACACACTTTAGCCACGCTCCCCGTCTCTCCTGCTCAGCCCTCGGTCCGCTTCCGGTCCATCTGCCCATCTGCCCGTCCGCCTGCACGCCTGCCTGCACAGCTGCTGCGCTCATCTCGAGTATCTGCCCATACCTTGCATTGTCGACTGCACTGAATCCCCGACGGAGCCAACTACGGAGAAGCGAGGACCTCGCCGCTCGGACCTCTCGGTCCACCGACACACAACGGCCAGCAACGCAACCTGCCTTAATCTCTGGCCCCAGAATCCATATCAGTGCCGGTGGGGCCCTCTCCGCCCAGCCGCTATCTCCATCGTCCCTCCCCGTCCATCGCCATTCGCGCATCTGCTCAACTGCTCGTCCCTTGCTGGCCGTCGACACCACCCGGTTATCTTTGCACCCACCATTCTCTGGTACCATGTCGATGCAGGCCCACGTCTACGAGCTGGGCCTCCGGCAGGGCCAGTGCTCCGACGTCAAGATTGGCGCGTTTGGCCGAGTGTACAGCCTGCATCGGCTGTTCCTCATTCAGTCGGGCTTCTTCCGAGCCATGCTCTGCGGCGGGTATGCCGAAGACGTGGCTGCCTCGGCCGCGGCCTCTTCGATGGGCAAGACTACGGCCAACAGCCACCTCAGGACAGCGAGCAACCTCTCGCGCAGCGGCAGCACCGAAAACGCCGATATTCTCAACCTCTGCTTTGATGACCCCAACATCAGCCGCTCCGCCTTCGAGTACTGCGTCGCCCATCTCTACGGGGGCGGACCGGAGCTCGTGCTGCCCTACTGGGCCAATCCCTGCAGCGAACACCCGCTCTCGCCCGCCTACACGATCGAGTTTGGCAAGTCGCAGGCCGTCGGTCACCTCGAAAACGAGACCATCGGCCCGGATTCTCATCCTGCTACGCCCCGCTTTCTCCTCTCGCTCCTCGCCACGTCGCTCTACCTCAACATCCCCAGCATCACCTCCCAGGCCCTCACGCTCGTACTCTGCTCGCTCACCCCCTACACAATCTCGCACTACCTGCGCTTTGCCATCGGCAGGGGCATTGAGGGCGCCGTGGCATCCTCGGAGCTAGAGACGGCCACCGCCGACAGCGATGGCGACGGCGACAGCGACGATTCGGGCACAGAATGGGACTGGGAGCTGCAGGGTCCCATCAGGACGCTCGAGGACCTCGGAAAACCTCTGCCACCGCCGTCGAGGAACGAGACGAGCCCACGCCTTGAAGAGAAGCAAGGCTCCAAGGGCACGCCGTCGTTCGACGACAAGCTTCCAGGCTCGACGATGCTGCAGGAGGCTGAGTTGTCTCAGCGGGCCAGCGAGCTGTCCCTCAACGGGTCTGATGAGAGGATCGGTTCAAGCTCGTCGAATCTCAAGCGGTATCGCGAGTCGTTCGGAGGCGAAGTCACCGCAGACGGCTTCTCCCAAGCAGGGCTGGCAGGCTCCGGACGACTGTCGTCTGTACAGCAACGCGGAAGCTCGGCGGAGATGCAGTCGGATACCGCAAATCCGGCCGAACCTCATCCGAGGAGATCTGGCAAGGACAAAGCAACGAAGGATGATTCGACGAGCGACAGGGGTACGGCAAGGACACGCGCAGAGTCACGGAGACCCGCGCAGCTTCCCACCTCGCACTATGGCCTCCCCGCCGATCGAATCGGCGAGGCCTGCGCCTGCTGGTTCGCTCGCTGGGGAATCGACGTCTTCGACGCGGAAGAAGTCGCCGATCAGGTCCGGTCACAGGAGCTGCAGGACCGCATCAACGCCGCCCGGGATGAGGGCGACCTCAGCAAGCTCTCTATTCACGCCGGCCGCATCCTGAGCGGCGATGTCGACTTGCTCGCTCCTGCACTGCTGCCCAAGGGCGAGATGCCCGACCCGGAGTCGCCGCTATCAATCCCTTACGTGCGGGCCTGGTCGTACCCTTCGATGCCGAGCACCTGGGTCAGGGCATTGATCTCATCGGACAGCTTCTTCGTCCGGTCTGAGTGGGACCGCTACCAATTTGCCAAGCGGGTCGTCGAGATGCGTCGTGCCCAAAAGGAGAGGCTCTCGGCCATCGACGCCTACCTATGGGGACATTTGGGCGAGGACGACGACGACGGCCTAGGTGATGTTGACGACACTGCATCTGAGGCCAGCACAGCCGATGGCGCTTCGCGGTCCCCGACCTCGCCACCGCCATCCGACTTCCGCGGCTTCGGATTCGCACCGCAGCCGCGCAGCGGCAGCAACATCGGCCGTCACAGCCGCGATGACGAACACGAACCGAGCACGGCCACGAAGGGTCGACGGACGCCCACTTCCGCAGGTGCTGGTACCGGTAATGATCAGAACGACGGGGCCAGAGACGAGGACAGCCAAGACGAGGTGGACGACGAGCACGAGTACACGCAGCTGTTCGCTAGCGGCATCTACTATACTCACATGTCGTTCAGAGAGCTCAACAAGATCAGCTGCGACCTTTCTCCCTCCACCGGACGGCCGTACACGCCCTTGTCGGTGCTACAGGCCGCCTTGTGGGCCGGCTCGGAGCTGAGGAACCACGTCTTGTCCTGCAGCCGAGGTTCTCGCGCGCCATCGCTGCCAACGCTCGACGATGAAAACGATGCCGGGCTTGAGGGCAGCTGGGCCGTCAACACGTCCCTCGAAGGCAACAACAGCGTGCAACTGCCGCCGTCGGCCGAGGGCAATGTTGAACTGGGCGTGTCGAGCGTGCTCAACGACTTTGTACAAGCCTGCGACGCCGACAGCGGTGGCGGAGGCAGCAACAGGCGCAAGCGCGAGTCTACCCCTCTGCTGCAGGGAGACTTCCTCGGGCCGGATGCTAGCATGTCGACGCAGTCGCTGGGAGGTCGCGGTGCATCGCCGCTCCTCACGGGGTCCGCGGGAGGTTCGAGCGCTCTGCTATCCAAGAGGTACTTCCTGGTCCCTTCTGACGACACCACCCGGCTCGGCGACGGCCTCTTGGACGTCTGCGGTCCGACGCAGGCAGCGGCAGGATCATCCACGATCGACGGACGACCGTCCCACTTGGCGTCTGACCCGCACAGCACCATACGGCCCCCGTCGCCGAGCACCTCCGCCTCACTCTATCAGGGTCTCGGCGCGACGGGAAACGCCGCCATGCAGCTGCCCAACACTGTGCCTCTACCGGCTCCCCTGACGCTTCGCGAAGCTATGGCGCCGGGCAAACCAAAGAGGGACCGTCTCCATTTCTTTGGCATCGCCAACGCCGTCGCGACCGGCCGCGAGCTTGGCGAGAAGGGAAAACGTCCCTCTGCCGAGGTCCGTAGGCCGACCCGAAGCCATCTGTCCCGACTGCAACGCAACGAGCGCGGCGAAACTCCTCTGCTGCGACAGTTCGGCAGCCTACCGGCGGATGGAGACGACGCATCGGGCATGGACCGCCCGCACCACGACGACGACGAGCTGCTGGATGACGCCGAGGGCGCAGCTTCCATGCCTATCCCCGCACATATCGAGAGATGGACTGGCTACGAACCGTTGCGACTGGGAGTCGAGTTCTTCGGCGTCGACCTCTTGCCCGAGAAGCAGCGCCTCTACTCGCCCAGCTTTTTCTACGCCGGCTCGATCTGGAACCTCTACGTACAGGCCATCAAGAAGGCTAAGGGCATCCAGCTTGGCATCTACCTGCATCGACACAACCCTACAGAGTCCCTGCCGCCGCCGTCCGCACCCATGCCGTTCCCGATGTCACCGACCTCTTCGCCAACGACGGCGGCTGGCCAACCGCATGACTCTACAAACGCATCTGCAGCTGCGCCCGCCACCGCTACCGCTGGCGCCGACTTCGCAGAGGCTGAGTCGCCCTCACGGATTGCACGACGGTCGCTCTTGCCTACCCATCGACTGCAGCCCGGCGCCGGCAACACGGGTACCGACACTTCCAGCTCCCTTGGCAGGTCCAGCCCGCGGCAGCATGACAACCTGCCTAGGTCAAGCAGTATCGCAACAGTGTCGGCGTCGCTGGGCGGCGGCAGCGGCGAAACGAGCCGCAACTCAACGCAGTTCGACACGACACCTCAACGTCGAGACGCCACTCGCAGCTTCTTAGATCCGGGCACCACGTCGACCCCTCACCGTACGGGCGGCATTAGCCTGCACAACACGCCGATCGGCACCGAGATGGGCTCGACATTGACGCTGCCGGGCGGCAGTGCCCTGACCAGCTTCGGCTTTGGCAGCGCGGCCCGCGCTTCGGCCTCGACCCCCGACAACCTGGGCGGCGCAGCACACGCATCGACATCGGCAGCGGGCGGATCGTCGCGTCCTACAAGCAGCATGCACCGCCCCTCGACGTCGTCGCCGTCGTCGAGCCCGCACCCGGCAGGCGCCGGTCCGGGCGTACACGGCAACGTCCCCGTTGTTCCGCTGTTTGACGGCGGTCCGGCCGTGTACGAGGTGTGCCCGACGCCGTCGATCGCCTACCGCGATCCGCGCCGCATGCTGCGCGCCTACTTTTCGATCCACTGTCCCTCGCCGTTTGGCAATGCGCTGACGCGCTTCAGCTCGGCGCCCGACTACTTCTCCCTCAGCCAGAGCTGGGGCTGGAAGAGCAGCAACCTGCTCGGCGTCGCCTATCTCGAGGGTGGCAAGCTGGGCCAGGGGCGGAGCGAGAGCTGGGGCACCTTCCGGTGCTCCTGCACTGTCGGTGTCGTCTAGAGGCCGCAAGGTGCATCGTCCAGCGTCCACCAGGCGTCGTAGCCCCCGTCGGTTTCCTCGATGGGCGCTGCGAGCCCTTCATCTGCTTTCTGCTCATCATCTGCATACGTGGTTTTTTCATCCTTGCTTGCCTATCCGCTGCCTCGCCTTGACTTCGCACTGCACAGCATCCTCGGCGCTCGCGCTGCACGCATCGCAGCGCGCGCTCCCACGCAGCTCTCTCTCTCATGCAGACACGTACGCATGCCCCCTTGTCTCCTTCATGCCGTGCCATTCCTGACCTGCTCCAGCAACGAGTTGAGACCCTGCGAGACGGCGAGGATCATGGTCTGCACCCTGTCCCTATCCGTGGGATCGGCGACGGCGAGCAGGGTGGCCGCGGAGCGATCCGGGTGGTAGGCTCGTATCGTGGCGCGCAGGAGGTTTTCCTTTGCCCTCTTCACGTCGCTCGACGATGAGGCGGAGGAGATGGAGGGATGGCAGAAGAGGAAGTTGGCAATGGCGGGTGGTGTGATCTCCTCCTCTTGTTGCTCGTTGTGCCTCGAGGACGGGGGATGGTGGCGCGGTGCAGGGAGGGAAGGGCCGATGAGGTTGCTCGGCCTGTCGGCGCGCTCGCGGTGCGACGTCGATGTCGAGCTGGAGAGGAGAGAAGCGAGGGGCCAGGGAAGGTCCCACCACCTCTTCCTCTGCCCCTCCTCCTCCCTTCCTCGCTCCTGCTTGAGGAGGGCGGAGAGCGAGACGACCTGATCCCACCGCCTCATGTACCGCTTCCACGCCCGCCGGTGTCGTTTGGCCTCGCGCTCCTCTGCCGTCTTCTCGTACCCCCTCTCTTTGCCGCGATCGCGATCGTGGGAGGCGGTGGAGGATGCTGTGGATCGTCGAGAGGCGCGAGGACCGGCTCGATCTCGAGGTGAGGCGGGTGGAGAGGCGGGGCGGTGGGAAAAGTAGGTCGAGGAGTGGTGCGATTTCTGCGCGCGGTCGTACATCCCTCCTGGTACCGCACCGTGCCGCAATCGCACGACGAGAAGGAGTCAAGAGCAGAGATCGAACAGGATAGGACGGCCGTCAGCACCCTCCCCTCGTCTCTCTCGCAAGGAATCGCGCGCAGCGATGAAGGCAGGAGGGCCCGAGGGAGAAAAGGACTCACTTCGTACGAACTCGGTGTACTCTTCCTCGTCCATGTCGTCCATCGCGCCGCTCCCCGCTCCAAACGCACCTACGCCCGCGCTGCGCCACTCGGAGCCATCCTCTGCGGCGAGGTCTGCAAGGTGCTGCCGCTCCAGGTACTCGTCCCGCTCCCTTCGATCCGCCCGGATCCGTGCTGCTATCGCAAACAGGTCCGTCGACGTTGAGGTCGAACTCCTCGCGGTCGAGGCAGCAGGTGGCGAGGGCGAGTGGCGTGCTCGTTTGTGTCGATGCAAAAAGGCGGGTGAGGGTGGAGGGGAGCTGCGTTTCGACGTGCTCATCCCTGCTGCTTGGGAGATGTCTCGAGAGGGCGGCGGGGCGAGTCGGAATGAAAGAAGGTCGAGGGCAGGAAGGTAGAGAGACACAGGCGGCCGTGCGCAACAGAGACGGCAGGCCAAGTGGAGGTGCGGCCCAGACTCTGCTCCGCTCCGCTTCGCTCTGCTCCCCACGCGACGCACGCAAGCAGGCCAGGCAGTCAGAGGAACGAATAAGAGGGGTTGCTCAGAGAGGCTCGGCGGAAACGGCTAGGATATCAACAAGACACGACAGGACTAGAAAGAGACCAGGAAACAGAAACACAGAGGCAGCGGCTGGACCGGGCCCCCCATCCCCCCCCGCCTCAGACGTCGAAGACGTTGGGCAGGTCCTTCCAGGCCTCCTTCTGGCCCTCGTCGGCAGCCTTTCTGCGCGTCTTGAAGTAGTCTTCGCCCTGGGTACCGCCGTAGACCCAGCCGGGCTGGTCGCCCTCCTGGTGGAACCACTTTGCCTGGTACTCCTTGCCCTCGCTCTGGTACTGCTTCCTCCTCGCCCGCTGCGCCTCCTCGAGGCTGTGCTTGAGCTGCTCGGCCTCGTCGACTTTGCCCTCCTCGAACGCGCGCTGGTCCGGGCGCAGCCTCGAGTCGGTCGGCGGCAGCAGGTCCTTGCAGTCGGCAGACAGCTCGTTGAGCGCCATGGCAAAGTAGGTAAAGCCATAATACTCCTCGGCGTACGGCGGCATCTCGGCCGCCTCCCACAGCAGCTGGTAGTTTTCCTTGTCGTGCTGACGGCTGAGGTTGTCGCTCCACTTGCCCTTGACGTGGGTCACCTCCTTGTCGTTGGCGTCGTAGACGGTGCCCGTGACCTGGTTGCGGCTGCCCGAGCCTCCCCACATGGTGCCCTCCTTGAACTCGATCACGATCCGCTGCCCGGTGTTTTCGTTGGTCACCGTCAGCTCGCCGACGTGCTCGAGGTACTTGTTGCCCGCCAGCAGGTTGCGCATAAACGACGACGGCTTCTGGAAGCTGAAGACGTCGCCGTCGCCAAACTCGAGCCGCGTCGAGCCCTCGGGGATCAGCTCCAGCGACTTGCCCCAGAACTTGTTCTTGACCGAGCTCCAGCCCTGGCACTTCCAGCCCTTGCCCTCGGCGTAGGACGCCACCACGGGGGGCTGGTGCACCACCTTTTCGGCCACAAACTTGAAGTGCTTGTCCTCGCGCACGCACTCGTACGTCTCGCCGAGCAGCGGGTTGAAGGGCTTGCGGCTCGCCCGCAACTTGGTGCTGGCGTAGCCGCTGACGGCGAATGCGCCCACCAGGCAGATCCGCTCGATCCAGTCCTCGGTCTTGCCCGCCTTTTCCAGCAGGTCGGCCGCGTACTCGTACTCCTCGGCCGCCGCCTGCAGCAGCGAGAGCGGACAGTTGAACGAGACGGGGAACGAGATCGTCGACAGGTCCTTGCCGACGTTCTTCTTGAGCATGGAAAACAGTGACACCTCGTCGCCCGACACCTTGGCGGGCAGCTTCTTGCGATACTCGACCGTCTGGCGCGTCGAGCCGTCCTGGCTGGTGTCGTCGGTCTCGGGCGAGCTATCGTCATCGTCGTGGTCCTCGGTGTCGCTCGTGTCCGAGCGGCTGAGGTCTCCGTCCCGATGATCGTCGTCCAAAAAGTACTCGTCGGCACCGTTGCTGTCGGCGTCGTAGAAGATGGCAGAGTCGGTGTGAGTGGTGGCCAGCGAGCTGACGCTGAGGCGCGACCTCGACGGCCCGTCGAGCCCGGGCACGTCTTGGCCCGACCTAATCGACTTCATCGTGCCTCCGGCGCTGTCCACGCGCGGAATCTTGGACTCGATGGCGTATCTGAGGTTGGCGAATTCGTCCTTGAGCTGTTCGGAAATGTTTGCGAGGGCGGTCGCGTCGCTGGCGTCGTCGTCTGATGAGAGAGCGACGCTCGAGGTGTCAGGTCGGGTCGGGGAGGCGTGTTGGTCCAAGGCCGCTGCCACTCACTGCTCTTCATGCCGATCGCTCCGAGGACGGCGCCAGTGGCCGTCTGCTGCGAGTTCTTCGCGCTGAACGAGGCGGACTTCTTTGACAGGGCCTGAACCAGCTTCTCGGTCAACTCGAGGCTGGTAAAGATCTGGGTCACGTCGACGGCAACCAGCTCGGTCCCCGAGGCGACGTAGACCTTCTGTACGGCCCCTCCGACGCGGTCCGGGATGAAGCTCTTGAGGTTGTTGCGCCACATCTCAAAGTCCTGGTCGTTGAGCATCTTGAGGTGGAATACCGACGATCCGCTGTCGACGTGGATGGTGCCGTGGCGCTTGGAGCTGGTGACGCTGGCGTGTGGGATCTCGATCGAGTCCCTGGCCGCCTTGTCCGGGCCCATGGCGTAAGTCAGAAGCCCTTCGTTCGTAAGGGCCAGGAAGCGCTTGGCATAGCCTGCGCGGGCAAGCGGGTGAGGTCCAGAATACAGCAGATGGAAGAGTCAGCTATGCACGATCCAACAGCCAAGGGCTCTCTGCGTGCTGCTGCCTCTGGGGCGTCGATCATAACCAAGACGGGCTGGCAAGCTCACCCTGCATCTTCTTGCGCTTCTTCTTGAGGACCCAGCCGGTACAGACGGTCTGTAGGTCCTGGATGGCCTGGCGGTCGCTGGAGCCCCTCTGGGCCGTCTGGGCCGCCTTGGCCTCAGATTTGCCGCCCATGGTCAAGGTGCCTTGTCGATAAAGAGTTGGGATGGCCGCTGTCGGTTTTGTCGGATGGATCAAGGGGAGAGCGGCGGCGGTGGTGCTAGTATCTCTACAAGATGCAAAAGCAGCTTCTTACTGAGCAAATCGGTTGTGGGAGAAGGAGCAAACGCTGCCGGTCCGGAGGTGATCAGAGCCGCGAGTCGAGTACGCGGGTGGTAGAATGAACGTAGGAGACGGCAAGAGGGAGAAGGGATGGGAAAGGCAGTTCGGAATGAGGATGGCCGCCAAAGAGGTCGCCGTTGAGTCGAGGTAGGGGGCCGAGAAGGGCCAAGCAGTCGAGCGAGCTTGAGGAGGGCGGGCGAACCGGGGGCGAGCAAGCAAGCAAGCAAGCAGACCACTAGGCTGTGCCGTCTCTCTGCTGCAGGGCCCCTGCGCTCGAGGCCACCACCCGCAGAGAGCCAGGCTAGGCTGCAGGCGGCAGGCTCGTCGGAAAGCGGTCCGCTCCGCTTGCTTGGGCTATCGTAGGCACGCTGCACTCCCCTAGCCCCGTGGCCAGGCAACAGCCCCACACAACCGACCACGAAGTGCTCCAGCGGTGAAGTGACTTCAGAATCAACTAGGCCCCAAAGCGTAGGCCATGGCTGGCGAGCGGAGAGGCCGGGTGTGCTCTCTTGGAATCCACAGGCCAGGGCAGGCCAGCAGGTTAGGGCATGAGTGCACCCACACCCTCTTTCCTCCACCTGAGTTGAGATCGTCGCTGGTCGGGCCCTAGCCTGCCCGCGGCCTGCCTCTATGCGTCTCGAGCTGGCGTCCCCGCACCCTCGCGAAGCTGGGCTCTGATCTTCTTTCCCCATCCGTCGTCGGCTCGAGCCGAGAGCCGCGGACCGTCGCGGGTCGTGCCTGGCTGGCCATCTGGCTCAGTCCCAGCAACCCTCTTTCTCAACGCAACCAAGGTCGCTGTGCGGTTACCGGTACGAGCTCTTCGAATGAACACGACGATGCAGCATATGGGTGGCGCTCTACACGACGAGGAAGACCGACAGGCAGAGGGCGAGGGAAGGCAGGACGGGAGCCCCACCGAGCGGCGTCCTGGCGGATGTCCACCGAGGAAACCGCTGCTGGCGAGGAACCGCTGCTGCGTCGTTCCAGGTTTTTTGGCAGCCCGCCCGATCCGCCGTTTTCACACTCCAAAGGAAAGGGGCGACGCCTACCGCGCCGTGCCCTCCCCGCGTCACCTCACCTTGTCGGACCCTCCGCCAAGCAGGCAGGGCTCCTGGTATCGAGGCGTAGCGAGCGAAGCATGCCGTTTCTCAATCGTCATCGTCACCCAGCCAACCCTTTCGCATCGTTCCCTCCGCCTGCTCTGACAGGAGTAACTGGCGGCCACTACCGAGGTCGTGTGGGGCTCGTCTCTTCGACCTGACCACGCTCGCATTTGAACCGACCCGATGGATGTCCTTGCTTGCCCCTTCTTTCGTCATCGCTCCTGGCGTCGGATAGCCCCGACGCACAATAAGAATGGAGCATCCACACGAGGCATTCACCTCATCCCCGAGTCGGAGCTCCCGCTCGATGCAACAGATGTCCACCTCTTGCCTGCTCGTGACTGGGGCCAGCGGCACGTCTCGGCCGATGTGCTTCCTACGATCGGGGCCAAAACGAGCATCGGGGTGATCCTATCAAAGCCCGTATGCCTCCTCGCCCTTCCTTGCCCATTCGCACGCATTCTACACCCACCTCGGGACACCCCGTCGTTGGTGTCCGGCATCGGGGCGTCCTGTTGTACAGTCACATCAACCGTGATGTCGTCTGCAACGACAACGAGTTGTGCTCGGCCGAGGCGGGGCTGGCTTTAGACGTGGTGGGGTGGCCGATCAGAGTCTTGTGGCGGGGCATCGGGGCGTCGCCAGCCGTTCCTCCGTGTTTATGACGGAGATACGGCCGGCCGGCCGGCCTGCGACATTGCTTGGAGCGAAGTGGTCACTTCGGGGCGTGCGAGTGGGAACTTGACGAGCAGACGAGCAAGGTACATGAAGTGGCGAAGATCGAGGTGGTCGGTATAAAGAGTGGCAAGGCGAGGAGGACGTCGATGGTCCACCCCCCGCGCTCTCGATCGACTCCGCCCTCGTCGCCGCCGTCCAGCCATCGACCATTGACCCGGTCAATTCAAGCACAGACCAAGCAGCATCGCTCTTGACACCCTGCAAACATGCCGAGCAAGCTGCCCACGCTACTGCTCCCCGTCCTCCTGGCGCTGTTGCTCACGCCGCGCCGCATCTACGTACGGGCTCAACCCACACAACCCCACACCCTATCTAGGCGGGACGGCACCGACGCAGGACCACCGGGCATCCCGACGGCGATAACACTGTTCTGGTTCAACAACCTCGAGGTCGGCATCTGCTACGACATGATGCGGCGCGTCGTGAGCGACCCAGACTCGTTTGACTGCAACGCCCAGGGCGACTACGACCGCGACAACAACACCTACGCCCTGCCGCAGACGTGCATCGCCCTCATCCCCAAGAGCGAGGCCCTCCTCTACCGCATCACCCAGGCCTGCCAGCAGACCAACGGCAAGTTCGACACCCTCACCGCCCCGCCTGGTACCGATATGAACCCCGGCCCCGCAGCAGCTTCCGGTGCCGGTGCGGCTGGGACGTCGGCGTCTGCTGCTGCCGCATCTAAGCAGTAGATGGCTCGATGCTATCTGCATTGCGAAAAGACGGAAGACCAGAGCGAGGAACAGATGACAACAACAAGTCGCAGAAGGGGGGAAGGCAGCGCGGGTTTAACGTCACTGACACGGGTACGGGAGAGGAGGACTGGATGGGACGGAGGCTGAGGCGGAGACGGAGAAAGGTACACGAGAACGGGCGGATCGACGGGTGGAGCGGCCTAGACGCTGGCCTATGGATACAGATACAGTGGAACTATGCTGGGCGGAGAGGCGGGTGCGGAGAATGGATGCGGCGAGGGGATCAAGACGAACGAGGTAGTGAGTGTTCAAATGTTCAGGAGGCATGCGAATGCGTCGGTCTCTCCGAGCTGCTTGGATGGAGCTGGGGACCGCGCGCGCGAGAGGGTATGGAAGCGAGCGAGCGAGCGATCGGGGAGAAGGCCGTCCAGAGCGGCGGCATGGGGGCCGGCGAAAATATCACAGGGCGGTGCGAACCTTGGACCGAGTTCGCGAAGCAACGCCGCCGCTGGCAACAGCAGGAGCGGCGGCCGCGGCAGGCTTCCGTGCCGTGGCTGAGCCTGTGGCCGAAGCCTTGCGAGTGCTCCTGCCCCGAACAGCGTCTGGACTGCGGTGAACGGCGGCGTGAACGGGCGCGGTGTCTGATTCAGGCTTCGGGTTGCCGCTCAACCGGCTCTTCTTGGGAGGACTCGTGACCGTGGTCGTCTCGACCGCCGCAGCCTCCGGAGCGAGCCGCGATTCGGTCGCCTGATCAGCCGAATCGACGACTTCGTCTTCGGCTTTAGCCAACAGGCTCAGGCGCCCACCTGTGCCGCGCTTGCGCGCGCTGTTGTGGCCCACAGGAGAAGCTTCGGCGCCATGCTCGACCTTGACGTCGCCCTCAGCCTCGGCGAGCGGCCGTTTGTTTTCCTTGTTTGGGGTCGACGGGACAGACATGGCCAGCGGCGAGGCAAGGACGTGGAGATCCTGCATCGGCTTCGTCTCGGCGGCGTCGATCTGCTTGTCCACCACGGGGTCCTCGTAGACGGTCCAGCCCAGCGGGGCGCGGCGCTTGATATCGCCGAAGAGCTTGCTGGCCGACAGCTGGCGCAGGTGCGCATTGGAGAAGACGTCGTCGCCAATCGCCTCGGGCAAAGCATAGATGTCCACTTCCTCGGCCTTCAGCGACTGCGATCGGCGCCGTGGCGAGCCCCTGATCGGCGAGCCTCCGGCTCGGGCTGCGTGGATGTCGTTGTCGTCGTCGTTTCGTGCGGCAAAGTAGCCGTCGGAGAAGGACGCCACCTTGCACGGGCTCGGACTGCCCATCGGCCCAGATCCGGCGATTTCGTGGGCGATGGCGATCTCTTCCTTGCTGACGCGGTACTTTTTCTTGGGCAGGCTCTTGAGCGCGCTGCTCTTGCGAGGGGACGCGACGCCGGCGTCGGCGGCATCGATGAGGCGCTGCTGGCCTTGCTGCTGATGATGTCCATCCACCATGCCTTGCGAGTCGCCATCTTCGCCGTCAGAGGGGACAGGCGTCCTCGGACGAGAGGTGGAGCCGGCCTGGATGCTCGCCCAGCGCGCCTGGAGAGCGAGGCTGTCTGCATGTCTCTCGGTCGACGGGCTGGGCTCGACCATGCTCTTGGGCTTGGGCCCGCTGACGGGGCTGGGGCGGTGCAGGCGAGCGTTCCGCGGTGTGGTCGGGGCGTCTGTAGGCGTGGCCGGCACGGTCGGGGGTACGCGGTTTCGGGACGATGTCGACGACGACGATCCGGCCCGCGCCTTGACCGGAGTCGTTGAGCCGCCCGCCATTGTCGCTAAGGAGCGTGGCACGCTTGCGGGCACCTTGACGTACCGCGTCGTAGAGGAGAGGATCGGGCTGTGCTCCAAAGGCACCGAAGAGGAAGGGCTGTGGGCCGGCGCGGCGAAGAGCTTGCGGCGAACCGGCGTCGCTTCGACGGACATCATCTTGTCTGGGAGCGACTGGCCTTTGACCGAAGGGGACGCGACGACGGTGGAGGCTGTCGGCGAAGGTCGGGGGGAATTCGAGGGCGAGGATGAGGATGAGGATGATGAAGCCAGGGGCGCCTGATGGTCCGACTGAGGGGAGCGAGGGTTGAGAGTGGCCGCCGCTCGATGTTGGTGATGGCGCTGAAGGAGGACCTGCTTGTGGGGCGAAACCGATCGCGACGTTGTGTGGCTTGTGCCTCGGGTGTTGGGCGAAGGGGTCTTGTCGTCGAGCGACGACGTGGACGAGGGAGCAGAAGGAGGCTGAAGGGATTGGGCGACGAAGACGTGGAGGGGCAGTTCGCCGAGGGGCTGTCTTTGGCAAGGTAGGGAGGCGATGGGGAGGGACGAAGACATGGTGGACGTGGGTATGGGCATGCTCGGAGGGGTCGACGTTTATACGCGGGATCCGCCAGGGCCGGAGAGGCTGAGCGAGGCTGGGCGAGGCTCAACAAGGCTCGACTTGGAAGGTCAGGCTTGGAGATGAGATGGATGCGAGAGGCAGAAAGGGGGCGGCGGGGCAAAGCGGGGGCAACGGGGTACGGTAACGAGGGCAGGCAAGGGCGGGGGAGTGCAGAGGGCGCGGTGCCCTTTGTGGATGTAGGCTAAGTCGAGTGGTGGGTAGAATGATGCGCTGGCCGTGCGTAGTGTTGGTCGATGCACAGTTGTGTTGGGTGGGTGGCAGGCAGGGGCAGGCAAAGGTGAGGAAAGGAAGGAAAGGAGAGGGAACGGACCGAAGCCGGACTTGGATGGATGGATGGCGTGTTGAGGCGTGGCGAAGGCGGGCAGCGGCGGCAGCAGCAGCAGCAGCGACGTGGCCCAACCCCCACTCACCTCGGCCTGGCCGCTCCACCTGGATGGACGGCAGGCGGCGGCGTCGGGAAGCCTCCGGCTTCAGATAGGCAGGCACCATCGAACCCACCCGCAGGCTCACGCAGCCAGCCGTTGCGTGCGGAGTGCGGGCGGCCCTGCCGCTTACGGCTGACGCCCCACCCAACAGGCGTCAGCCACCAGCGCAGCATCATCATCACCAGCACGCCGCTTCTCTCTGAGGCCGGCCCATTTGCCTACACAGCTTAGCTTGCTGCTTCATCTCGCTGCCCCCCCTGCAAGCCCCACTAGGCCCATCGCAAAATACACACAACAGTCGACCATTGACTCTCAGGCAGGCAGGCAGGCAGGCAGGCCGCACAAAGGGAATCGGATCTGGCTCGTGTTCGACAAAGGGATGCATGGGTACGGTAGCTAGCCCAGGCCTGGGATGGGTCGATCAACGTGCCTGCCGAGCGAGGGCAGCGGCGGAGCGGTGTTCGACGCCGACGACGACGACTCCCACGCCCGCTCGCTCCCTCGCTCCCAGGTTCACCTCGCTCTGTGAGGGAACTCTTCTCGCCAGCGTCTGCCGTCTGCGCCTGCGCCTGGCTCGGTCGAAGAGCAGAGCAGAGGGCACGCCTGTGTACACGATCAAAGGGAGGGCACCAGAGAAACACAATCAAAGGCATGAAGCGCCACACAATGCAACGATCTGGGCTCCCTCGCTCCCCTTCGGCCCTGGTCCCGACCTGCTGCGCTGTACGTGCAGGTCAGCACCGGTTGCAGATAAGTTAGAGAGGCGTTGGGTCAGCCCGTCCGAATGGCATCCCGCCACGCCCTGGGCCGCCAGCCACGGGCATGTGCAATGAACGCAGGGCTCGCACCGTGCTCGGCCGCAGCGGTGGGCGAGGGGGCCTGGCCAGCTGGGAACCCGAGCCATCAGCTAGGGTAGCTACCGTAAGAGTGCGGTGGACGGATCGGAGCGACGACTCGACCCGACCGACTTACCTACTGCCCTCGACTCGACGGCAGCGCCCTGCCCAAGCTTCCATGGCGATCAACCACGTACAGCACGCTGACGATGGGCAGGCCGAGCTAGCGTAGCGTGCTCAGAGCGACAAACAAGGTTTGGTTGCTGCAACTAAGCTTGGATAATTGAGCCTGGACAAAGAAGAGGCCGGCAGGCGTCCAGCAGGGCCGGAGCTGAGGAACGCACAGGCAGGGCCTGGGGATGCTCAAAAGCAAGCAGCAGTGAAGCAAAGCAAGCAAGCTACTACTGTACCTGTAGGAAGATCAGAGCGCAGTTCAAGGCCGGACCGGAGAACAAGGAGCAAAAGCGAGGTCAGCCCGCCTGCCCTTTCAAGTGGCCGCGCATGCTTCATGATGCAGCTGCAGCCACACGCACTCGGACGGGCGGGCAGGCCCGAATCTCGGAATCTCTGCAGCCCTGGCCAATACGAGGACCCGTCGACGTCGCCGGTCGCGGCGGGGCTCTCGCTGCCCAGCCAGACGCGGCGTAGGCTCTGGTCGTGGCGGTTGCGGGATACGCCGGCAGGTGTTGGTCTCAGGCCGGTCGGTGTTGGGGTTACGTTGGGTGCCACGCAAGGCCTGGCGAGGCCCCTTCGATGATTCACGTCGCGCCTGCCTTCCTCATCGCGCCTAACGATCCGCGAGCCGGCCGGGATCGGGGCATACCTTGAAGCTTATGACGGTGGCAGGGTGAGACCTCGATCTGTCTGGATCTGGCCGAATCGATTCCGAGGGAACGGAGGAGATAGACAGACCTGCCCCGGCCCCGCCCTGCACGGCGAACGGCTTTGCCAATCCCCGCCATGCCCGGCAAAGGACTCACAGGGAACAGATCGAGAGCCTGGAAAGGCATCAGACCGCCAAGGGATTCCCGCCCTTTCAGCCTTGTTGGATGCAATATGCCACCTTGGTCGGTGGGAAAAAAGGAGACGGCGATGGCGTCCAAGCGAAGGCTGGGCGGCAGAAGCATGCAGCAGAACCACGCCCGCTTTCATGCTCGAGGCGGCAACGTGCCACTTTACCGGCGCTTGAGATTGAGGATGAGCGCATCTCGCTCTGCCTTTTGCTCTGGGGCCGCTTGCCTGGGCTACACTCTATCTGGACCTGTACGCCTGCGGCTCTTTCGACGGGTCGTCCAAGGCCGCGAACCTTGAACTGTCCGAGTGGAGCTCTAGTTATGCCCCGCCGATGTCCCTGCCCATCTCGCAGAGGGTAGTGTTGGATACGCCTCCGTTCGCTCGCTTCTTGGCAAGAGCCGGTCGGCACCAAAAGTCTCCAGGTCGGCTGGTGAGGACTGTCTGAGATCGCGGATCTCTTCCGCCGCCTTCTCCATCTGTCCAGTCTCCATATCATGGCGCCAGCCTGAGCTGTGGCTGACCTTGACCCCGTGGGCTCTGATCCAATGACCTGGCGTTTCTTGATGTCGAGCCTGGATGATCCGCGATTGAGAGGGGCCTCCTGCCGCTGTCGGTTGTCGAGGCAACCGACGCCTCCTTTGCCTGCTTGGCTCTGGATGAAGCCAGACTTTGACTTCCGCTGGCGCCACCGCCAGACTGCTTGGGCGCTGCTTCATTCGTAGCCGCGTGCGTGCATGCATGCGAACTACTACTGAGGGTAAGGTTGTGGCTTCATGCTTGGCCCAGCATCGCGCAGCGGCAGCGACGCTCTTCCGGGGCAAGATAGGCTATGGTTGCATCGTCGCCGCGAGCCTCTTTAGCTTCGAATCAGTACTGGTAGTGCAACTGCCAGGTACAAGGTGGGGATAGCAGTCATCAGTCGGACCGGACGGTCGTGATCATATTGGCGCTTGTTGCTGTTCAGATCGCTTGTCGCCCAAGCATGGGGCACCGTGCCGCCAAGTTGCTGCGTACGTGTTGCTCACCTCGGAAAGAAGCTCGTCGCCCCTTCTGACGCTGCAGACACCCTTCCCAGTGTGGCGGCGCCTTCGATGCTCAAAACCACCGGTGGGTCCGGATGGCCGCGGTGTTGTGCCCCGTAGAGCGACCGGTCCCGCGGTGTGGGCTGCGGGCGTGGAAGACGGCGTCCAGCACTCCTGCATGGGCTCCTGCGGGAGGCAGGCGGCTGCCGGCTTCTGCAGAGCTGCCGCCGCTCGAGCCCGACGATGCAGTGACGGCTGCGGGCGGTCCCTGGCAGGCTCGGGAGGTTGAGCCAGCAGCGACGGCTGTCAGGGGTTGTGCAAGCCTTCTGGAGCCGTCCTGGCTGCGCTGTTCACGCTGCCGAATCAAGAGGCGTCTCCCCGACAGAGCGGCGGGAAGTCTTGGAGTGTGCAATGCTCGAAAAGTGGAGCATGCGCCGCCACGGGCCGAAGCTGAGCCGAAGAGCTCGACGTGACGGCGTGTGGACATCACGTGCCGTCGACGAGGCGATCGGCTCCGAAGGTGCCACAGCAGCATACCGATTTGCTGGCGTCGGCCTTAGAGACTAGGTGATTGGGGCAACGCTGGTCGATGAAGAGCCTGGTATGGGGTGGGACTTTCAGTAGTCTGCGAAGGGTTCCCATAGGTCGAGGGCTCGCGTGGATCGTCTCCGAGGAAGTGGCCAACCTCGGCGGCCGCGAGGGTGTCGGGGTAAAGCTCTCTTGGGCCCGAGTACCGATGTCTTCCGTCTACCGATGCCGTTCGATCTCTGTCCTTTGGTTGTGCTCTGAAACGAAACGCTGAGGCGAGCAAGAGATTGACGCTGGAAGCGACGACTGTGGCGGTCTCGGATGGCGAGGCGGGGGCAGTCACCGTCGTGAGTGGTGGTGGCGGCGAGGAGGGGTAGGGTGCCGTGGCTGCCTGCGCAGAAGAGAGACCTGGGCCAAGCAGGGCGGAAGGCCGCACAGCCGCCGAGAGAGACTAGACAGCATCGGGCCTCGTCGGCTGGCAATCGATCGGCCGACCGCTCGGGTGAGGCCAGGCCAGGCCACGCCGGCGCAGAGCCCATTCAGACAGGCTAGGCTGAGGCGACCCGCGCAGACCAACAGGCAGGTAGGCGTCCAGCAGGCATGCAGCCGTTCAGGCAAGTCGGGCTGGGACCAAAGGCAGCTAGGGCCCCAGCCTAGCCCGGGCGCCGCTGCGGGGCGCAGGCAAGTGGGCGGCCCAAGCGCCAAAAAAGGCGGAGAGGCGCCGCACACACGGTGAGCCAGCAGCACAGCCCGTTGCCTGCCGGCCTGCCTACCGCCTAGCCTGCCTAGCCTGTTGCCTCGCCTGCTTGGAAGAACACGCACGGGCAAGAGGCTGTGGCAGAGTAGTCTCGGGCAGAGGGCGAGCGAGGCTAGGGCAGGCGCGGCGCGAAGGCTGGGGCGTACGCGTGGCCAGGCCTTTCTAGAGGCAGCTCCATTTCGGGGCGCGTGGGGCGAGGCCCGCGCCTTGCTTCCGCTCCAACAGCTCCTCCGCCACTCTCTCGCCTTGCTTCCGCACGACACTCTGGAGGGTGCATGCCTTGACGCTCCTCTCGACTTCTCTCTGACCGCCGTCCCTAAGAAAGCGCCACCCGCCGACGACAGGATGCTCGAGCCGAGGAGCATGATGTGGAGCTCAACGATGCCTGACGACAAAGGCGAACCCCGCATTCAGACTGTTGGCGCAGCATCCAAGCTCGACCAGCTGCCAGAAGTGGTGCTGCGTGGTGAGCATGGGCTCCAGCAACGAGCCGCAGAGGCACAGCGACGTCGGCGGTGCCAGCGAGGACAAGCCGACGCTGATTATGAGCCACGTCATTTGCCCCACGCTCGCACCTCGTCATCGCGTCTCGGTCCTTTGACAGCCATCGTTGGCCAAGCCATCGCCACAGGTGGACCCTCGGCCGTTCCGGCCCTTCTCCTCGTTTCGAGGCGTGTGCATGAGGCCACAGTCGCCCTCTGCTTTGAGACGATCTCGCTCGCAGACGATGCCCAAGAGGTTGCACGCCCCCGGCCCGGATCCAAGCTTCAGGCCGTGCTGAGCCAGCCGGTGAGGTGAGTCGACGTTACAGCTCGTCCTCGCTCGGATCGCAAGCCAGCCAGCCTTGCGCTTTCCGGCTGAGCTGTCCGGCCCTCTCCTCGCTCCATCTGTTCCACGCTATGACACAGGCTCGCCGATCTTGTCAAGAAGATTGTCATCAAGCCCAGCGAGACCGGCTGGGATACGAGCGCAAGCTGTGCGCCTGGCGACGGCAACGCGGCGCTCCGAGCACCCCTCGACGCCATCCACTTCCAGCACCTGGTCCGCAAGCTTCCCATGCTCGAGTCGATGGTCTGGTCAGTCGAACGGCCGATCGATTGACCGGGGCGAGGCTTGACGCTCTCGCCCTAGCTGACCTTCACACCATGGTCCTCGTCCATCTGGCTTTGACGCATCAGGAGTTCCCGTCGGCCGCCCTTTGCCGGGTTCTGCCTCCTGCTTGCTGCCGAAGTTCCGCGCTTGCAGGATCTCCAGGTCATGACTCTCGGCAACGGGCCGCTGTCGGGATCTACTACGTCGAAGCGACGCGATTCGGACGTCTCGACATCGGATGCCGGCGACGAGCTCTGCACAAAGTGGAGCCCTGACGGCATCGACGGCCTGGGTCATCTGCGGCGATTGTACCTGTCTCATCTCTCGCTGGACGGCTGGAGGATGCTCGGCGCGTCCATCCCCTCGCTCTCGAACATCGAGACGCTCAGCCTGGACTGCCAGTTCGTCGAGGACACCGTGCTCTGCCAGATCGGCGAGACATGCAAGAAGCTGCGGCACCTCTGCATCAGCACTGGCGGCACTAAGGTGAGAGCCAACGGACGTGGACCGTATCGACGCCCCATTCGCTGCAGGAAGAAGCTGAGACCGCTTCGACTCTGCATGCATGCTCGATCGGACCGTTCCTGACTCGGGATGCCCAGATGACCGCCAAAGGCCTATCGGCGGTGCTCGAGGGATGCTACGCGCTGGAGAGTCTGACGCTGGTCGACGTCGAAGGTAAGTTAGCCTCCGCCGCGAGCGCGAGGCGAGGACGTGCAGCCAGGCCGACGCGGCGTGGCGATGCCGATTCTGACCTGCCTGTCGATGCCATCGGTGCCGGTCAGGACGTCTGCCGCGTGACACCTGGTCTTCGATCGAGCCCGCCTCGGACCGGTTCCGCACCTTGCGCTACGTGATCAGCACAGACGGCCATCACCATTCGTGAGCCTCTGTGTGACATCTCAAAGCCCCCTCGTCGCCTGCCCTCGTGGACAGAGACTGACTGGAAGGATCCTCTCGCCCCCGACATTGCTCGCGCAGCTGGGTCACCGACCACCTCGACTCGATCTTTGCCTCGCTGCGCACCACGCTCTTGGACATGGCAGAGTTTGTCGTGACGAGGCACGACGGAGCGGGCAAAGTGTCTGGCAAGCTCCGTCACGACTTCCGATCGGCGCGCTCGACCGACCCGGTCGTTCAGCCGCGTGCGATTCCCAGAGAAGCCTTGGACCACCTATCGGCTCGCGGCTCCTCTCTGTCGCATCTCAACGTGAGCTCATTTCCTCGACACATGGTGGCGAAGATGCCTAGAAACGCATTGTCCACTCTTTGATCGTTCGTCCGCGTTGCCTTCCGTCATCTTCCCACCGCCCAACAGATCGACTTCTTCTTTCTGTCCGAGGCCGAATTCAAGGCCATCCTCGGCGCCTGCCCCAACATCCGTACCATGCAGGTCTGCGTGGATTTCCCCTTTACGAAGCTGGTGAGAGGGCAACACGCCGGACACGACGCATCCTGACCATCCTGACCGAGCGGCCCCGCTGAATGACTTCCGCTGTGTCTCCTCTGGCCTTGAAATGGACGCGATAGCTGGCCAAGAGCCCTCTCTTCACTCAGTGCTCGCGGCTGCAGGAGCTCAACGTCAACGTGCTGCCGGAGCATTGCCCCTGGATCCCGTCTGACGAGGTGATGTTCGCATCTCACTACAGCCTCGCCAACGGCCATTCGGACGCTTCCAAGGATGGCGGAGCGCCGTCGACCCCGGAGCGAAAGGTCAAGCCGGACAGCAGCCCCAACAAGCGGGGCTCGGTCGACACCAGCCCCTGGGTGGGCCTTGGTCAAGGAGAGCAGGTGGTCCCACCGAAGAGAGAGATCCGGAAGTGAGTTGTGCTGGCTTGCAGCGGCGCGGAAACGGGAGATTCGAGAGCGGTTCACGGTGCTGACGCTGGGACGCTGTGCACCTCTCTCGGGCTGAGCCAGGCTGGCAAGGAGGTGCCCCAGCCTCAGGGTGCTGCGTTGGATCGGCGTCCACGGTCAGGGCGAGTGGACGATGTCGCACGGCTCTCAGCAGGTCGACTTCCGCCCCTTCACCGCCGGCGGCCACGCCGAGGCTGCCTGAAGGAGATCCAGCGAGACGAAGCACGAGACGCAGCCACGGCCACGGCCGCATCGCCTCCGAGCAAGGCCAAAAGCACAAGCATGCACGCACGCACGCAGCACCACGCACAGCAGAGATCCGTGGCGTCCAACGGCAGCGACGCCACCAGCCGAGAAGCGCCGCCCGACGAAGCGCGAACCATTCAATGCTGGCAATTCACCTTGCCCTCTTCTGTGACCCGACGAAAGCTCCACGACGGAGCATTTTGAAATCGATCAGGAGCGCCGTCGAGACATGCCCAAGCTGCTGCGCATTTGTGGCACCGCCGCGGCTGCACAGCCAAGGCGCGAGCGTCTGTTGTGGAAGCGCGATGGGGGTGGGGACGGTTGTCGAGCTTGGGATGGTGTGAAAGAGAGAACGGAGAAGCCGCTGCCGCCTCGCCGGAAGAATTGGGCAGCTTGTTCACGTGGGGAGCGAGCACCCTCACCGCCAGAGTCGTCCATGGCCCATTCGGTGGAGCCGAACGCCAACGGCCTGGCCCGACAGGTTGAGTTGGCGCGGGAGCAGGGAGGGAGGACGAGGGCCGAGGTGGCGAGCCCGCGGTTTCGGTAACGAGCAGAGGAGCGTGGAGGCTTGCTTGCCTCAATCGCCCTCTAGCCCTGCCAGCCCAGGGCGAGGTCAGGGCCCACCCTCTTTCACGCGTGAAAGAGGAAAGGCAAGTCGGCCCTCATGTGGGGTTGCCTAGCCTTCGCGGCCGCCCGCGGTCTCGCCTGGTTTTCCCCTTTGGGCCTGAGGCGGGCAGGCAGGCAGGACCCCAGCCGCTGTCTCTGCGCATGCCAGCCAGCCAGCCAGCCAGCCAGCCAGGCTTCTCGCCGAGACGTCATCAACCCGCTCTCCGACGTCGGAGGGCGACCGTTTTGAAATCCATCTGAACTCTGCTCGTCGCCGTTCAAGCTGCGCGGCGCTCCTCTCGTCGACAACGACGAAGCAGGTGTACAACTCCACTCTTAGAATGGGGAGGGCGAGGTCGTCGATAGCTTCCGGTCGGCACTAGGCCGGGGCCACAGCGGCTCAGCTTGGTCGAGGCGGAACAAAGGAGCAGAAAGGGCCCCGCCGACCTGCTCAACGCTATGGCCATCCCGAGAGCCGCCGGTCAGCCCGATGATGAATCGGCTCAGCCGCAAGGAAAGCGGAGAAGTAGTCGACGCACCACGGCGAGGTGGCGGCGGTGCGGCGCAGAGTTGTCGAGGCAGACGACGAGGCCCGCTGCTGCTGCTGTTTGATTTCACGCGGAGATGCAGCAACTTTAGCCGCTTCCGCTGAGCCTGGCTCGCCCCGCACTACTCGGATCCCCTCTTCCCTCGACACCAGGCCAGGCCGTTCTGGTTTGAATCACTCTAGTCGCTCGCAGACCTCTCCTCCCTTCCACCATCCATCCCATCCACGCCTCTTATACCCCCCACAGCACTGCTTCGTCCTTACCCTCGGTCCCTTGCGACCATCAATCCCCGCACATCGCACGACGCACCTCGTCCCATCCGCAAGCCACCGCTGCCACCAGCATCTCGACATCGGCCACGGGCGAAGCACGCACAATCGTCAAGACACCGCTAGCGAGCGCATCACACTCGCACCGAGATCGACAGGCACCGCCAAACGGTATCGCAAGGCGACGCCGCTCTCTCTAGACCGCCTGCTGTAGAGAGCCAATCCCGACCCTCGCTCCAGAACCGGGTCATCCGCACTCTCTCTCTCTCTCTCCACTGCGCCGCTCGACTCGCAACCATGCCAGAGAGGTTCAAGCTCCACCCTGACCCGCACGAGCGACGCGATGCCACATTCAGCCTCGCCCGGTCAGCCTACAGCACTGTTCTTGCAGGCGGCAAGGGCTCGGCACTCCTCATCCCTCACATCCTCCTGCCCATCTACGGCGTCTACTGGACCGCAAACCGGTTCGACCTCTTCCCGACGAGCTTTGTGCGGGCGCTCGCCCTCTTTATCGCGCTGACGGAAGGTCTGGCGGCCGGAGCGATAGTGGGGCTCGGGTTCATGCGCTACGGCGCCGCGGGAAAGGCCATCAAGGGCCGCCGCAACGAAAAGACGGCGACCGACGAGGAGATCCAGAAGCAGCAGCGCGTCGAGGTGGCGCTGCGGGCGGCGCTCTACATCCTCATCGCGTGCATCTACTGGGAGTACCTCGTCCACTCGCCCTACTCTCCCATGACGTCGGCCGAATCGCGCAACACGTCGTCCGGCCTGCTGACGTCGAGTGGGCGGATCAAGGACTACCTCAACAACGAGTCCCTCATCCCCACGCCAGAGGTGCAGAACTCCGGCGTCGGCGTCGGCATCGACTTCAACGAGGCGGTGCGCGCAGCAAAGGAGACGATCGACCACTCGCCCAAGATCCGCATCGGGGAGCCACCCAAGCCCAAGAGCGAGTTTCTCCAGGCAGTCGAGTGGTTCACGTCCAAGATCCGGCCCAAGAAGGCCATCGGCCTCGTCGAGCTCGGACCCAAGACGTGGCAGTAGACGGCCGATCCAGCGCATGGTTCCTCGATCCTTCCGACGCTCGTCAAACCCGTCGCTGCGCCCTCAAACCGCCGCGCTCGGCCTCGCAGACACCCGTCTGCCTCTATTCTAGACGTCGCATTGCCCTTGCTGCCCTCACGCTCCTTTTGCCCCTCGGCCCCTCCGCCTCGCATTCGCACTTGTAAACGCAGCGCAGCACTTCCCAACCCCGGCTCGTGTAGATAGGTAGTAGTTCATCAATTCCCCGCTGCCAACGACGGGCGACGCAAGCCTGTCCGTCCCGATCCCCCTTTGCCGGACTAGCCAGTCAAGGGTTGCAATACCAGATGGAAAGGTCAATCGATCTCCACGCACGCGGCCGGTCGGCCGGCTGGCTAGCTGTTGAACAAGCGGGAATGCAGCTGGTCGTGTCTGGCCTGGACGATTTCGCCCAGCGGAAACGTCGTGGCGGGAGCGCTGCGCGACTGCCAGAACGACGGGCCGGTCGCTGCCGCCCTTGCTGCTGCTGCTGCTGCTGATCTTGGTCCTCGGTCGGTCGAATCGGCGAGTTCGTCTTCGGCCCAGTCCCACGCCCATCCTTGGTCCGGATCCGAATCGTCAACGGGTATCAGAGTGCGCTCGGCTGGTCGTAGAGCCTGGACCATTACGGCTGGAGGCGCCGGTTGTGCTTGTCCCGCCGCCGGCTCGTCGATACGATAGGCCGGGATGTGGTTGTCCGCCTCCATGTCTTGGTCCATCAGCCCCTCGCCTCCCTGACTTTCACCCTCCATATGCTCCTCCTCCTCCTCCTGCCCATCCATACAGCCCTCGCTCTCCAGCTCGTCGACGATCTGCTTGACGACGTCGCGCAGCTGGAAGCGCATCAGCTGATGGGCGAGGTACGGTCCGAGCGTGTTGAGGCGGATGCTGCTCGAGAGCAGGCTGCGGGCCTGGAGGAAGAGGTGCAGCTGCACCGTCCTCGCCCTGCTCAGCCCCAGCGCCGCACTGAAGACGGCCCAACATAGCGGGAAATGTCCCTGCTGCTGCCGCGACGTCGACGAGGCGCCCGCCGACGACTTGCGGATCTCCCTTTTGAGCTTCTCGACCAGCGTCGCGGCGATCTCGATGCGCAGTCGGCTCGCTAGTTCTTCTCTGTCTTCGTCGTCGGCGTCGTCTTGGACGTCGTCCCCGTCGTTCGTCGTACCGTCGAGGCCGCGGCGGCGCCGTAGACCGAGACGCGATCCGTCAAAGTGCTCCTTCTCGAGGTTGATGGGCCGCGCGAAGGCCTTCGTGTAGAGAGTGAGAAGCGCTATCCCCTGCGCCCTTGATGCCCGCCTCGCGACGTGGTTGAGCAGCAGCGTGTGGTACGCCTGGTCGAGCCACGCCAGCGTGCCCATGAGCGCCTCGAGATCCGCTGCGTCGGCCTCGGCGTCGTAGCACCGCTCTGCCGCCTCCTCGCCCGCAGCAGTACCGTCTTGTTCTGCGTCCGAGCGCTTTCTCCGACGACGATATCGCTCCACCTCGATGCGGACGCGGCGGGAGCAGTACCGCCGCACGGCCTGGTGCGCGCGCACGAGAAAGGGGACGGCCGAACGGGCATACGAGTGTAGCGTCGACCGGGTGTAGGAGAGCGTCGAGGACGAGAGGCGCGCTTGCGACGGCGCCATCTGCCGTCGTCTACCCGCTCCAGGTCCGGCGGACAGAGTCGCACCTACGCCAAAAGAGGCGAGGCTCGATGTGGTCTCGACGTTGTGCAGGAACCCGTGGGCGTGGTAGGATTCGAGACCGGAGGAGGCGACGAAGCCGCCTGATCGGGCGGGCGCGAATGCGGGGCGATGGAGCGTCGAGATGGGGTCAGATAGTCCAGCGGGATGTTGACAGCGAGAAGCCGTGGAGTTGCTCACCGGTGGGCAGGTTCGAGTCGCTGAGTAGGAGGAGGAGGTAGGTCTCCAAGTCCTCGTCGACCTCGTCTTCGTCCTCATCGGCGTGTGGCCCGCGCTTGTTGGGCACGCCGGCAGTTGCAGGTGCCCACGATAGCATACTGCCTGGCGGCGAGATGTTTGCACGCGGACCGGATGTTATCACTGAGGGTGATGGTGATGGAGCCGAGGGATGGGTCGAGGGCGGAGGACGAAGGCAAGCCGAGGAGGCGTGGGTGGTCGGTGCACAGGAAGAAAGATAAGGCAAGCGGGTCGCGCACAGTTGGACCCTGAAGGTCGCTGGAGGGCCCCTCACTCTCTGCCTTCTGGATGCTCACAAGCCACCACCACCACCACCACCACCGCCGCCGCCTTCGCACCATGGCAGACCGACGCAACCTCAGCTCAAGTGCGTCATCCTAGCAGCCCTCCTCGTAGCGATCTCGGGGCACCCACGCGAGAAGGCAGACTTCGACGGCGGCTCACAACGTCGGCGATGCGACCACGATGCCAATCTGCACCACATGTTCAAGGCCGGTGGACTCGCTCTTCGTGCGGTACGGCAAGGATCATGTCGTCCTGGCAAGATGCACCAGCGCCGGGCCGGCTTCCACTGGTCCTCGCCGCGCCAAAAAGCAGCAAGAGATGCAGGCGGATGGCGATCGGCCGAAGGAGGACGAGGAGGACGGGATCGATGACGAGGAACGAGGCTGCGGCGCGTTTGCAGATCCGTACCTCGAGCATGGTCTCGCCATCGTCCTGCTTGACCTGGTACGTCTTCGTCTTCCTTCCTCGGCCGAGGCTCGCTCTCATTGCGCACCGCTCATCATAGCAACGCTGCTCCTTCTTTCTCGGCCATCATCGCAGATGCTGGTGAAGCCGAGGGCATACCGACACCTCCTCTTCAACCGCCCAACGCTCACGCTCCCCACCGATACCCAGATCCTCACATCGCAGCATCCCCTCACTCCTCCGTCCCAACCGCCGCGGGATCGGTACACGACGCTGCTCAAACGTCTCGTCGCGCTCCTCCTGATCGATGCCTACATCCGCTGGTTCTACCTCTGCGTCCACCATCCCTCGCACGTCGCAGCCGATGGTCGGATCGCCTCGGTCGACTCGGAGACCGAGGGTCGGCTGTGCACCGCCCCGCTTCGCATGCCTTGGGGTTTGGGGGATGGCGATGGGGGAGGGGCGGGGGCAGGGGCCGGGATCTTTGACAGCTACGTCTCAGTCCTGCTCGTCACGGCCGTGGAGATGGTCACGTTCCATCTCGTCGTCGGATCCCTGTACTGGGCAGCCATCGAGGGGGAGCGGTGGTCGAGCCGGCGTCAGACCGACAGCAGCATGGCGGCGACGAGGTCTAAAGCTCCTCCCGCGGCGTCGCCGACTTCGACACGGGCACAAACGAGCGCCGTTGCCGGTCAGACCGACATCGATGCCGATGCCACGGACACGGATCGCCTCTCGCCGTCCAGCCATCCGACGGCACCATCGATGCAGCCGCAACAGCAGCAGCACCAACACCAGCACCGCAGTGACCGCACCGTGCTCGATCTGTACACGCCCGATCTGGCGCCTACATCGATGCTCCTCTCGCAACTCTCGACGCTGCTCCTCCTCAGCCTCGTACTGCTGTGGGACTCGAAGTTCCCACGCCCCCCGTCGACTTCTTCACCCGGCGACCTCGCTGCTGCTGCAACAGCAACAACGGCGGCATCGACTTGGCTCAACGCCTTCTCCGAGAGCCTCTTTGACAGACTACCCGCCTGGTCCGTCGAGGGCACCATCAGAGCCGTCGTTGGCGGTCTCAGCGCCGGCGTCGCACTGGGCGTCATCGTGCCCCACCGACCTGCCGTATCGACCCTCGTGCTCCTTACGGCCTGGTCGGCCCAGGCTGCTGTGGCCAGGTGGGCCATTCAGTGGATCGCCAGGTAATGGCAACGACGTCGGCATCACGGACGACAGGCTGCATCGGCCTTCCCAAGGAGACATAGAAACAGAGATCCCCCGCAGCCACGCGCATAGACGTCGCAATCGTGATCACTAATCGGCATGCCCAATCTGGGTGGTTCTTTCTGGTATATGTACAGCGGGCCCTGACCGGCCGCCCGCCCGCCTAGTCCTCGCGGATGATGACGCCGGCGGCGCCCATGCCCAGGCCGATGCACATCGACACGACGGCGACGTGCTGCTTCCTCCGTTCGAGCTCGGCCAGCGCGGTGACGACGAGCCTGGCGCCCGTCGCGCCGAGCGGGTGGCCCAGGGCGCACGCACCGCCGTTGACGTTGACCTTGTCGATGCTCAGTCCGAGCTTCTCGACGCAGTAGACGTACATGCTCGCAAAGGCCTCGTTGATCTCAAAGAGGTCGACCTCGTCCTGCTTGATGCCGGTCTGCTCGAGCACCTTGGGGATGGCCGACGACGGGCCGATGCCCATGATGCGGGGCTCGAGGCCCGTCACGGCGCACGAGACGTACTTGGCCAGCACCTTCTTTCCGAGCTTGTTGGCGAGCGAGCGTCGCATCAGCAGCACACCGGCGGCGCCGTCGGTGATCTGCGAGGCGTTGCCGCCGGTCGTGTTGCCAGGGGCCCACTGCGGGAAGGCGGGCTTGATCTTGCCGAGCGCCTCGGCGGTGGTGGTGGCGCGGATGCCGTCGTCGGCGGCGACGACCTTGTACGACTTGGAGCCGTCCTTTGCCTTTTCGGGTACGTTGATGGGGAGGATCTCGGCGTCAAACTTGCCGGCGGCCTGGGCGGCGGCGGCGCGCTGGTGGGAGCGGGCGGCGAACTCATCCATCTTCTGGCGCGAGATGCCAAAGTCGCCGGCGACGTTCTCCGAGGTCCAGCCCATGGGCATCTCGCAGTCCTTTGCCTCCTGCGACGCCTGGGCGAGCTCATCCGAGACCCTGCAGGGGCGTCCGGGGTGGTTGGTCATGCTCTCTGCGCCGACGGCGAGGCCGCACTCGATCTCGCCGGCCTGGATGCCGTTGGCGATGGCACGGATGGCCATGAGGCCGCTGGAGCAGAAGCGGTTGACGACGATGGCAGGCGTGGTGTTGGGAATGCCGGCGGCGAGGGCGGCGGCGCGGATCTCGTAGGCATTCTCGTCGTTGTGGACGTTTCCGACGACGACGTCCTGGATGAGCGAAGGGTCGATGTCGGCCTTGGCGAGGAGCGACTTGAACATCTCGGTGCAGAGGACGTCAAAGGGGGTGTCCTTGAGGCTGCCCTTGCGCGCCTTGCAGAAGGCGGTGCGGCCAGAGGCGACAATGACGACGTCCGAGTCGTTCTTGGCCTTGTGGGCGGCAAGGCCCTTGCCGCTCCAGGAGCGCGGGTCAATGTGCGAGGCGATCTGGGTGAGACGAGTGGCCATCTTGGAGGAGTGAGAGGGGGGAAGGGGACCGGAGTAATGCAGTAGGAACGGGAGGGCTGGAGGGCTGGCGGCTATGACGGCGAGGAGCAAGCTGCAGGGCGAGTTTGTGGGGTAGCGACGAAGGGGAACGGAGAAGCCTCGAGGGACGAGGGTGCGCAGCAGTCTGATTTATGTAGCAGAGGAGCGCCGCGAGGCCGCCGCCAACCAGAGAGACCGGCCCGGGCGTGGGCCGTCGTCGGTATGTGTGGCCCCGCAATCGGCGGTCTTCTCGTCTCGGCCTGCTCTGCTCTGCTCTGCTCTGCCCGCCTCGCCTCGTCCGTCCAGCTGAGCTGGGGCCAGGACCCTGATGGACGCCAGCCAAACCCAAAGCGAGGCTGCTGGCCACGGCGGCGCGGCGGCGCGCCCGAAGGCTGGTTTTCGGCTTCCCCGCCCTGGTCTGCACCGGCTTATCCGGCAACCCTCGCCCGCACCCCGAACCTGACCGCCCTCGAATTTTTCTCGGCCAGGAAAGCCCTCGGTCTGTCGGCCGGCAGGCCATTCGCCTACTGAGGGCCTTGCGCCTTCGGCTTCAACCGTACGGCCAGCGACCTGGTGTGCTGGCGCATGGTCCGACCATTGGTCGGGCGGCGCCCCTCGAGCGCCAGCACGCAGCAGCACCACAGGGATGCCGCAGCAGCCGTACCTTACACGGTTACACCCATGCCCGCCTCGCCGGGTTGGCCGACGCTCGAGCACCGGCGCAGCCAGCCCGTCACGGAATCCTGTGGCAGAAGGGCGTTTCCGGGCGAATGCAGGCCTCCTCACTCGGGCGGACCGGGGCCCATCCTTCAGCCGCAGGTCCATGGCTGAGCCTCATTCTTTCGGGCACGCCAACGATCGAGATGGTCGTTGTGCATGGACGCAGAAGCTGTCCGATCGAGCGCTCGTCTGTTCTCCCTCGCCCTTCGAGCTCTCGGTCAGGCCAGATGGGGGGGCCTCACACGCCAGGCTCTCGTCTCGAGCTTGAGCTCGATCGAGGACCTGACAGCATGGTATCGGGGGTGTATCGGCGGGTCCGCCGCGGTCAGCACAGCCTCGGTCCACCTCTCTAGGACATCGTCGGCGACGACCGAAGATCGTCGGGTCATGGTTTCAGCTGCGCCCGGCGCAGCAGAATGGTCTGCTGATACGCTATTCGACGCCGCGTCGCTCACTAGATTAGCGCTCGCCACCTCTCTTTCGACGCCCAACCCTAGGTCGACTGAGCGCAAGGCCGCCACCATCCTACGCTCAAGCGGGCTTCCGAGCTGCCTCGCTCACTGGCGACACGACCTCATGCTGCATTCCCTCCCAACCACCAGGCCGCCCCCGGATGGCCGTGCTCACAACATCGTTATGTACTTCCCTCTAGCGAACCATTTCTGCGCCCTGGTCGCACGGTGACCGCGCTTTGGCAGTCAGCTTCCAGCCCTCCCGCCGGTCCTCCAGTGGTCGCGCCCCAGGCAAAGCTCCAGACCATCGGTTCGCCCTCCTGCTCAATCAGACGCGAATAGGAGAACGGGGGCTCCCGCTTGGGCCTCACCGAGGCAGCGAATCACGTACACACAAAAAGGACAGGGCGCCTCGACCCTCCGCAATCGCCCTAGCTCCTCGGCCAACACGAGATGGGCGAGTGGGTATCCTGACACGCGATGCAGACCAGTGGGGATGACAACACCACGGGAAGCGACCAACTCGTCCAAGTCTGACCCCCACCCGAGGGCCGCTGCGTGCCCAATCAATGTCAGCGATGCAGCTGCCGGTTGCACCGAACGTGGCCATGGCCGCTCCTCGACCTCTGCGCGAGGTGACGGCCCTCTTCGGCCCGGCTTGCTGACCGACTACATATACATGACCGTCTCGCGCTTCGAGCTCTGCGGGAACTCGTCTCAAGACCCCATCAATTGCCTGGCCTTCACTCCCTTTGCCACGCCACCGTAAGCCAAGGTGCTCTGTCCTGACGGCCCGACGTCGAGCCCGGCAGGCAAGACAGCCACCCTTGCTTTCGACAAGCGTTCTCGTAGCTGCATCGACCGGCACACGTCTCTCTCCATTCCAAAGGTCTACCAGTCTCTCGCAAGCTGGCTAGGCCTCTTCGACAGCCACGCAGCTCTCTCTGATCGCCAAGATGCGGACGATCTCCAAGCTTCGCGCTTTCCGTCATGATTCGCCTATGGCCACCGCCCCATCGCGTCCATCAAGCCCAGTAAGCGCACGAGATTCGTCTCGTCTCCAAGGCGTCCAAGCCGGCTTCGAAGGAGCCTTGTCTCCCCAACTTGTGTTGTCGCATCAAGCTCAAGCAGCGTCACCGTCGCAACTGGTACCACACAAGGTCGAGCGTGTCGACGTCGCGGACAACGACCGGCGCAGCGAGAGAACACGACCGCAGCTGTCATCCCACCGGTCTGCTGCCAGCCTTGCTTGCGCCTTTCGCCGAGATCTCATCGACGCATGTTACCTGTCTCAGACACCCTTCGTCCCGACGACGTCGTCACCCGAGGTTCCCGCATCCTCCAAAGGGCGAAGAAGGTCCCACACTGTCACGACTCCCGACCATCGCATGCAAAGGGCGTCCCCCAGCGAATCTATGTACAGCGTCCCTCTTCGTCCACAAGGCCAAGCTATGCCTTCCAGCCAGAATTTCGATGATAGCATCAACACCTCCTCCTCTCCGAAGCAGACACGACCCTCGGTCTTTCGACGCCGACCAGCTGGACTGCGTCTCGGAAGCGCCGACGGCCGATCAGCAAACATGATCTCCGTGACCGAAGGTCTCCCAGCCAAGCCGAACGAAGTCTCTGCCTTTGCCAGACCTCCAACACCGCCGCCAGAGGCACCGCTCACGCCCGGTCGGCGCATTGCGCGGCGCCTATCCTCGTTCAAGGACAGGCTGCGGCGCGCCTCTGTCTCCAAGCCCTGTGCCGTCAACCAGCCACCTACACCGGCGACGTCGAAGAGCCTCCCTGTCCATGCCATCGTCCGGGAGACGGCACTGCCGTCGCCTCCTCAGTATGGGCTACTGCACCACCCTGCTATGGAGGAACGAGCTCCGGCTCCTTGCCGCCTCTCGCCGTCAGCTTCCGTCACGACAGCATCGACCAGACCCGCTTCTTCTCTCGAGCACCAGCCGTGGCACTCCCCCTCCATTGGCTCCCTGTCGTTGTCGAGCCGGACCGGGTATGGAGGTTCTCCCTCTTGCACTCCTGCTAGCAGCGTGAGCGGCCTCGCCAGCAGCCGCAGCAACAGCAGCCAAGGCGGCGGCGGCAGCAGCTCGGGGAGCAGCAGCTGCTGCTGTGTCGGCGGCTCCGAGAGCCATCCGTGTTTCGCTGCTTGCCTGTCGCCATTGACAGAGGCGGGCATGCGGTCCGGGCTTTCTCCGCCCCGGCCTCACGCAAAAAAGGCCCAGGTCATCAGTGCGGATACCGGCTTCAAGCGGGATGACGGCGTGCGGCGAAAGCATAGGAGCGATGAGGTCAGGCGAGACTACTCGCATCTTCGGCCGGCGACCGACGACGGCACCGGCCAGGAGACCTTCAACGCCCAGGCCGTCCAGTCGGACCTGCGCTGGCCAGCCCGGATGCGAAGGCTCAGCGCAAGCATGGTCGCCAGCAAGGTTGACATCGCTGGCCCGCCTCAAAATGCCACTGCCGCCGCCCCTGCCACCGCCATCGCCACCGAGACGAGCATCTGCGACAGCGAGCAGACAATCGAGGCGCCCAAGAAGCTTCTGTCGCGGCCGAAACCACGACCGCGGCCACTGCACTCGGCCGCCCTCTCCCTCAAGACGCTGCACGAACTCTCTCCGCCTCCGCTACAGCCTAACGCCTTCCAGCCTCCGGTCCCGGTATCGGTAGCATCGGACGCGAGAGGGGGAAAACGCTGGACCGACGAGGCCCAAGAGATTCTCCGACCCCTCTCCTACTGCACCGTGGCGACGACGGCGACGGTATGCAGCGCGAGGACGGACATCTCGGCGCCCGCTTCGGCGACGACGATAGGCTCGCCGTTGTCGTCCGACTTCACCGCCATGCGAGGCCAGACGGCCGCCGCCGACCTCCTCCCGCCCCTGTCGCCCTTTGCTGCGCGCGCGCCCGCTCGAGCGGCCCGCCATCGCATCAAGGACCAGGTGTGGGACACGGGCGACTTTGGCCTACCCTCGTCACCTGTCATTGCCCCGTCGCCCAGCCCGCCAGCCCTCCAGTCTTGAACGCACCTCGTCCAACTCGAAAGGACAATATGACCACCGTCGTCACTCGCTCACGCCACCATCAACCGTCCTTACAGAAGGGCCGGGTCAATGATAGGATGGCGTCGTTAATGCATTATTAGTGAACGAGACATGATCCTGACTCGGGTGAAGAAGCGAAGCGGGGATGGCTGGAAGGGGGGGGGGGGGGGGGGGCTGGGGTATGCAGTGCGTCAGGGAGGGGCATGAAAAAAAAAATGGGATACAAGACTGCGGTGAGCTCGCGCGCCCGGATGTACGGTCGTCGATGCGCTCGGAAAAGAGTCCATATTGTGTCTGTCTAGAAGGACGAAAGATCGAGGTGATGATTCAAAGAGGGGGAAGAAGGTGATGACGAAGAAGGGGCAGACGAGGACCGCCGCCGTCCCCCGCTTGGTGCTACCTGGCATTCGGCGGTCGCTCGGACGCCTTGAGATCCCTTGCGTCGACGTAGACGGCAGTGGCAAAGACTGCGGTGTTGATGGCGGCGCAGGCCATGGCGCCATTGAAGATGTCGCACCACCCTTCAAATGAGCCGGGCGAGCACTTGCCGCCGAAGCCGATGGTCCACACGGCCACGACGCCCCACAGCAGGCAGAAGAGGGCGTCGACAAACGTGTACACCTTGAGCCACTTGCGGTGGAACTGCCAGATGGCCTGCATCTTGATCGTCTCGAGCATGCCCTTGTGGTGGTGTCGCCGGTGGTGGTGCCGATGGTGCCGTCGGTGGTGGTGTCGCTTGCTGCGACGGTCCCGTCGATTGCCGCCGGGCAGCGTGTCGACGCTGTCCGAGTCGCTGTCGGAATCCGACGACGAGTCGTGGCCCTTTCCCAGCATCGTCGGGTCGACGATGACGTTGACCGTGGGCCCGGGTTGGGCCATGCCTCGCTTCATCCTGCCGCCTGGCCTTCCCCGTCCACCGGGCCCGCCGCCACCGAGGACCGGGATGAGCATCCCTCCCATGCCGCCGGGTCCGCCGCCGCTCATCGTATCGGCCTTGCGCAGCGGATTGACGCACATCGGCCGCAGCGCGTACAGCCAGACGCAGACGAGCGTCGAGAGGACCGAGACGATGTACATGATCCACGTTGGCAGCGTGTTGAGCGGCGCGGGATCCTCTTTCGGTTTGATCAACAGGTAGCCGCCGATGCCGAGCGCCGCGCCCGTCAGCGAGACGAGGCACTGCGACCATCGCACGCCGATGCGCAGCTTGCGATTGGGTAGCACCAGCCTGCCCTTTGGATCGACGCTGCCGAGCGGCAGCGGTTCCGTGTCGTCCGCATTGGCTTCCTCATCGTCTTCGTCTGCGCCGTCGGCGCCCTTTGCCCTGTTCTTGTGCGAGACCTTGGGCCCAAACTCCTTTTCCAGCATGCGTATCCGCTCCTCTTTGACGTGGTCCGCGATCCGACCGTCCCCTGGGTGGTGACCGTGCGGGTACGGCCCGTAGGGTGTGCCGCGCCCAGCACGGCCGTACGAGAGCGTCTCGCTCTCCCATCCGCTCTGGCCGCTGCCGGGCGGGACCATGGTGTAGGCATGCCCGTCGGCGGAGTGGTGGCCGCCGTACCAGGTCTGCGACCAGGCGGGAAAATCGGGCAGGTGCTCGCCCGCGCCGTGCGGCGAAGGGTAGGGGCGATGGTCGTACATGTCCTCCGGCCGTGCGTGGCCGCCAGGGAGGTGATGCCGGGCGGTGACGTCAAAGATGTTGGGCGGAGGCTCGGAGGCAGGCGAGGTGACGGATGGCTGTACGGACGGGGAGCGGTAGACGGGCAGGCTCCTGCGCGAGTTGGCGCCCAGCGTATGGCTCGAGGCGTGCGACGGCGAGCTGGCGCCTGGGCGCACGCCAAAGTCGTGGGCGGCGTGCGTGCCTGGCGGTTCGAGGTAGAACCCGCCATCGTACCGCTCGGGCTCGTAGTGCTGCTGGGCTGGCGGTGGCATCGAGTTGTGGCGAAAGTACTGTCCCGGAGCGACGCCGACGGTGCGTTCGGCTGCTTCCGACAGGGCGGTGTGAGGTCCCCAATTCCGCTCCTGGGCGGCCTGGTTGGCCGCGGCAATCTCGCCGAGGTCGCGCTCCTCGTAGTCGTCCGAGGCCGAGGCTGCGTGGTAGCCCTGCGCCGCGCCGGCGTGCGAGAGGGGGCTGCGCGATGGTGGCCGGTCGTATGACTCGCGGCGGTCTGGCATCCTTGCGCCCTGACCCCGAGACGAGGGCGTGTGGGGTCTGCTCTGTTCCGCGCTCCATCTCCGCTGGTTGCCCGGCGATTGCTGGTAATAGGGCGACGAGGGCGAGGGTGGCGGATAGCCCGGTGCATACGAGGGGTACGCTTCCTGCTGCATCGCCATTGCGCCTGCTGGAGCCAGTGGGTGCTTCACTGCTCGACGTGGATGGCTCGGATCGATGCCGGGTCGGTGGGCGGATCAGGTTGGGTTGGGTCAAAGGTGCATGTCCGGGATGTTCGAGCGTCTAGTCGTGAGTGCAGTCGTAGTCAGTCGTAGTCGTCGTCGTCAAGGTCGTAGGACTACAAGCGCCGGTTGGCACTCTAGGGTATCTGAATGACCAAGTTGGCAAGGCGAGGTATCGGTGCAGGGCGTGTCGACGTCGTCGAGGTGGAAGTCGATGGCCTCGGATGGTCCCGAACGTCGGCGGCGTGCTTTTGGATCGTCGTCGCTCGCTCGGTCGGTCGCCGAGAGCTGAGGCAGGGTGAAAACAGGAGGGGAGTGTGAGCCGGCTGCGATGGAGGCGGACGGCCGGGGTTGTCAGAGAAGCGTCCCCAACATCAAACTCCCAAAATGGCAGCAGCAGCAGCAAGCAAGCAACAGCCAGCGAGCAGCAGCAGCCGCCGCCGCCCTCGCCGGTGGCAGTTGAATGGGTTGGAGCTCCGCCCTCCTGCGGGCTTGCCGCCGCGCTGGTGCCGGATGCAAAACGGGGCGCGTGTTCAGGGGCCTCCCGCTGTTGCTGCGCACATCATCATGCGCAGAGCCCCCACGGCCGCTCGGCAGTCGACACAACAAAGCCCCAGCCAGCCCCTGCGTCGCCAGGCCAGGCCAGTCCAATCCCCGCCTGGCCGCCTGCCTGCCTCAACACCGAGTCCGGCGGGCTTGGCAAGGCAGGCAGGGCCAGCAGGCCTGGCCGCAAGGAGAACAGATCGGGAGCTGACCCGATGTTGCAAAGGCATCCCGGCGCCGCTCGTCCATCCTCACCCGCTTCAAAAGCGTGTCGACGAGACAGGGTGGATCTGCGTATGACCAGGCGAAATGATGTTGTACAGAGAGCGAGAACAGGCGATGCGCCCGTACAGAGTGACACTACCAGGTAGGTCAAGAGGAGACAGAGCGACGGCAGCATTCGCATGGGTAGGCCAGGTCCGGGCGGCCACAAGCTCATCGTCGTGCTAGCGCTTCGACGCCTCTCGACGGAGAATCTTGACGATCATCTGTCGCAGTGGGCGAGAAGAGGCACGGCAGAGAGTCAATACAAGGCAGTGCCGGGGCCGTGGTGCGCGAGCGAGCCGCGACGCCAGCCAGACTCACGGCGACCGCTTCGGCATTCACTCCGCTGTCGACCAGCTCCACGCACGCTCGGAGCTGCTCGCGCGACAGGCCCGTGTTGAGCAGCTGCGATAGATCGTACAGAACTGCAGCAGGCATCGGCCATCATTACGGAATCGACGGAAGGGAGCAGGAAGGCGTCAGCATGGCCGGCCATCGATCCTCCATCTCGCCAGGCGCGACCCCACCGCCCCTTCGCGACCGAACCCCGGCCTGCCACTCACCTTCCATCGTCTCCTGAGCGGCCACCGACCGCTGATCCTGCGACTTGACGGCGTCCGCGGCGTCCATGGCGTGAAGAGTGTTGCAAAAAGGTGGCGCTGCGGGCTCAGACAGAGACGCGCCCAGGCATCGAGGTGATGGCCACTTGGCAAGATGCGACCATCGCCCGCGCCAACACAAAAACACAGGGTCCAGCCGCGAAGCCACGGGTCGCCGACAGATGAGCCGCGAGAGAGGCAAAACGAAAGTTCCCGGCCGGGGAATCGAACCCCGATCTGAACAGCACGAGCGACTTCCGGGGAAGCTGCCGGTGAGAGTGTCCTATACTGACCATTGTACTAACCAGGAGTGGCCAGAGAGGTGATTGATGATAATGTTTGTGAGATTGCGTATATTAAAGCTGTTACACCGTTCAAAAACGGTGTGCGGGTTTGCGAGAGGCGAGGACGGGGTTCGAAGTGCAGATGGATTTCTCTATGGGAGCTCTCGTCAGGCAGAGCATTTCTTCTCAAGATAGCCAGGTGGGCGCTCAGCATGCCTGACTTTGGATTGGCAGGCTCTGCAATTTGCTGAGACTGCATGCCAGAGTGTGCGTTCCTGCTGGGTTGCTGGTGGGCAGGTACCTTCTTCAAGGTACGGTGGTTGCCGCGTCCCCCGTCGTTCCCGTGGATCTCCAGCGACGATCTCATTTATAGAATTTAATGATATATACGCAATATTCTCCTCTCTTTGCAACATCCGCCTCTCTGGCCACTCCTGGTTAGTACAATGGTCAGTATAGGACACTCTCACCGGCAGCTTCCCCGGAAGTCGCTCGTGCTGTTCAGATCGGGGTTCGATTCCCCGGCCGGGAACTCTTCTTTTTATCCCTTTTGCGGTTCGATCTGGGCCAGTGTGGCTGCACTGCTATGCACCGCTCTTCGCCGTCAGGGCGAGCGGCGATCTCGCTGTGGGAGCAGAATCTACAAGGATCATGGATTCGGGCGAGCGGTGATGGTGATGATAGACGAGACGCTGGGCCGGAGACAACCGGACAGGCAGACGGACGGACGGTCATAATACAGACGGGTGGACGAGGGGCAGCGATGGAATCACTGGCCCAGACTGGTGCGTTTGCGTGGTGCGGCGATGCGGTGGCGCGGTGGCGCGGAGTCGTGTGGCGATTCGGTCGACGGAGCGCACGGCGGGCAGGGAGAGGGCGGTGAAGGACATGGTTGTTTTTCGTTTGCAAGCGGTGGAGGGACTGGAGATGCAAGGAAGAGAGCTGCTTAGAAGCCCGGAGGTCGAAGTCCCTGTTGCTGCTGAGGCGCAACTTGGGGCTGAGCCTCCTGGCCAGGAACACCGGCGGGTGCAAGCATCTGTGCGAGAGGAGGCGGGGCCGGACAAGGATCAAGGGGGATGGGCATCGGCGTCAGCACTGGCCGCCAAGCGCCGCAGCAGAACTGTACATCTCGAGGGCCTGTCGACGTTCTCGTCGGCGACACCTGTCTGCACTCACCTGGTTGGCGCCCTGCTGCTGGCTCAAGAAATCCTTCTCCTGTGCAATGATCCTGCTCTCGTCCTCGACGGCGAGGGCAAAGGGGAGGCCGACAAGGAGCGCCGACGTTGTGACGACCCAGACGAGGTTGCCCGCGAGCTTGGTGCCGAGGAAGGCGTAGGATGTGGTCGTGTTGAACGTCTGTGCAATCGAGCGTCTTGTGGAAGGGGGGATGATGTCACGCAGCGCCGAGATGCGCTCCCACACCGTCTCGTCCCGAATGGAAAGGCCACGCTCCGAGACGTCGGACTCGTCAGAGAAGTCGGACTAGGAGGTCGCGGGCGATAAATGGAGGCAAGATGGGCGGACGGGTCAGCGCTGGCGGTCCACTTGGCTGCGAATGGGCGTTCCAGCAATTGCAGCTGTGCTATGGCGGCGGCGGCGGCGTTGGCGGCGATGAAACGCTGGCCATGCTGCCGGCCGACGTAGAGCAGCGGGGATGCACTCACCTCTGCGTCCGAATCGTCCTCCTCCCAGTCGTCATCGTCATCGTGTGCCTCGCCGGCGGCGGCAGCGCGGTTGAGCCTCTCCTGCTGCCTCAGGACCTCCTCGTCGGGCACCTCTTCGAGCTTGACCATGGTGGCGTGTGGTGTGCTGTTGCGGTGGGTGATAGCAGAAGCAGCTCAAATAGAGGGCAATAGCGGATGGAAGCTGATAGCGGTGCGAATACCCAAGCGTTGCGTTGCGTGCGGCGGCAAGAGAGAAGAGCGTGGATGAGAGTGTGGTGAGGATGACGGTGGCCGGCGTCGAGCGAGCGGGGCAGGTGGAGTGCGGCTGCGGGTCGCTTGATCACCCCAGCCTGCGCCCGGCCTGCCTGCCTTCCAGCTTTGGCCCAGCCGGGCCTGGCCTGAGCCTGAGCCTGAACCTGAGCCTGGCCCTGTCCGATTTCGAGCAGCCGGCCGGCGCCGCGCCTCTCTCTCAAATTTTTCTCGCCTTCTTCCGGTGACGGACAGCCGCACGCCCGATTACAGCAGACTGATTGGGGCGCGGCTGCTGACCGGCGCTTGACTAAGCCGCGGGCTCGAGGGGTCCGTGTGGAGCAGGCAGGGTGGGTCCTTGCCTTGCTCCCCCCACGACGCTCGCTTGTCCAACGCACACCACCATTGACCTTATCTGGCCGGCCCCTTGCACCCGTCCTCAACCTATCCGTCCGGCATGGCAGCAGCAGCGGTGGCAACTGACACGGAACCTCGACCGTACCCGGAGCTCGAGGCTATTCCGCCGGCGCCACCCCGTTCCGCGGCCGCTTCCACCCGCTCCTCGGCCTCGTCGTTGCTCCCCGTCCCCAACTGGGTGGTGCGCCTCTTTTCAGCGTTCCCGCTGCACGTCTGGCCAGAGGCCGACGTCATCTCCCCGGCACCATCCCCGCCGCCTCGGAAACCAACGCTCTACGTCGCGCCACACCTCAACCGGGACGGGACGCTGTCACCACCCTCGCAGCACGCCAGCACGAGCAAAGAGACCCTGGGATGGACAAGCAGCGACCCCACTTGCCTGAGATGGCAGCTCCAGCTCCTCTTTCGCGGCGTCGACTTCGACGTCGAGTTCATCGACCCTAGCCAGAGCTGGGGTCCCGGTGGCCAGCTGCCGTTCCTCCACCTGCCGCCGGCCTTCCAGCCGCCCTCGACGAACGCATCGTCCAGCTCGAGATCCTGGCTCGGCGCAAAGAGGGGCGCAGTTGTTCCCTCGCTGCTGACCGCGGCCGCCCTGCCACACTTCCTCGACAACCACTTCCCGCTCTGGCGTCCCGAGCTTGGTGAAAAGGCCGACGCAAACCCGTTGTGGAAGGACAAGGCGACCGAGCTCGAGAGCCGCACCTGGATCAACCTCCTCTCCGGCCGTGTCATGGCTGGCGTGGTGAGTTCACTTCGGCAGCCGATGATTCCCTTCCAGACCGTCCGCTGACGCCAGGACATGCTCCCTTGCCAACATCGATATTTTGGTAGCTGCTCGCCGTTCTTCTCAGCCCTCACTCTGCATCAACTCTTCAAGCGCAAGACAAGCCGTACCTGACCAGCCTCCTGTCCTCGCAGCTCCAGACGACCTTCCTGGACGACCAGCTGCGTCGCATCTCGGCGCTCAACCCGAAAGCTCGCTCTCAGCCGACCAGCCGGCTGCCAGGCTGGGAGGTTGGTTTCCTCGGTTGGGTCGGCGCCCATTCAATGGGTGCGGGCGCGGGTCAGGATGCAGCGACGGGCGACGGCGAAGACAGCCTGCGATACGCCGCGCCCGTGGTGGACGAAAACAAGGTCGTCGACGACGCAGTCAAGGGTATCGAAGCGTTGGGACTGCGCACGCAGGCCGATCTCGAGGGGGCAGAAGGCGCCTGGATGCTTGGCGCAAGGTGAGTCCGAGCGGCGAGCGTTTCCGCTCGACAGCTGCCAGCACGCTTGCTGACCTTGGCCGAGACGATCCGTCATCTCTCCTGTGGAACCACAGCCAGCCCACGGAGCTCGATGCTCTGACCTTTGCAATTGTGCACAGCGTCATGTCGCTCTCGGCCACGCCTGCTTTCGCCAATGCCTCTGCGACCACGGACGATGACAGGCGGGCCCTGCTGCGCCTGAAGGCAGCAATCGAGGGCAAGCCGTGGCTCGTCGGCTGGTCCAGGAGGGTGTGGAAGGACAAGGTGCGACCCAAGGAGAGAGGCCAGTAGCAGGAGCGACCCCAGCACCGCCGGCGGGCTCGGGCCGCCGTCTTGTATTTGTAGCGAGCGCACGGCGTTGCAAGGGCGGCCTCCTCACCAGCAGTCTCTGCGATCATATGTATGCTGTGCTGCACGGCAGGACAAGAAGAGCGGTGCCACGGATAGAAGGCGGTCGTGCGAGGTCGAAGCGGTACACTCGAGGCCGTTGGTTGGTCGAGCACCCTCCACGTCGCACTTCGGGGAACGGAGCCGCGTGGACCCAGCACGGAAGCGGGCGACGTGGCGCGAAGCCTCAAGCCTGCCTGCCTGCCTGCCTGCCTGCCTGCCCGGTGGCCTGCGCTTGGCAGGCGGGGCAAGGGCACAGGGCCCACCCAAAAAGCGTGCCTGGAAATTCCAGGTGGGCGAGCGGATGCGGAAGAAAAGAAGAAGGCGGCGCCTGCTGCTTCCCTCGCCCTGGGCCAAGCGGCGGGGCAAGGCCCGGCCCAGGCTGGCAGGCCCTCAGGCCCAGCAGGCTGCGCCCTCCAAGAGGGTCCGCGCGTGCGTGTGATCGTCTGTGCTGGTTGGACGCAGGCGGAGAAAGCAGCCGCCGCCGCCGAGCCATCCCCGCGCCGCTTGGCCAGGCCTGCCAGGCCTGCTGGCCACGCCTGCCTGGCGTCGTGGCAGGCGAGCCAGCACACAATAATCTTCCACCGCCACCTCGGCTTTCCGTCCCTCGACACCACGACCACCACCGCCACCGCCTTCACCAGTCCTCTCGCTCCCCTCTCATCCGCCACCACCTCGAAACATCTGCCCATCATGAGCGCCGCTATCACCAACATGGTACGTGCGCTGTACCGGCATTGAGCCCGCGACTCTGCCAACCCGGTCGACCCTTGCTTGCTCATGATACTGACGCCTAACCCGCCCTCTTGCATTGCCCTTGTTACCGATCAGGCCTTCATGTTTGGCGCCATGCAGGTCGCCAAGCGCATCCCCTTTGACGACAACCCGGACTACGTCCTCTACGCCCGAGGATTCTACGTGGCCGCCCAGCTCACCTGCCTGGCCATCTTCTACTTCTGCTCGATGCGAGTGAGTAGCAAGCACTCCAGAGACTCGCACAGGAGCGACCGCAGCCGCTCATTCTGTCTCCTTGCTCCTCTCTTCCCCTTCGCCTCTGTGCTGCCAGGTCAAGAAGGCCAACGACCTCACCGTCATCAAGTACGTCAATGCCAAGAACCCCATGGTGAGTGCTCCACCCTCAGGTCTGGCTCCTTGACCTCGAGAAACCTGCCTACTGACTGCGACCTGCCACATGCACCCTTGCCCCCTCGCACAGTCCCAGGAGCCTGGCGAGCTCGTGACGACCACCAACCGCGACTACGACCTGGCCGAGATCAGCAAGTCGATGCGCGGCGTCATGATGGGCGTCCTCATGGTCGGCTTCATGCACCTCTACCTTGGCTACACCAACCCTCTCGTCATCCAGTCGATCCTGCCCGTCAAGAACGCGCTCGAGTCCAACATGGCCAAGATTTGGGTCTGGGGTCAGCCCGCCACCGGCGACCTCAAGCGCCCCTTCAAGGCCCCCCCGGGTCTCTTCGGTACGTGGCAGCGCTGCGGATGGCCATATGCGCGGTCAAAACTGTCGCTTGGCCAGGATCAGGAGCTGACCGATCTGCCCATGCTCTTTTCGCTCCACTCGCGCTCCTTTTACTTTGACAGGCATGATGGGCCAGCAGGGACCCCAGACCGACAAGGCCACCATCAAAGAGGCCGAAAAGGCCGGCGTCACCAAGAAGGACGAGTAGATGCTATGCTCTCTCTGTCCGTAGCCTCTGTCCCGCCTGTGCGGTGCGCAGATCGGTCGAGGACCGATCCCTCCGTACCACTTGCAATGGCCCCCTTGTAAATCTCTTCCCGCGAAGCCGGATCGGCTGCTGTGGCCTCGGAAGCACGGCCCATCGCGTCGGCTGCCCGGCCATGTAAATTGAAGCACGTCCCAAGAGACAGTTGTGTTCCGCCTTGGCCTGTCTACCTGTGTGTTGAGCTTTGCCTTGTCTCTGTCGTGGGAAGGACGGAGGCATCGGCTTGGAGGTTGGAGGAGCGGCAGTAATGAGGATCAGAATGAACGCACCCTTTCCCGCTTGCCTGCGCGCCGAGGGCGATAGAGGCACGCGTGCGTCGCCTGCTGGAAGTCGAGAGTCAAATTTCAGAAGGCAGACAGCCTGGCCCCAGGCGGGCCAAGGAGAGCAGCCCTGCCCAGACCACGCCAGGCCAGGCCAGGCCAGGTTGCGTTGGCAGCGGCTAGCCCGTCGGACCCCACCGACTCTGCGCCTTGCTTTCGACCATCTCACTCCTCTCAATCACCACCTCCTTGGCACCTTGCGCCCGGCACACTGCGCTGCTGCACCTATTCGACGCTGCACGCAGACCGATCAAACGACCTCGATCTGGCAGCTCCAACGGTCCATTCGTCGACCCCTAACGGGCTTGCCCTTGACCGTCACAGCGCTAGCACACCTTCCGTTGGGATCGCTCCTGTCCAGCATCAGCACCCAGCGCACCTGCAGCAGGCCATCGCCACTCAAAACCACCATACACCCTTACTGCAGAGTTGAGCTCTGGACAGTTCAGCTCTTGATCGACCTTCTCAGACTGGCCATCGACCTCGCAGCCCGCAGGACTAGCGCAGCTTGGAGCCCTGAAAGCATCAACCTCGGCCATCCTCGACGACATGGCAGCACGCAGACCATCCGCAGGGGCACCCGCCGCCGATCCTGCAGATGTGGCAGGCCGCGACGTCGAGGCTCGCGGGACAAACATGCTCGAAGACGACCCTTTGCGGGACGACGATGAGGTGCAGGACATTCAACAGCAGGAGGCGGACGAGGATGACGAAGAAGAGGAGGAGGATGTGCTCGTCGAGTACGACGATGGTCTCGACATCTATGGTGAGTGCGAGCCCGTCATGAGGAAGCTCTCTACGACAGCAGGCTGACTCCCTCTCCCTTTGCTCTGCTTTCGGATCGCCCCGATGCCCGACCCGAATGCTGCCTACACCCTCACCCTCTTGCCCTGCGTACCTCTCCTGTTCTCCAGAGTCTGGCTCTGTGAGCGGATCGACAGAGACGCTCACATGGATCTCCTGGTTCTGTGCGCTGCAAGGACACGAGTACTACGCCGAGGTGACCGAGGACTTTATCGAGGACGACTTCAACCTCACGGGGCTGAGCGCGCTCGTACCCTTCTACAAGGAGGCGCTCGAGATGATCCTGGACGTTGAGCCTCGTGAGTCTGCCCTGCGCCCACGCCCACATCCGTGGCTCAGGACCGATGGCTTAGCCCTCCTGTACACCTTCCTTCCGCCGACTCTTCGCATCCCGCTCACGCAGCAGAGGAAGATTCCCTCAAGATCCCCGATGTCTCGATCGTTGAGAGCTCTGCCGAGCTGCTGTACGGCTTGATCCACCAGCGCTACATCCTCACACGGCAAGGCTTGCAGCAGATGGTGAGTTGTCCGCGGAGGCTCGGCGGTCTTGGAGCATTGCAGGCCCGCGTGCACCTGCGCTTCAGTGGCTGACTCGAACCCTCTCTCCCCTGCACCTGCCAACCTGCAGGTCGAGAAGTACGAGGCCGGTCACTTTGGATACTGCCCTCGTGTCTTCTGCCACTCGCACCCTGTGCTGCCATGCGGACGCTCGGACCTGCCCGGACTCGACACGGTCAAGGTGAGCTTCCTCCTTCGGCTGGTGTCGCTGCCGCTCCGGCTCGTCGAGGCCGAAACTGACATCTTCACCTCCTTCTCCTCTTCCCGCAAACGCAGCTCTTCTGCCCCAATTGCATCGACCAGTACTCGCCGCCGTCGTCGCGGTACCACGGCGTCGACGGCGCCTTTTTCGGCACCACGTTCCCGCACCTCTTCTTCCAGACCTACCGCGACCTGGCGCCCTCGCCCATAGCACCACGCGGATCCAACGCACTCTCCCTCAACGCGACACAGGCTCGACCCGCCGATGGCACCGCGGCCGCAGACTGGCAGCGGTGCCGGTGCAGACGGGCCAAGGCGGTGGAGG